TCGTCTTTCTTTGCCGCTTTCGCTGCGCGTTTTCATCGCTTTTCCCCCCGGTTTGTAAACCCCGCCCGCCTTCCCCCCCCCACAATTTCCCTGTCAAGTGCAGCTGGAAAATCCTTTACCCTCGCCTCTGCTGTTTGAGCCAAATTTCAATTCGATTAACCAAAGATGAAATACAGGTCAACTGGTTTAAATCGAAAGATAAGTGGAAATGGCATAAAAACTAGGATTTTGTATATATATTTTTAATAAGATTTTAATTTGCTTATAAAATCAATTTAATAAATACTTTATTTACTTTACTAAGAGTTGATGTATTACCTGATAAAGGAGACAATGAAGTTTTACCTTTATAAATATTAATATTATTAATTTCGATTCGAACTGTAATTCTTGCCGCAAACTGAAAAGTTATACACAAATATATATGTATAAACTCATTGCTTAAAGAGCCTTGAACTGGAAACCCCTAAAAAAAGAAAACAACAACAAAATAAGTAGGCAGGGGTTTTTTGTGGGAAGCAAATAAACAACAACAAACCAAAGGTTGACCAAGTTTACTTTTTGGGTAAGAACAGCAGCGGGGGTAGAAGAAAGATTAACGCGTAATAAGTGTGCCCCAATTTCTGCTTGAATTCAGCGAGGAAGTCGCCATATATTTAATGTGGAACGGCCGTGGGTCGGTCGTGGGGTTTTCTGATGCGACAAGGGGGTGGTTAACAAAACGGCATATTTCGCCACACGCACATAAAAAAAAAAAATAACAACAACAACAAAATACGAAAAAAAAGACACCCAACCAGCCATCGAAAACGTGCGCAAAACGAAAACGCAGATAAGACAGCCAGACGAAGGACAAAGAAAGAAAAAAAAAAAAACTACAAGTGACAGCTTGCCCACCCCGACCGACCCCCCTTCTCACATAAAGTGTAAGGGTGTACTAAAGGGGTTTCCCCCAAACTCTATACATAATAAATATTACCCAAGAACAAGGGCTTATGAATAATTCTCAATTGTCATAAGTTTATAAAGGTATTCCCTATTCGCAAACCAAATCGGTTAATTTTTTGGGAAAGTTTTATAAAGCTAGCTAGTCAGAACTTAGGATCTACAAAAGGTACAACTAAGTTTTTGATGCGAATAGGTTTTAATATATATTAAATAACTGCATACCAAAAATCAAAGCAATACCATATAGCTAGATCTCAGGAACTTCATAAAAGTGTACACATTTTATACCAAGCTACGTTGGTCACACAAATATATATGCATATATAGCTATTTATACACTTGAAACACATGGCTCAATGTTGAAAAGCAGAGCGACGATTTCTTCTTATTGTTTCGAAAGAATATAAAAAAGCGTCACCCTCGAAACTGAAATGACGTCACGAACAGATCACTTCACTCCGAGCGTTGAGATTGCTCATTGAATTTATTAGGTTCATGATTAATACGGCTTAAGATCTGAAATGCTGAATCCTAGAGGATATGAGTACTCTCAGAGTCATGTCATTGGTGTTTTGCATTAATCGTTAAAAATATATAGTATAACTATGACTAAGTTAGGTTCTGGGAAATGGTTTAATGGGTATATCTTATTATGTGTATATCTAAGCTTCATCAGGCTGTAGCTTTAAATGCTTGCATAGTTTTCAAATGAAATAACCCAAGATATAGCCACTACTAACCTGGGTAACTACTGGAACCACCTTAGCATTTTATTAATTTTTCGTACTAAAGCAGGAACTGACGTGGCCGCTTCAAAGAAAAGCACCTTTGCTTGGGAAAAATACCTGCTTATTGTTAGTCAGAAAAGCAAACGAATAAGAAATTATTTTACCTCTTGATGCTGGAAAAGCTTTAAATGGAATTGAGATATTTTATTTATTTAAAAAACTTTAAACATTAAATATTTGTAAATGCTTTAAAATGATTCTTAAAGCATGAAGCAGCAATGATTCTGTGGCATAGCTTTTAAGGTCTGCTTCCCTTTATTTTATCTTATAATTTTCCTTCTTTTTTTTTGTTTTTCTCTGATAAATGCATTTAACCTAAGCTGATTTTGGCCAACACTTTTGGCCCCTTCTCCTCTGCTTTGGGCCCTTTCTAACTTAAAACTCTGTCTTCGGGTTTTCTGCTTTTGTGGGCCACTTGTGCAACAACGCTGTTGCTTTTGGCTTTTGGCACCTCATTTGGTGTGTCTCTGTTACTCCTCTGCTTCTTTTTCTCCGCTTCTCCTCCACGGCTCCTCCTTTGCTTCTACCGTTCGTTGCTTTTGCTTGCGCTGCTCCCATTTCGTTTTTGGCCGTCCATCATTTCAAGTTAACGGTTGCGCGTACGAACAGAGCCAGCACAGGCATTAAAAGCAACAACGAAACTAACACACTTTTTTTTGCCCAACCCCCAGCCCACCTCTCTTTGTCTTCTTTTTCATCGTCTTCTTCTCTTTTTGCACTTTCTGGCATTTATTTGTATTTTTGTTTTTTGTTTCTCTTAGTTGCTTCTCTTCTTTGAGTTTCGTTTCGTTTCGTTTTCTTGTTTTTGTTATTGTACAGATTCCTGCATACTTTCGCTTTTATTTGAGGGTTTTATCTTGTATTAATATTATTTTTAATTATGTTTGTATTTATTTATATTTTTTATTAAATTTTCAAATAATTCTTGACATTCTAAAATGTATAGCTTTTCAGTGGTCAAAATTGTTATGGAATTAACATTATTTTGTAAAGCAACAAAGATTTTAAATCATTTTAAAAGCTGCCTGAAAGTATGCTAGATTTTAGTTGATTAACATTTCTAATTTGGAAAACAACAATCTAAAATTCCTAATGATTTCTAATACATTTCAAATTAATAATATAACCCAGATAGTTAATATTTCAATGGGACTTGAGCTATAAAATAAGAAACAAGAAAGGAAGCTAACTTCGGCACGCCGAAGTTTGTATACCCTTGCAGATATTATTTTATTGCATTTTACCTATACTTATTATGTTGAGAGTTTGACAGTTACAGTTTTACATTCCCAGTTTTACATTTTCCCTATACCTACCGATCGGTTTATATGGCAGCTATATGATATAGTTGTCCGATTTTCATAAAATTTATACAAAAATTCTGAACTTATAAAATAAGCGTATATCTCAGAGTAGATAAAAATAGTTTGAAAAACAACGAAGTTATAATTTTTTTTCTATTAATTTCCTGATCGTTCCTATGGCAGCTATATGATATAGTCGTCCGATTTTCATAAAATTTTTACCAAAATTCAAAAATAATATAAAATGGTCATATGTAAAAAATAGTGCACATATGTTGAAAAACAGCTAAGTTACAATTTTTTTTTCTAAAAATTTATCGAACATTTGTATGGCAGCTATATGATATAGTCGTCCGATCCGGCCCGTTCCGACATATATAGCAGTGAGAGCATATAGAAGACTATATGCAAAGTTTCATTCAGATAGCTTTAAAACTGAGGGACTAGTTTGCGTAGAAACAGACAGACGGACAGACGGACAGACGGACAGACGGACAGATGGACAGACGGACAGACGGACATGGCTAGATCGACTCGGCTGTTGATGCTGATCAAGAATATATATACTTTATAGGGTCGGAAACGTCTCCTTCACTGCGTTGCAAACTTCTGACTGAAATTATAATACCCTGCAAGGGTATAAAAATAGATATTCGTGGTTCCAAAACTTATATTATATTATATTTTTTAAGGGTACCTATAAACCCAAGATTGGAAAGGGGAATTCCTTTAATTTGTATTCATTCATCTTATTAAATTTATTTATATTACATTTGCCTTTTCTTTTGCTGTGCCATATTGGCTGTAAAAGCTCCAAGAAATACAAAGGTGGAGATGGTGGTAGTACCTCCTTTATTGAAAGAGAAATTAACTGAAATTTACTTCGCCAAGAGAGCGCCGCGCTCCGGTGGCACAGTTGTTGGCACAGTTAATTAAAAGCGAACCCCCTTTGGCAAAGGAGAACGAACCCCCCACATCGTACCAAACTCCCACACACCGATATTCCTTCCATGACACAGTCAGAGCTGAGTTAACTTTCCGGGGTGGTGGGGTAGGGAGAATGGGGGGTGGCTATATTATCGATGGGAGTTGAAATGTTTATGGCGAGATTACACCGTTAACTGATTTGAGACAGCTTTGTTGTGGGGTCCGTGACGTCGATAAGGTGGAATAAAGCCAGGAAGGAAGGGATATATAGGGGTTTATGATGTGTTTGGGGATTTGTTCACGGTACACGGGATGGATCTTGTGATTGGGGGGGGGACATGTATGTGAACATACAAGTATATAGATAGCAATCAAGATACTAGGAATGCTTGGTAATGCCTAAGTAATTCCCTATGTATGGCTTTGTAATGCAATTCATTCTAGTTATCGTTTTAATCGATATACTGATGAACATTATGATTGATTGATAAATTATTTTATAGAAGAATTATAAAGTTGACAAATAAATTATTTTCAACTCGCATTCCATTAATTATTGCAATCGATTTGTTTGTATTAATTAATAAATGATTGTATTCGATTAGTTATCGATTAATTTATATGAATAAGTAAATATTAATATGTGTTTAATCGAGAAAAATGTATAAACATCTACAAAAAAAATAAATAAAAATCTGCTAGTTATCGGTTTTTATCGATAACAAAAATAATACTTTCATTCCAATTTACTCGATTATAACAGTCGTTTAGTTATCACTTTATTTATATAATAACAAATAAATCATCATAATCAAAAATAAATTCAGATCTCTACGTTATCGGTTTTATCGATATCAAAAATGATCCAAAATGATCTCGCAATTAAACATTTTTAGGCTGTTAAATATTTTTGTTCGTTGCCCCGTTTTACTCCGCACTTTTTTCCGCTTCTCTCTGTTTCTCTGTTGTTACCATTGACCGCCACTGACTAACTTTCCCTTCACTTTCTCTCTCTCTTTTTATTTTTTTGCAGAACCGACAGCAGCGCCACCACCACCACCGAACTGGCGCGTGAGAATCTCTTCCAGCCGAACATGGATGATGCCAAGCCGGCGAGCAATGGCCAAAGCAAGTCCTTGTCCTACGGCGACTCGTCTTCATACAACTCCTCCTCCTCCTCCTCCTCCACATCGTCCTCCAACTCCTGCTCCTCCTCGACTGCCTCCTCTTTGAATATGTCCTCCTCCAGTGGGCGTGGCAATGTCTGCGTCTCTTTGGAAAATCAACCGCCCTCGTCGCGCCAACAGCTGATGACCACACCGGCTGGGGCATCCGGCGCACCGGCGGCTGCTAACTCAGCGCCGCTATCCGTTTCCGGCTCTGCCTCGGCCTCGGCCAGCATCGGACGGAAACGTCACCTGTCCAGCAGCAATCTGGTGAACGATCTGGAGATACTCGACCGAGAGCTAAGCGCCATCAATGCACCGATGCTGCTAATCGATCCGGAGATAACCCAGGGTGCCGAGCAACTGGAGAAGGCGGCGCTCTCGGCCAGCCGCAAGCGTTTGCGGAGCAATAGCGGCAGCGAGGACGAGAGCGATCGTTTGGTGCGCGAGGCCCTGTCCCAGTTCTATATACCGCCGCAGCGACTTATCTCCGCCATTGAGGATTGTCCACTGGATGTGGTCGGTCTGGGAATGGGCGGCAGCAGTGGCATTGGTATGGGAGGCGGCGGTGGCATGACCATGGGAATTGGAATTGGAATCGGGGGAGGATCAGGCGCTGGCGCCGAGATGGGTTCCACCATGAGCATGAGCAAGCGGAGCAAGCTGAATGACCATCATCATCATCTTGGCCACCATCATCACCACAGTCTGCACCACCACCATCATCATCATCACCACCACCTGGAGCTGGTGGACTTTGATATGAACCAGAATCAAAAGGACTTTGAGGTCATTATGGATGCTTTGCGTCTGGGAACGCCGACGCCGCCGAGCGGCGCCAGCAGCGATTCGTGCGGCCAGGCGGCGATGATGAGCGAATCGGCCAGCGTTTTCCACAATCTGGTGGTCACGTCGCTGGAGACATGAAAGTACCAGTAAGGAGCAGGAGCAGACAAAGATTATAAAGTAAAAATACAAAAAAAAAAAAAAAACAAAAAACAAAGGAAAAAGGAAAAAAGAAGAAAACAAAACAAAACTTAGGCTATGACAACCTTAGCCTTAAGCTAACTTTTAAGTCCACAAAAGTAAAGAAAAAAGAGAAATGAAACCCCCGAAGGAGAAGATCGAAAGCATTACTCATTTTAAGGTTCAAGAAAATACAACAAAATATTTGTATTTAAAACGGATACAACAAATCAAGACAAAATACAAAAAGAAAAAAAAAACAAAAATCAAAGAATTTGTAGTCAAAAAAAAAATAAGAAAAGAAAGAGAAAAATCTATAAGTTAAATGTAATTATAATACACAAAATCCAGGCAAAAGAAGAAAAAAAACTTTAGTTGGTTTCCGTTTCGGTTTCGATTTCGATTTCAAAAACCAAAAAATAAACCCACACAAAAATCTAGGCCAAGCAGCACATTCCAGGGTCCTACCCAAAGGCCTCGCTCGCTCTAAAAAATGTCTGAAATCAAAAAAATTCAAAACGAATTTCCCATAATTGTTTTTCATTTGAGATTCTTTTTTGCTTTATATATCTCACACAAAGATTATACAAATAAATATATATATGTTTTAGACCAAATCCCAAGAAGTTCTCCTAGTCAACACTGAAAACAAAACAACAACAGAAACAATTACAAACGAAAGAGAACGAAAACTGACAAAAGATGCAACTTTTTAATACAAGGTTTCATTTATTAAAAATTTGCTTTTAAAAAATTCACCTAAGAGAGGTTGCGCTATAAAAAATAAAAGAATTATTAAACTAATTTTGTGTTTAAAAACAATATTCAACTTTGAAAAAGATATTGTTCTCAAGTATATACAAATTTTAAATTCAAATCTTACCTTATATTAAAAAATAATACCTTATTGGTTTACATATTTTTAATAAGTTCCTTTGAATTATTGCGTAACCCCTTTAAAAATCAATATTTAAAACTCAAGCACAAGAAACACACGAAAAAAAATACCTTCAAGCAAATTATATTTTATTTAAAAAAATAAAAATAGCAACAAAACAAACAAAAAATATTATACAAAAAAAGTGCAATTAGAATTTTTTAAAATATTGAAAGCAAGCCTCAAAAAGAAAAAAACCAACAAAAGTGCATTGAAAAAAGATTTAAACAGAAATCGGGCAAAATTAACCAATTACAATAAAAGTAATAATTAGTTAATTAATAAGAAACAATTTAAGCAAAAACCAACAAAAATAACACACACAAAAAAACAAACATTTTTTCTTCGAAAAACAAAAAAAGTTATGGCTGTGATAGAATTTTAAGTTTAAGTAATACATTTTTTTTGGCTAAAAAAATTAACACAAAAAAAATGAAAAGAAACAACAAAAAGTTACAATTTAGAAAGCAAAAACAAAAAAAAAAGAACTCGTGGATATTATTATGATCAATGTATGTGTAAAAAGCAAACATTTTTTAGTATTAATAAGGGGAAAACCCAACAACAACAACCAAACAAAGCGAAAAGAAACAAAACAAAACAGAAGAAAACAAAAACTAATTGTGTAGAAGAAGCCAGCGCACTGCGAGAGCTGCACTTTCTTCGGGAGAAAGAAAGAGGGAGAGAGAATCTTCTCCCCAATGCGCGTGCGTGCAACTTTCGCTCGCTTTTTGGCTTTCATTGATTTTATATACTTGCATACAACTATATACACAGACACACACACATATATATATATATATATATATATATATATATATATATATATATATATATATATATGTCTTAACAGATATGAAAATATGTTTTTTTGTTTCTCTTCAATTTTTTGTTATTGTATTTTTGCGCATTTTCTACAAGTCGCGCGCTGCCTCGCCTCGCCTAAGCTTTCGTTTTCGTTTCACGTTTTTACACGTTTCTCGCTATTGTTTTCTCGTTTGTTCCAAACTCTGTTCCCTCAAAGATTGCGGCGAGAAGAGCATTAAAAAATTGGGGCGGGTAGGTCAAAGACCCGAAGCAAAGCGGCGAGAGTGTTCTGTATCGATAAACCTACCTACCATTTACTGTTTCCAATTAACACACAAACATTTTGTTTAATTATATACCTAAGTTTCTATTTCTATTATTATCGAGTACTTTGTAGTTATTATTATATATGTATGTGTTTTTTTTTCTTTGTAACTAGAAGAATTATTTACAAGTTTTAGCGAAACATTACACGCATATTGTATTTCCATTTTAGTTAATATTCCTACATTTACATGCATATTATATAGATAAACCAATATATGTACATGTATGGTGATCTGCCCCGCAGACCGAAACTATTAAGCATTCAAACCAACAAAAAAAGAAAAAGCTATACAACAAAGGCAACAATAAATTATACAAAAAAAAAAGTACAACATTTATTTGTTTTTTTTTATTTGTTTTAGTTTTTAACAAGTTTGATTTCCCATCGCCAATATGTTTCGATATATTTGCTATGTGCTATCGATTGGTTATTGTTTGGTTTCGATTTAGGAAAGTTAATGCAAGTTCTTGGGTTCTTAATCTTTAAAGTTTAAGGATTTTTAGCTTTCTTTGGTTTATGGATATATTCAATTGTTATCTTGCTATCAATTGGGATTTAGTTATCGCTTTCTTTTCAGTTCTTAAGTTTGAAAATTGTTGTCTCTGACTTGTGATTTCCTATCGTCAATATGGATTTGTGTCGCCTATGCTATAGGTTGGATTTCTGTTCTAATTTCTATAGTTGAATTTCTGGCCATCGTAAGTCGATAATTTATTTATCGATCCTACTATTTATTTGATTTCTATTTGATTTCTTACTTTTTGTCATTCTTTTATTTTTATATTTTATATTTGAAATGGTTTTAGGTTTTGATTTTAAGCCACTTGTCTTGGCCTTGAGTTTTCTCCAAGACCCCATTCCCCGGTTATCGATAACGATTGCTGAATCAACACTCTGATGGCTCTGTGAGATCATCATCATCACGAAAATTTGTCTGTGGGTTGACCTAGCCCAGGGTTAGGCCCGCTGGCTTTTGTTTTGTTTATACGCTGCTTCTTTTGGGGGTCAAATTTATTGAAAGCACAAAACGATCAGCAACTCACACTCGAAACTGTTCCGTTGACTGCATTCCGGTCCGCTCGCTTCTCGCTTCGAATGCCAAATTTGTGGACCGACGCGAAGCTATACGCTCTCCGTCTCATAGATGGGTCTGGGCTTTTTTTTGGCCAATGTCGCACTCGTTCAACGACTCCGGCTTGAACCCATTCGATCGTCAAGTTTTTGTTTCGGTTGCGGCCTTGGAGTGCTCTCTTTTTTTTGTTTTTTGGCCAAAATGGATTTATGAAATTAATGTGCGCTGATATCCATTATTATTATTATTTCCTTCCTATGTTCTAGATTTATGGATAAAGCATATATTAAAGCTTAGAATGATCAGTCGGCTGGCCTTAAATATTCTTAAATAATGTTGAAAGTAATAAATAAAATGTAAAACTCTTAACTCTTTACTCGATTTTAATTGAAATATAAATGGGGAAACAGAATGTAAAACATGCGAATGGTTTAGGTTATGATTTGCCAACTGAATAATACCTCTTAATCTATGGACCAGTCTCTCTAGCACATACACTCACATACATACATACATACATACATATACATACTATATACATATTTATAACTATATAAAAACTTGATTTGTAGTTACTAAAGTTGGAAGTTCCAATGCCTCCACTTTTGTTTTTGTTTTCAATGTTCCAAAAATGATTTCACTTCATAGAGATATATATACAATATAATATATATATATATATATATATTTAGTATATACATGTAGGGTAGAAGTTAAGGATACATAAGTGCTTTTTAATGGAATATATAAAGACCGCAACGCAGAGAAAATAACAGGCCACGATGTGAGCGAGTAACAAGTAACAAAACGACATATGAACTAAATATACAGAGCATAGATATTACGTACATATTTATTATGAGTTGCTTTTAGTGTGATAATTCATTAGCGAAGCAAACATAAGAGAACAATTTGCGAATAAATTCTAAGAAAACCAGAAGATTGTTTTATTTTTTAAATCAAGGTGTGGTGGACTGTTAATTAAATTAATTAAATCAAAAATTTTAATATAATAATATATAAAATATATACATTTCATATAATAATTAATTTATAAATAATATAAATAAAATAAATAAAATAACTAACGAATAACTTATAAATAAAATAACTAATTAAATTTGGAGTTATCAAAAGGAGACTTTATTCGAAAAAAAACCTTAAAACAAAATAAGTTTATTTTTAGAAAAAAAAAAATAATAATAATAACAATACAAATCAATAAAGAAAATATAGAATATCAAATAAACAAACAAACAAAAATATTACACAAATAAAAAAATTTTTAAAGAATTTTTTAAAATATTTAAAGCAAACCTAAACAAGAAATAAAGCTAACTTTGGCCAGCCAAAGTTTGTATACCCTTGCAGGTAACAATTAAAATATATCATAACTAAGCCAAAAATGCATTAATTTCGATTCGGAAAGCAGTTTTGTGTTAGTTTTTATTAATTTAAAAAACTGCATACCAAATATAAATTTTTGCTAATTTTAATGATGTTACTTACCCCTTATCAAATTTCGCAAAAATGGCCAAAAAATCGATTTCTTCCGGACGTGTCTAGAAAGATTCGCATGTTAATGCTGATCAAGAATATATATGGTTTATGGAGTCGGAAATGATTCCTTGACTTAGAAAAATATTATTTTGTATTATAAAATCGGATTTTTTATATTAAAAAACTTCTTCATTATTTTAAAATTAACAAGAAAGGAAGCTAACTTTGGCATGCCGTTGCAGAATGGTTTTGATGTTTATATTATACATAGATTATAATACTGACAACACTCACAAAACAGAGTTTCATTTCATTTTACCTATACTTATTATGCTTACAGTTGACAGTTACAGTTTTACATTCCCAGCTTTACATATTTTATACATTTACCGATCGCTTCTATGGCAGCTATATGATATAGTTGTCCGATTTTTATAAAATTTATACCAAAATTCTAGAATAATAAAAAAAAACTTATATCTCAAAGTAGATATAAATACGTTGAAAAACAACGAAGCAATAATTTTTTCCTAATAATTTCCCGATCGTTCCAATGGCAGCTATATCATATAGTCGTCCGATTTTCATAAAATTTTTACCAAAATTCTGAAATAATATAAAATGACCATATCTAAAAAATGGTGCAAAAATGTTGGAAAACAGCAAAGTTATAATTTGTTTTCTAAAAATTTATCGAACATTTGTATGACAGCTATATGATATAGTCGTCCGATCCGGCCCGTTCCGACATATATAGCAGTGAGAGCACATAAGAGACTCTATGCAAAGTTTCATTCAGATAGCTTTAAAACTGAGGGACTAGTTTGCGTAGAAACGGACAGACGGACGGACAGACGGACATGGTTAGATCGACTCGGCTGTTGATGCTGATCAAGAATATATATACTTAATGGGGTCGGAAAGGTCTCCTTCACTGCGTTGCAAACTTCTGACTGAAATTATAATACCCTGCAAGGGTATAAAAATAGAACCCCATAAAAGCGCATTAAAAAAAAAGATTTAAACACAAATCGAACAAAATTAACTAATTACAAAAATAAATAATAATTAATGAGTTATTCATTAACTAATAATAATTCAATTTATAATAATTATATAGTAAATAAATCAATTTGAAATTCCAGTGTCATACAAGCATAAAAGAGTGGACTTAAAGACTATTTCAATTTGAAATTCCAGTGTCATACAAGCATAAAAGAGTGGACTTAAAGACTAGCTTTTCGCTCTTGGTTTGGTTTCTGTTGGATTTTTTATCGTGGGCCGCTCTTCTCTTGGACCCTGACACTCTTACAGAGAGTCTCTCACTTGCTTAACATGGTTTTTTTTAAATTTAATTGAATTTAATGAATTTTCGGCGGAGGTATAGATTTTTTAAATTTTGAGTTTTTCCCAAAAATGATCAAAAAGGATTTTAGCAATTTTTTAATATTTTATAAAATATTTGAGTTATACTTTTTTTGTATTATAGGTACTTTTGTTTTACATTTAGAATGATTTTCTTAGTTTTGGCGATTTTTCTTAAATATAAAAAAATATTCTTAAGAGTGCATTTAATATTTATTATAATTTTATATATTTCCAAATTTTTGTAATAAAAAAACATTGACAAATTCAAACATGTAATAATTTTAAAATATTACCTAAATGGATAATTTTGTCGGGGAACCCTTGTAGGTAATATTTGTCACAAATTTATTGTGTAACAATTAGCAGAGACAGTAGATCGGCTCGTCTGGAGCTGCTTTTCTTTTCCTAAATTATATTTAACCAGGAAAGAAAGCTACAAAAACCCTGTGTATGTATTTAAAAACACCATTTTGTACAGGAATAATTTTTATGTTTAGTTTTTCTTTTATTAAGCAGAAGATCGGGTCACAGCTGGGAGTGAGAGTGGTGGGTTCAGTAGCCGGAATATCCTTGGCTGCAAGGAGCTGGCGTAAAAACACTCTGGCAACCGAACACATAATTTCTGGGGCACGGCGGCGAGGGAATTGAGGCGCCGCCATAGGATGCAGGAGCTGGAGCCGGAGCCGGTGGTCCATAGCCGCCAGCCGTCCTGGCCATTCCAACGAGCTCATCCATGTACGTGCGGGCATAGCCGGAGGATTTCGAAGCAGCAGCGGGCGCTGAGTATCCGCTGGATTCCTTGGCAGGTGCTGCATAGCTGGAAGCAGAAGAAGATGCCGGCGCAGAATATCCGGAGGCGGAAGCAGGAGAAGCCTTTGGTGCTGAATATCCAGAGGATGCTGGTGCCGCAGCTGGCGCTGAATATGCTCGCGATGCTGAGTATCCAGAGGAAGCGGGTGCGGAGTACGATGGAGCAGCGGGTGCTGAATACGAGGGAGCAGCGGGTGCTGAATAGCTAGGAGCAGCGGGTGCAGAATAGCTAGGAGCAGCAGGTGCTGAATATGATGGAGCTGCGGGTGCTGAATAGGATGGTGATGCGGGTGCTGAATATGAGGGAGCTGCAGGAGCAGAGTAGGACTGAGCCTTTGGTGCTGAATAGCTGGATGATGCGGGTGCTGAGTATGATGGTGCAGCAGGAGCTGAGTATGAGGGAGCCGCAGGTGCAGAGTAGGATGGAGCGGCAGGGGCTGAATAAGATGATGATGAGGGTGCTGAATATGATGGGGCAGCAGGAGCCGAATAAGATGGTGCAGCAGGCGCTGAGTATGATGGAGCTGCAGGTGCTGAATACGATGGAGCAGCTGGGGCAGAATAGCTTGGAGCAGCTGGGGCGGAATAGCTTGGAGCTGCAGGCGCCGAATATGATGGAGCAGCTGGGGCGGAATAGCTTGGAGCTGCAGGCGCTGAGTATGATGGAGCAGCTGGGGCGGAATAGCTTGGAGCTGCAGGCGCTGAATATGATGGAGCAGCTGGTGCGGAATAGCTTGGAGCTGCAGGTGCTGAATAGCTTGGAGCAGCTGGGGCAGAATAGCTTGGAGCTGCAGGCGCTGAATATGAGGGAGCTGCAGGTGCTGAATACGATGGAGCAGCTGGGACAGAATAGCTTGGAGCAGCTGGGGCGGAATAGCTTGGAGCTGCAGGCGCTGAATATGATGGAGCAGCTGGGGCGGAATAGCTTGGAGCTGCAGGCGCTGAATATGATGGAGCAGCTGGGGCAGAATAGCTCGGTGCTGCAGGCGCTGAATATGATGGAGCAGCTGGGGCGGAATAGCTTGAAGCTGCAGGCGCGGAATACGATGAAGCCTTTGGCGCTGAATAGGCTGGAGCAGCAGGAGCAGGCGCTGAATACGACGGAGCCGCGGGTGCCGAGTATCCCTGGGCCTTGGGCGCCGAATAGCTGGCCTGCGAGTTGTAGACAATCGGGGCAGCGTAGGCCTGGGACGGAATATTACGACCGCGGCGCTCTTCGTAGTCGAACTCCGTCTCGGGAACGGCATCCTCGAACTCCTCGTTCTCGTTGGCCGAAACCGAAACCGCCATGGCGACCCATAGGCAGCCCAGGACCAGCAGTGTCGGCAGCAGTCGTTGTCCCCACATGGCTCACTGAATTTTGACTAGAGTTTCGCCACCGGTAGGGGTTTTTATATGACCGGAAAGAAAGAACAAATCAGCGAAATTTGTGGTCTCACCTGCAGAGACTGGAGAACGGAAAATGAAGAATTGCGCAAGTGCTGCAGTCTTAGTTTGGATTCTTTTCTGCATTTCGGGCACTTTGTTTTCATTTAAATTCGCTGGAATCAAACTTATGTTTTAGCCGAATCGATGGGTAATAAAATATTAAATTAAACTAATACTCTTCCTTTTAGATTTATATATTGCGTTCTATATCTTTTATATAAACAATCTGAGTTTTCGATATTTTAGCACATCAAAATCGATTTTAAATCGATTAAGAGCGATTTTTTCAGCCTTTTATCTGGAGATATTTATCCAAAAGTAGTTTCTTTAGGTACAGCATGTTATTAATATTATTAATATTCCCATTCGAAGCTCTCTAATTTTTTGTAAGTACATTTGTTCTATTTATTTCTGCCTTGAATAAATAAATCTGACACTTCAATGACTGAACCCACAACTAATACGGTGCGCGGCATTAGCTCCAAGGGAAAAGAGTGTGCAGAGCGAGTTGTCAGCGAGTCAGCACTTTCGCTATTAAACTCGGTCATCAGCGGAATGCTGAGCTGTCGATATGTGGGTTCAAGTGCCACTTTATTAATACCAATCTAAAAAAGCAATTAAATTACATGTGTAACCATTTAATTATTACAGCAAATAAAAAACTATTTATTAGGTTTAAAGCGAAATAGATATATTGATTATACATTTTTTAGAATTAAATTTATCAAATTAAAATATATTTTAAAATAAATAACATTCAAATTTGAGTACAGAAACTAACAAGTATATAGAATATAATACAAGTTATACTATGGTACATTTTTTCAAATTCCAATTGGCGCGCTCTGTCGTGGTTATCGATAACTAGTATAATCGAGAAAACGTCTTACCTTCTCTGGTCAATAAAGATTTTTTGTGAAATCTTTTATATTGGCGCATTAATTACATTTTTTATTTAATTATTATTATTATTTAATTTGATAACACAGGCGCGAAGTATGAAAATGGAACCAGCTGTGAACTAGCAGGGAACTAGTTCCTGAACCCAAGAACAGAACCATGTAAAAAAAAAAAACTAGATTTTATAACATCAGCAATTTATGGAATTTAATATTAAATAAAGTACCTGCCCGATAAACAAAATCGGTATTCTGAGCAATTTGGTAGGAGCTTCATCAAAATCCGTTAAGTTCCTACATTTTCAATTATTACATAAGCCATTTATGGCTTAATTATTATGTATTAAAAAACAATTCATTTTAAATAGTGCGCTTTTAAGAGTCTTTCAGTATATTTAGTCAAATATATTTTTAGTAGCCAAATTTCTGATCTCAAAAATTGGATTCTGTTTTAGGGATGAGCATGAATAAGGGTTGCCAACTACCGATAGTTCGAGTTGTTAAAATACTGAAAGTGTGAACATTCGAGCTGAAAATGGTGTATTATGGTATTTTTTGGCTGGGTGGTATTTTCCTATCGTTATCGGCGCGGTCACCCTGGCTCTAGTTGCGTTGGTGTTGCCAACTCTTTGGGGCTTGAAAAAGCTAAACCCAACTTCGAAAAAAGCTAGAAATAGCCAGCAAATTTTGATGATAGCACATTCAAACACGTTCGTCGAACACATTCTCTCTCTCGGTTCGGTTGCAACGGAGCCGAAGGTGCTGCCGAAGGCTGCCGAAGTCTATGTTGTTCGCTCTCGAACACTCTACATTCTACACGAGAATTCGACCCCAAGCGTGTAAAACTGTGTTTTGACATTTTACTTTGAAGTTCAGAGTGACCAAGGAGAAAATACCAAATATCGAGATTTCGGTATTTTGATATACTTACATTTTTACACTCTACACGAGAATTCTACCCCAAAACGAGAATTCGACCCCAAAAACGAGAATTCGACCCCAAGCGTGTAAAACTGTGTTTTGACATTTTACTTTGAAGTTCAGAGTGACCAAGGAAAATATCAAACAAAAATATGGCGATTTCGATATTTGGGCAAAAAGTATCGTTATATTTAGGTTTTGAAACACGCCGATATAGTGGGAAAAGCTAAATTGGCAACACTGGTTGGTGGAGGAGGACGAAGCAAAGACCAAGAAAATGCACAGATCGCGATCGGTGCAAAAGGGAATGTGGAGAGGAAATATCAAAGCGTAAAAATCGAAGGCGGCCGCCAGCAGCATCCGCGACTACAAAAACAGCAACAACAAGAGCAGCGAGAACGGAGGAGGCAGCAACAACAGCAAAACAACAACAGAATATACAGCGCAGCGAGCACAGAAATACACATAAAAGAGAAATCAAAATAAAAAGGTACAGAATATACGACAGACAAATACACGCGAGTGCGTGTGTGTATATGTATGTATAATTGTTTGATGAAAAATAGAATTACTGCATTTCATATATGTACATTTATGTATATACATATGAGTAAAAGCCTCTTTGTGTCTGTGCGCGCTTGAGTCTGAGTGTGTGTGTGAGAATGCGACAACAACAATGGCAGCTTGACCCCCGCACAGCTGTGAATGTTTTCCATCTCCGTCCCGCTTCCACTTCCATTACCACTTGCACCCACTACCAGCCATTCCTCTTCCCACCTCGCTCTATCCCTGTAATTTTGCAAATCAAAAGCAAACTTCGATTTGCAATGCATGTCAATAGCGTTGGCTTTGCCAATTGGTTTTCGCTCTATTTCGGTTTTTTCCCGTTAGTCAAATGCCCTATCGAAGTGTTTGTCGTGCTCTTTAACTACCGTTAAGTGCAACATTTCTTTGTTGTGATATTGCCATCCCTTTCGCGCACCACAGCACCCCCCACTCCACCTCCCCGAAAACTACGCACTTTGCTTATTGCGTTGTGTGCTTTCCTCCGCCCCGCTCCTTTGCTTTTGCGTTTTAAAAATCTTATCACCACGTACAATTAAATGTGTTGAAATGCGGAGTAAAAACTCATTTGCTAAATTTTTGGCCCCACAAATACATGTAACGGTCCCTTCTCGCACACTTGCAGTCAATGACCCAATAGGCATTGTGTGTATGCCAGTGTGTGTTGCAAAAACACCTCCAAAGATGTCTCCCTAATTTTGGCTTTGTTTTTGGCTTTGCCTTGATTTGGTTTGGCTTTATTTTTAACCCTTCGCTAAACCGTTGCATTTTGACCTCGTTCAATTGTGATGTGTGGTGGGTCTTTTGTTGCTAGGCCCCACACACACGTGCACTTTTGAAGGGCATCGCCACTTCGGCTTTGGCCTCTCCATCCTATCCGTTGCCCTGCTGTTATTCCTCATTTCTTTCTTTAGCTTTTGTTTTTGTGGCTTTGCCTTGCTGCATTTTACAGCTGTCCTTGATTATAGCTTTTCTTTGCTTTGCTTCACTTTGCTTTGGTTTTCTTTTCCCTGCTCTCGGTCGCTGTCCCTCTCTGCTGCCCATCGCTTTGTTATTATGATTTGGCTTTGCCTGGGCGTGCGAGGGAGAGGACGGACTGGGGTGGGGAGTACACTGCACTGGCATCGCGACCCTCTTCCTCCTCCCGCTCCCTGACGCCCTCACTCCCTCGCACTCTCTGCTTTGCGCTTGCTCTCCTGATTGTCGCTCTCTGCTTCATGCTGGCTCTGGCTCTGCCTCTGCTGGCGTTGCTCCAACGTGCGCTGCTTTCTGCTTTCTGCTTTGGGGGCTCGAAACTCTGTTGCCAGTTAATTTTCAGTAACTAGTTGAAGTAGACAACAAAACGAGCGAAAACACACACACACACACACACACACAGGCAGCGCTCCTATATGCATAAGGGAGGCGGAGAGGCAGCAGCAACAGCAACAATAACAGCCCCAACGAACACAGCAGTTGCAAGTAAATAACCAAAATGTATAACTATGTTTTTCATAACTAAAAAAACAAAATGCTGAACGTAAGTGTGCATGTGTGTGTGCAGTGTGCTGTGTGGTTTTGATAAGAAACGTTACTCGATATTCTTTGTGTGCTTTTCAAATTTAAATAATTATTAAATAGAAATTGACTGCGACAAAAACAAACTGTTCTTTCAAATGCCAGCTGACTCGCATTTATTTATTTTTATTTTTATTTTTTTGTTATTGTTGATATTCCATGTGGGCGCATCATTGTCACACACTCAGACAAAAAACCAAAGCCAATAGTAATAGCGACAACAAGGGCAAAATGGAGCCCGAACAGTAATACCTCGCTTATTGCGTACAGTGAAGCCACAATAACAGTAATCTCCACATACGCACACAGATGCACACACACAACAGTCGGAGGCTATACAGAAATCGAAAGAGAATTTCACAATTTGTTAAACTAACGAAGCCAAACCGTGGCAAAGACAGAAACGGAAAGATTTTTGATGTGATGGGGGGCTAGAAAGAGACGGGAAGACGGGGGAGCTCGGGTACAAGCAAAAGCACCACAAGCGCACACACACGCAAAGTGCAAGAGAGTGGAGAGCGAAGTAACAGCAGAATTAGCTCATCCCAGAGCGGGAGAAGTGGGTGATGCAAAGGCGATGAAGAGAGAGAGAGAGAGAGCGAGCCATGGAATGGGGGATAGTAGGCAGATGGCACTGTGAATCAATTTTGTCACCTAGCTGAATATGATCGAGTAAAGTGCCCAGCCCTTAAGTCAAAGCCTTTTCAATTTCCCATTTTTATTTGTAATTTTAAGGATAACCTTATTGCTGAAATTATTATATTGAAACATAGGGTATGTTTTAAGATTACAAAATTCCAATATTCTATTAAATTGAGTCATAATCCTAGTAAGTCTGGTCAATAGGAATAACAGGATAACAAGGCTACCACCTCCTTGAGGCCCACGGTACATTTGTTGATTTCAAGATGATTGTGGGGCCTCTCTCTCGTCTGCTCTCTCATGCCCACTCTCTTTCGCGCCTTTCTCTCTTTCTCTCTCCCTCCTGCTGTTTGACTGTCGAGCGAGCAACAACATTAAACAGCTGAGCTTGTTTGAAAACAACAGCCACCAAACCATCTGAGCTCCGTCATCGCCCCCACTTCACTCCACTCCATTCGCTCCTTTCGCGCCCCACTGGAAAAGGAAATTGAAATTGAAACGGCATCACCCAGAGCAACGGTTGGTTGGCGAGCTTAACGGTATCCCGAAGGTATGCAGCATAATTCCGGTTAGCAGATCCCTTTCGAAGGACACTAATTTTTGCAAATGGCAATGACGTAGTTGGGAGCGAGGTAAAGAGAGAGAGAGAGTGGCTTAAGATACGACGTCACAGATTGCTGACATAGTTTCCTCATTTAGGCCAAGTATGCATTTCCACCAGTGCAGTGAGTGCAAAAGAGATTCGCTCAGCTTGGTGACCTACATAACCATGAATATAAATATATATATGTATATAGATAACTGAGCAACTCAGAAGGCAACGCGACATCCTTTATATCGCATCGGAACAGGAATCGGAAGAGAAATGGCTTATAATCGAAAGTCAAGTTGAATATTTTCGATTTAGAATCTATATTTGAATTGAATTTCGAAACTACCTTTGAATTTGGAAGCTCACCAAGGCTTACTAAGGGGTAAAATCGGAACAAGGACATATTCATATTTCAAGGATGTGTATTTCGCGCCTTTTTTTTTTGTGTGTTATCAGGGTATTTTGTAAAGTAGGCAACATTTTAAAAATAAGTTCGACGTCGAAAGAAGGTTTAATAACTTAAATTTAAATTAAATTGATCAATTTAATTTTTTTTAATATTGTTTAATATATTAATATATACTCCTCAGAATGTCCATTCTTATAAGTTTTTTGTTTCTCCTTGCAGGCAACTCTTTCGTTCTGGACCCTGCCAGTGAGAGTTGACGGATGCGGATGCGTTCGCAGTCAGCGGTGGAGCAGCAGACGACGAAGAGCACCAGGAAGTGGACAGAGGAACCATAATAGCAATATACCTTAACAGAAATATACCGCCTTAGCCTTAACGAAAAAAAAAAAGACAACGACGAGTCCACACCAAATCAAAACCAAAACCAATCAAAAGCCCAACTGCAAGTCCCAGCTCCCAGTCCCCATCCCACGTAAGCTACAAAAATGTCCTCGCCGAGTGCCGGAAAGCGTCGCATGGACAACGATGTGATCAAGCTGATTGAATCGAAGCACGAGGTCACCATCCTGGGCGGCCTTAACGAGTTCCATGTCAAGTTCTTTGGACCCACAGAGACGCCGTACGAGGGCGGCGTGTGGAAGGTGCGCGTCTACCTGCCCGATAACTATCCCTTCAAATCGCCCAGCATTGGGTTTGTGAACAAGATCTATCATCCGAATATTGACGAGTCATCTGGGACCGTTTGTTTGGATGTGATTAATCAGGCCTGGACTGCGCTGTACGATCTATCGAACATCTTTGAATCGTTCTTGCCCCAGCTGCTCACATATCCCAACCCGGTCGATCCGCTCAATCGGGATGCGGCCGCTTTGTACCTGCACGAGCCGGAGGAGTATCATCGCAAGGTGGCGGACTATGTGCAGCGTTATGCCACCGAAGATGCGTTGCGGGCAGCGCAGCAGGAGCGTGAGAGCAGTGACAGTGAGTCGAGTATGTCCGATTATAGTGAGGATGAGGCCAGGGATATGGAGTTATAATATCGGTTGGAATGCCAGCAGCAGCCAACAAAGGATCTACCGCTAACACTAACACTGACAACAGCCTAATATATATACAAAGGAAAAGGATAAATCCCTCTCACTTTCAGAAAACAAGCTACAATATATATATATATATATATATATATATATATATATATATATATAGATATTTATATATATATATATAAATAGCATATATATATATATATATATCGATTTAATTGATAAATGATTTGGATTTTAAGCTAGAAAGTGATTCGATGATGTAGCGTGCACACACGCACATGCATACATATAAATATATATATATATAAATATAATATATATATATAAATATATAGATACACTATATATACACACAATGCATATATATATGTACGTATATACACATACTATATGTATGCATTTACCTAAATGTAAGCGGAACGTAAAACGGAAAACAAGATTTGAAAACTCTTAGTTTTAGCCATCAGTAGCTGTTAACAAGGATAACAAATGATAAAAAACAAAAGCTAAGATTGGAGCAAGGTTGGAAGAATTGTAACAGAGCAAAGCAAGGAACTTACAGAAACGAAGTGGAAACAAACAAACAATTTAAGATGGAAACATGGTTATAGTAAGTGCACAGACACACAGACACATGCAATATAAAGAATAATGAATAAGGAATAATGTATAATGAATAAGACGATGTGCTTTTGGCTTTGTTCAGACCTCGTTCCATCGTTCAATAGGAGTTCTAAAGAGTTTTAAGGATCAAAAAGTACCAGAACACACAACCAATAACAACAATCCAAAATCCAGTTGCATCCACTGAAGGATCTAGACAAAGTTCGCTTTGCCTTAACCCTCGATAGCCGCTTTCCAAAATAATCTATGAACAATAAGTGACTTTTTGGGGCCAAGAGGGTTAAGATTATAATTATGTTCGCTTCGTAGAATATTTCAATTTAAATGTTACGTCTCGTCTCTCTTTCTCTCTCTCTCTGTTTCAATCTCTGTGTGTTCACTTGTAATATTATTCAAAATTTGTAACTGTTTAAACTAAGGAGAAAAACATCCCCCCAAAAACCATTTGACTAAGCAGCCTTGGCCCTGCGAAAATGATTTAAGATATAACCAAGACAAATCTTAGAGAAAGGAAGCCGTGGAACAGAATAAACGTTGCAGTTCATTTTCTTGTTAATTAATATTATATTGTACGGTTATTATGTAATGTTTTAAAATAGGATTTCGAATTGAACGTGTAATTAAATGCAATAACTCGTATGTCCTAACTTATGTCACACCGTGTTTAAGCCAAAATTAACACTTGTTTATTTTAATATATATATATATTTTTTTTAATTTTATTTTAATAATAATTATAATTATTAGCCCGAAAATCCCAATCCAAATTGTTAAACGAAACCGATCTGAATCTGGAACTGGGTTAGTACGCTGCGGGTTTAAACTTAACTGAAGAAATCAAATCAAAGTGCAGACATATATAGACATTACTGTACTGTGTACTAAAAAAAAAGAAAAGAAAAACACAACATTATAACAATACTTACGCCTAAGTCGAACAGAAACAGAATTAATGAACAGAGTAATCTATCTGATAGTTGTATATAAGTTACACACGCGCCTATATATGCTGATTCTATCTATCTATCAGGACACACAATAATTAAAACGTAATTCAAGCAATCGAAGAAGTCGGAGGAAAAACAAAAAAAAAACAGAAAAAATATAAAAGAACAAATATGTTGTTACAAAACAAAAGTGAAATCTAACAAATAAAAGAGGAAACAAAAGAAAAAAAAAAACACTAAAAAGAAACCGTTGATACTTTTTTTCCAAATGAAAGTGAAGAGGTAAGCGATTGTGCCAAAAGATCCTGCAGGACAAGACAAGAATGAGCTTGAAAAATTTGTAAATATAAAGTTTTCTACATAAACCCCAGTACAAAGTATGAAAGTATGTTGATTTTTTATTTATTAACTTTTTTCAGAGATTTTTTATTGTTAAATTATAATATTTGTGGCTCTCTCTCTGCCTCTCTTTCAAGACATCCTTCGTATGCCGTTACTCATCTTTCACTGTCTTTGTTTGGAATGCGGTGGCCAAAAGTCGCTTCTTGGCCCTGTTTTGTCAATAAGTTTTGGTGTTTCTGGCCTCAAAAATAGACTGGCACGGTTACCTTTATATACCTTTACCTAGGTCCAACTCCACCGCCACCTCCTTCAAGGACCTGTCTTCGCCTTGGAAACTAAACTGAAAGGCGCGCTCTATATTTTGTTTGTTGATTCCTTGGCTTTTTTCGTTTTGGCCCAAGGGCCGAGGGACACGGTTTTAACGCTCCTGCGTGGAGTTAATCGCGCAATCAAAACAACAACAACAACAACGGCAGTCAGGAGCCAGGAGCAGACCGACCATGGGTATCTACTTTAAAGATCTATAAAAAACAACATTTCGTCTGTGTCTGTGTCTGTGTCTGTGTGTGTGTGTGTGTGTGTGTGTGTCAGTGTGGATTGTAATTACTTTTGAAGGTTCGACAATTGCCCTAGCAATTGGGTAGCAGCCTTGGCCAGCCCCAAATTCAAAGGGAATACAAAATAGTTGAAGTTTTGCCAGTTTTCTAGGGGGCTTTGTTGGGGGAATTCCTTTCTGGTTGCAGGAATTTCAAAAGTTTCTCGGTTAATTGCTTTAAAGCCTAGAGGCATAGCTTTGTGGATTTCAAATATAATTACAAGTGCCACAGGCCTACGTTTGGGCACCATTTTTAAATGATTTATAAAATCAAAGCTGTTTTTTAGTACAGATAATACTGTCATTCTTGTAAGCTCACTGCAAAAGTCTGAAAATAAATATATTAGTATTTATTAGTATTTCCTGTTTGAAGTACTTACTTTTAATTAATTAACATGAAATTCCCTTCAGAAGCTACACTTTTCTGGAGTCCAAAATGTTGCCAAAGCCTTCACGATATTTCTCTATATAATATTTTATAAAGAAAATATGTTTAAGTTTTGTGGAAAATCGACTATTGATTTATCGTTGCTAAGCAAAACAACAACAAAAAAGTGTTTAAAGTATATAAATGGGGCAAAATATTTTACTGCATAAATAAATTAAAAATTAAAGTACTAAACACTTTCCAAAATTCCACTGAGAGAGAAAGAGTCCAGGAACACAGGATCCTTGCCTTTGGCTTGCCAATCGCGACTGAAGCAATCATTGGCGGCCAAAAAGGACATGGCCCGTCGTCCAGGCCTGCCTGTCATATGGTACATGTTCCGTACATGTCCTGGCACAGGAAATTGCAGCCAGGAGGCAGAGAGAGTGCAGAGACTGCAGCCCTTTTATTTTGACGGACTGCCAGGTCCAAAAATTTTTGATTTGTTTGCCTTAACAGTGGTCGAGCTTAGAAAGAGGGAGCCCAGAGCTAAAACCCTTCTTGGCAACCGATATCAACAAATTATAGGATATACCGTATGCGGCACATGGGAACGGGCCTAGACAGACGTGTGTCCTATAGCATGCATGCCCCGCCGATGGGCCCACAACAATGGCAAATGGAAATGCTAATAAAATTATAGTGCCTTTGGGGCAAAAGAAATCGGGGAACGGGGAAACCCCGCTACTTATACGGGTAATCACTAGATAATAGCATTTTTTCTCCAAGGCTCGAAGGCTCACAAAGGAGCACGAGACAACAAAACAATAGTGGGGAGGCGAAAAGTACGACTACAGATTGAAATCAAAGTGAACACAACAGCAAATGAGTGTACTCACAGAAATCGGAGAAAGAATGTCCTTAAACAGCTGAAAAAAAAGAATTTAATTTTCTCTTATATTTCATTCAATTTTCAAATCTTTAAATTAAAAGGAAAGGTTTAAGCCGAGGGATTTCAACTGAATTCGGTACCTAATAAATTGCATTGCATACTTTTAAGCACATTTTTAAGGGGTTTTAAAGAGGTGTGTGTTTTTTTTTTAGAAATGTGAAAAATATTTATTATTTTTTATTATTATAGTATTATTATATATTTTTTTCTACATTATTCTTAAATAATATTTCAATTAATTAAGATTTATTTAAAAATAACTTACAATATTTTATAGGATTTCCAAGAAGAAGGAACTCCTCAAACTTATTATTTTCCTTTTTTTTTAAATTTATTAAATTAAAGTAAAAAGCTAGGTTTAAGCTGAAGGATTAACTAAATTTGGAACCTGCAAATTGGTATAGCATACTTTTAAGCACATTGTAAATGATTTTAAATTGGTGCTTTTTATTATGAGAATTATTTATTACTATTTACTATAGATATATTATATTATTTATATTTCTATATATTTTTTTTCAGCCAGTGATATTTATATTAAATTAAGATTTATTTAAAAACAACCTATTATAATTTATAGGTTTTATGGTTACCTTATAAAAACTTGTTATTCAAAATTGGTTTTTTACAGAGACCTTTGAGAGTCTTGTATGTTCTACCTCTTAAGTAGCTTTTTTCCACTTAATTTCCTCCTCGAAATAGATTTCTTTCAGTGTATTTAAGTCGCCGAAACAATTTATGGGCAGAATGTGAACGCTATTACCCATTTCGATGGGCTCCGAATGGGTTTCCGGCGGGTATGAAAGCCCCGCATTTGCATTTCCAGGCCTTTTGTTTGCTCTGTGCTCCACATTACATAGTTGAAGGGCTTTTCTGGCTTGGGCTTCGGCTCCTGCTCTCCAGAAGAAGCGCTGGGGGAGCTGGGAGCCCGGCGGGTGAGCGTGTCGACTTTGACACATAAAGTAGCAAACCCACAGAGACACGCACCCAAGTGGCGTGGGAGGAGGAGGAGGTGTATATGTAACTGACAATTTGTGTTTCTCTTTCTATTTTTTTGTATTTTTTTTTTTTTTTTTTTGTGCAGGCAAGGCGGGCGCCGCCGGCAAGGGTCGTTCGCCAACACCGACACCCCAAGCAGCAGCAGGCGGAGCAGGAACAGGAGGCGGAGGTGGTGCAGCACCCACAGCAACAGTGGCAACAACAGCCGGCGGAGGTGGCGGAGGCGCCGCCAGATCCACGCTACATGCGAGTCGAACCATACTGAAAACGGTATCCGTGTTCCTCGCCAGCGGCAAGCGCAACTCGAGCCACCAACAGTCGAAGGCCGCGGCGGCTGCCTTGCAGAACAAACGGCAACAGCGGCAACGGAGGATGGATGAGCTGAGCGGCAAAATCAATCCCAAGCTCCTGGACAGTCTGCGCAAGAAGACGCGCTTTACCAAGTACTAACACCAGGCTCTCCTTGAAAGGATTTCCTATATACAAATATATAATCTCGATATCCTTGAGCAGGGATGAGCTGGATGCTTTGTGCCGGATCTATCGCAAGCTGGTGTCCAACTGTCAGTACGCGGCCAAGACGCTGGCCTCCAGCTCCTCGAGTGCAGCCATAGCCAAGCCACATGCCGCCGTGGAGGTGAGATTTATATAAATATATCAATTTTTTTACAATTAAATAATTAGTTTAAGCCTTTTGATCTTCAGGATTCTCTGAGCTAGAGCTCTTAAATTTGCTGACTGCATTCCTAAAGGTTCAATTCAGTTAAAATATATTTTTTAAATATTAAATATATATACAATACAATACAAATCAAATAAATCAAAACAGTTCATAAAGAAAATAAAGCCTTTGTAAGGCCTTGTAGGCCATGGCTCTGATTTTTCGGTTGAAAATAAATCTTTTTACTTACAATAACAATTTATAGCTTTGAGCAAAAAAGTTTTGAGTGAAATTTAATAATAAACTTAAGAGTTATGAGAAAATAAAGTTGCTGTTGCCAGCTAAGTCTTGGCAACATGTTTGTATTGCCAGCAGCAACTCAGGATGTTGCTCAACATTTACTCAGCAACATTTATTTAGGTACTTAGCAACATGTATACAAAAACAATTCTGGTGCATTCTGTAAGGTTATATTTGGGCTTTTATATCAGTGTTAGTCCATAAATTAAATTCAATTAATTATTAATTATTACTATTGACTTTATGACTTATTTTAATTTAATTAATTTTGTTAAAATTAAATGAAATTAATTCAAATTTGTTCTTCTACTTTAATTTTATTTAAATTTTATTAACACTGTTTTTCTTTAAATTATTAGTATTATTATGTAATACAAAATTGCTTTGACTTTCACTAACTGCATTTTAAATTTACTTAAATTTTCTTTTAAAATTATCTTTATGACTTATTTTAATTTAATTAATTTTGTTAAAATTAAATGAAATTAATTCAAATTTGTTCTTCTACTTTAATTTTATTTAAATTTTATTAACACTGTTTTTCTTTAAATTTTATGACTTATTTAAAGAAAAAGTTTAATTATATTTCATTTAATTAGCTACGTACTTACATTTTATAATTTTTGTAAGTTTTATTTGTTGTTTTAATTTATTAAATTTCTTATAGTTTTAATTACATTTTCTTAAACTTTAGAAATGATTTAATTTTTAATTAATTATTTCTTAATTAATTATTTATTAATTACTTATTTATTAATTATTAATTATATATTTATTAATTAATTATTTATTAATTAATTATTTATTAATTTGTTATTAATTATTGTCTAAAAAATGTATGTTAAATTGTATTATTATGTTTTTCTTTTACTTTTTGTAATTTAATAAATTAGTTAATTAATTAACCCAATCCTCTGTTACACTCCACCTACCTAGGGCATCGATCGCATCGTTTTCCGAGAGCTGTTGCACAGCACCTTCGACATTGTCACCGAGGAGATCCTGATGGAGCGCATCTTCTGCAGCTGGGACAAGGCCCACGAGGGTCTGCCTCTGCGCCTCGAGGGCTGGCTGATTGGCCTGTCGACCTTCTTGCGCGGCACGGCGGCGGAAAAGGCGGCTTTTTGCTTCCGGGTGTATGATCTCAACACCGATGGCTTCATCACCAAGGATGAAATGTTCACGTTACTTAGGAACTGCCTGATTAAGCAGCCGCAGGACGAGGACCCGGACGAGGGTGTCAAGGATCTGGTGGAGATTGTGCTGAAGAAGTTTGATCTAGATAAGGATGGCAAGGTGAGTGCTGCACCTCTTGTCCCCTCCTTGTGGCTTAATTTAAGCTTTGAGTATCCTGGAACAGGTCTCCATGGAGGACTTCATGGGCACCGTCACCGCGGAGCCGCTGCTCATTGAGGCCTTTGGCCAGTGCCTGCCCACGGACAGCGCCGTCGTCTCCTTCTTCTCCACTCTGCAGGTCTGAGCTGGGAGCTATTTCTTTTTGGAAAATGTATTTAAATAAAATTTCATTAAATTTGTGTGTGTATTTGTTATAAATATTAATTATTAAATATATAACATCAAATAATAGAAGAAAATAAAAGTAAGAATTCCAAGATACAAGATACAATCTTTAAGATACATTTATAATAACTCTGAATGTTCTCATTTGTACCCTCACTTCTCGAAATAGTTTATGATAATTGTGTGGCGCAATAAAATGTATTTTTTTTGCAAGTATATATACTATATAAGTGTATAAACAAATGCTATGGGGTTTATATTAATGCAAGTCCAACTTGAACTAGAGACCCCGTAACAGATACGGAAAAAGATACAAATGCACTGCTACCAAAAAATATTAAAAGGAAAATTATTCAGAACTAAGTGAAATTTATAAAAATTTTATTATTTTTTTATTTTATTTATTCTGAAAAAGGGGTTATATATATTTTTTTTATAATTTTTGGGAAAATCAAAACTTAAAAAATCCATAACTAAGCCAAAAATTTATTAAATTCAAATCGGAAAGCATTTTTATGTTAGTTTTTATAATGTTAATAAATCTGCATATTAGATATATAATTTTTTTTAAATTTATATTTGGTCAATTTTCGGAAAATTTCATGACGAGCACCTGGAGGGACATCTCCACGAGCCGGAGAAGTTGTGCATCTGCTCGGAGCTCCTGCTCTCCTTCTTGGCCATTACGAACTTTAATGCCATCTGCGATAGGAATGTGGGTGCCGACACCATGCCCTGCATCCATGGACTGCGAGCCTTCAGCATGGCCTGGGTAATCCTTGGCCACACATGCATCGTGGTCTTCAAGTACTCGGACAACATGGAGATGCGCAAGGAGGTGGAGCAGAACTTCTTCTTCCAGGCCATCACCAATTGCCCGTTCAGCGTGGGCACGTTCTTCTTCATCAGCGGCTTCCTCATCTCGTACATCTACTTCCGGACGAATGCCAAGGGCAAGCTGAATAAGCTGAGCAAGGGCGCCAATGAGTTCACCGCCGGAACAGCACACTTCCTGGGCCTGGTGGCATACAGATTTATGCGGCTAACGGCACCCTATCTATTTGTGCTGGGCGTGGTTCAGGTAACCATGAAGTATCTGGCCACCTACTCGATCTTTGATCCGCCGACCATGGATCACATCACCTGCCCGGACTATTGGTGGCGGAATATCCTGTATATCAACACGCTGTTCCCTGTGGATGAGATGGTGAGTGCATGGCTAGGGATGTTTAGCGATGGAAACAGTTGAATATCCCCCTTATTTCTTTGCAGTGCATGGAAGTTGGTATCTGGCCAATGACACTCAATTCTATATGATTGGAGCCATTATTCTGATCGTGGGCGTCCGCCACTTTAAGCTGTCGGCCATTACCACGCTGGTGTTCCTGGTTCTGTCTTGGATCACCACCGCTGTGATTGCGTTCGCCAACAACCATCGACCCAATACGGACTATCCGCTGGCTATGTTTGACAAGATCTACGACAAGCCCTGGACCCGCCTGGGTCCCTACCAGATCGACATGGCCGTCGGCTGGATTCTGTTCCGGACGAACTGCAAAATCCGTCTGCCCAAGCTGACGGTGGCCAGTGCCTGGTTCCTGGCCATGCTGAATCTCTTTGTGCTGGTCTTTGGCCTGTATCGAGCGGATTTGTCACACTTTTAAGCCACTCGGCCTGGGCCATGTCGCTGGCCTGGATTACCATTGCCTGCTCCACGGGATATTGCGGCTATATCAACTCGCTGCTATCGGCGCCCTGCCTGTATCCCTTCTCCCGCGTCACCTACTGTGCTTACCTGGTGCATCCCATTGTCATCCGTTCCATGGCGTTGAATTTGGACGCATCTGGGCGGGGATCTGATGGTGAGTTATTGGAGGGATTAGTTCGGGAATTGTGTTATTTATAAAGGGTATTATTTTCCTTGCAGGACGTCATCTTCTTCGGTCTTACGGTGGCTTCCTACTTCCTGTCCTTGGTGGTGTCCATGTCCTTCGAGGCGCCAGTCGAAAGAAACGCCTCGCCTAAGTCCATCTATGCCCACGCACCCCAGCTCCGTCCATTTCCGATTATTTATACCCCCATTTATGTCATGTTATCTATTTCTTGTCCACATATTTATGTAGCATAGACTCATCCCGTCGTCTTCTATATCCCTTTCGCTCTACACTCTCTCCAGCACGTTCTCTCTCCCCACACGAGATATTAGCTTTTGGATCATCTGTTTTGTTTTCATTATGTGTACATTTTAGTCCTTTAATTTATTCCAAAGGTTTGGAAAAAGGTGGAAGGAGAAACGAGAAACGAGGAAGAAGGAGCCAGGAAGAGAGCCAGAGTTATACATAGTACTTAATAGCTATAATTATATATGAAACTCTAGTACCTAATTTTATAAAGAATCACGTTGTATATACTATATGCTATATATATTGTTATACATAAAACTTTTAAATAAAAACTGCTACCAAATACAACAAGTGGGGCATCGTTTCATTTATTTTTCGGTTCAGCTTATCAATTTCAAAGCAATGCATTTAGCAAAATTCTAATATTTAAAAAGTCAAAATCTAAAAATTTAATTTTTTTCTGATTTTTTTTTTGTATTTCTTTACGTTTTTTTCTGAATTTTTTACATTTTTTTAAAATATTTTAACTGCCAAATTTGAATTTAACGACGATCAGTATCAGTGTGCCCAGGTGCAGTTGTAAAATAAAGGCAAAATTTGGATTCAAAAGGTTTGAGTCTTAGCTTACTCGCGCCGATTTTAAAATGGTTCGAAACTTGGACTTTTTATAACTATTTATACCAGTTTTCAGTTGCTTGCTGCTGATTTCTGTTCGCCTGTTACCCCAGTTTGGGAAACGGGCAATTTGCATGGAAATGTTTGGAAATTTGGATGGGCTGCTGTAGGGATGTTGTTGTAAGGGGGTTGTTTTTGCAATCAAGTGGTTGTTGTCGGCAACAAATAGGTATAAATGCATAAAATGAAATATAACAGTTTATACCAATTATTAATTTTGCCCAAACGTTTTTATAACAGTTTATACCAGTTTTCAGTTGCTTGCTGCTGGTTTCTGTTCGCCTGTTACCCCAGTTTGGGAAACGGCCAAATTGGATGGAAATTTTTGCTCACTTGCATCAGTGATGCTCATGAGCATCAGTGATGCTCATCTGGCTATATTGCAATATTGGGGGGCAAAAAAATCAGGCTTAATGGCAGTGATGCGCATGTGCATCAGTGATGCTCATCTAGCTATTTTTTGCATTATTGATAGAAAATGGCATTTCACTAACCGCCAGTGATGCTCATCTAGCTATTTTTGCATTATTGGTGGAAAATGGCATCTCATTAGCTCCCAGTGATGCTCATCTAGCTATTTTTGCATTATTGGAACAAAATGGCATCGCACTAACTGCCAGTGATGCTCATCTAGCTATTTTTATAAGGTTATGAGGATTTCCGCCAATTTTTGATTAAATATTTTCGAAAATATAGGTAAGTATTTCATCAAAACTCAGAACAGCTTTCCGAATTGAATTTCATGCATTTTTGGCCGAGTTATGAGGCTTTATGTAAATTTTTGCTTAAATTTTATTTATTATTTATTTGTTATTTATTTTTTTATAAATTATAGGTAAGCATAAATATTTTTTTATGTATTTGCTATTTATATAATATATAAATGTATTTCTTTGTGTTATAAATTCCCAAAAAAACATTTCCCCAATAAAATATATTTGACTACATTTTTTCGCCCAGTGTTCTTATACAGTAACGGCAAATTGCAGTGTTTAGCTAACTGGCTAACGATCCGGGGGCTCCAGATCGGATCCGATCCGTTCAGAAGGTGACCCCGACCCAGACACACATATTGGCTGTAATTGGCACGTATCCACATTGGGATGCCGCCCCTGAGAGATGCATGGACACGGATACAGATGCACTGCATCTGACGGCTGCACTTCGGAGGCGATCATACCGAAATTTATGCAAAACAATAAGCCAGTCAAGCGCTGCGGTAATGCGAGCTAATTTATTCGATTAGCCAGCCGCGTCCACACGCAGAAATCCAGAACTGAGAAGTGAGAAGCGAGAAATGAGAACTGAGAACCCACAGCTGAGAACTGGGTATCGCAATTGTCACGAATCTTGTTTATCTATTGGATGCATTCATGCAACGCCCAAAGCTAGACCCATTCGGCGGCATTGTTTTATTTCATTGGGTTTCCCCATTCGCCTGTGCTTTGCCCGTCCTCTCACCTCACCTTGCTGGCATTTCACTCAAATGGAAGGTGGACCAGATCGGATCGGGTCGCATCGGAGAACCGGAATGTGGGCAAACCTTGCCACAAGGTGTCCCAGTTCGAGAGGCCGGAAAGGAGGAGGATGCCCTTGGCGGCGCCTTAAAGTTTATATCCGATTAACTGACTTAATATTATATTTTACATTTCAATCTTCTAAATAAACTATAAAAAATATAAATTAAATAACAAATAATCGAAATCGTAATCGTTAACCTTTATGGATCAATCTTATCTGTTTAACATTTAATGGGTTAATTAAAGGTAATTTTCAAATTGGAAGTAACCCATTCTATATTGACTTGAAACAGTAAATCGCCCCAACTTGTCTGTATTAGTTAATTAATTAATTATATGGAAAGACCGGCTGGTACTTGACCACTTTGTTGATCCGCAATATGACGTATCCCTAACGTAAATACTATGTAAACAAGATATAGAACTGCAACTTGTATACAGAACATACTTTATAGGTTTACGTGTAAAAGAGTGATTGCAATTTTGTAGTATTTCTTGTTTTTTTTTGTATATATTTTCTCTACTGACTAATCTCGCTTATCGCTTATCGATTTGGAAAGAGTGAGTTCTCGGGGGTAGTCATACTTTGACCCACAAACTTTTTCTTTTTGCGCAAACTGATTCATCACGGTGAGTTGGCAGATCCTTGGAACTGCCAATCTAATCAAAACTTCAGATTAGCCAGGATCAAAGGGGTCAACTGTACTGGTTTTAAACTTTTTCTTATATATATTATTATATATTTAAGAGATATAAATTATTAATATATAACTTATATTAGCTATAAATTCTAAAAGTTTTATATAAACCCGCGAACCTGCCAATCTAATCGTAGCTTCAGATTAGCTATGATCAAAGGGGTCAACTGTACGGGTAAAATAGGGTTTTTTTTGAGGGTTTATTTTAAAAGGTTAAAGTATTTATTATAGAACAGAAGTTCTAAACTTGTAAAGTAGTATATATATAAATAAACATCCTCATTAGAGTTCCTCTGTGTTTTTAAGCAACTTCTCTGCATCTCTATGGCATGACAAAATATTCTATAAATAAAATAAAAAATATCTTGAAACCCCCCAAAGCATTTGCTTATGAATACCTCTAGATTCTAGGAGATTAGCTTGCTTTGAAAGGGTTCTATAGGAAGGGTTAAAGATCAGACTGCAGCCAAGTCCTTATCTTCTCCATTTCCGATTCATCATGCTGAGAGAGCCAAATGATCTAGGGGGAGACCCCTATTCTCTATATCAAATCTCTAAAGTATCTCTCCATCTGTGGGATAACTCTGTGTGTGTGTGTGCTGTGTGTATTTTTATATGACATGCATATCATTTTTAGTCTTGGTATTATTACTATCGGACCCTGATTAACGCACACACACACAGACACTGGAGCACCCCTACCCAGCGGAACTGGGGTCTCGTTCCATATAGATCGGATCGGATCGGTTTGGATGAACATGTGTCGGAGCAATGTTTATAGAACGCTCTGTCGCAGTCGCTGTCGCCGTTGCCGTTGCCATTGTAGCTGTAGCTGTATCTGTATCTATGAGTAGTGTAGTGTATCTGAAAGTACGAGCGAGTATCTGGGCCTCTCTGTGTGTGTAGATTTGAAATAATAACTTATACGACCGGCGGCACGGAGCGGTGCGTAGTGCGGTGTTTACTTAGCTGTACAATTTTCAGTTTGAATTCGTTAACAGCCGCTAACGGTTTGCCACCAAAAACAGGTCTCCCAAGATCCTTTTCGGAAAATCCTTTTCGAGCAGAAATCTTTCAAAAATGACCAAAGTGTCGCAAAGGTCAGTGTTGACAATATACATATATATATATATATAAACTAGAGCTGTTGGCAACAAAACAGCCAGTGAGAAAGAGAGTGAGAGTGAGAGCAGCACTATCAATGCCTTATCAATGGAACACATTCACATTAGGGGCCATTAAAAAATTGCCATAAGCGATAGCTGGGCTCTTATCAGCCACCCAGAAGCCACCTCCCCAGGAGCAGGGTTCAAGCAGGTGCTCCAGAAAACACCTCATTTGCTTGGTACAGATACATCATCCATTGCAATCGTGGATTACCACCTTTGACCATCCTAAGAACAACTCCCAAAATAACCCTTTAGCTGCAGATCAAGTTCAACCCAAAGATCGTGTTTAGTTATGCGTGGAACCAAAAGGTTTTATCTATCTTAAAGCTTAAAAAAAAACCGACTGTTTAAAACAAAAACTTTACCAGATTTTAAGACCAGAAATTGGGAGTTTGAAGGGGCTTTAAATATACCTAAGAGTCGCCTTGAAGCTTTTATAATGCAATTTTAAAAGAGAAATAATTAATAATAAAAAATAAAATAAATAATAAAAAATTATTTAAGACTAGGAAAAGAGAATTTCATAATTCTGATTTTTTTAGAAAAATATCAAGAAATGTATATCGAATTAAACATTTTAAATATATCGAATTTATCGAAAACGGTTTCCCACCTAGAAAGGGTATGGTTATCTTTGACTTCTTGGTTGAATTTACAGGACCTATTTATGTGGTTTCTCATTTTTTATTTAAATATCGATAAATGTATATTGAAATATACTTAAAATATATCGAATTTATCGAAAATGGCTCGGTTGAATTTTCCAAGTCTTTTAAAAAGCCAAACTCTTAAAAAATCTACCCCAAACTTCAGCTAAATTAATTTTATATACAATATAATTTTTAAAGTGACTGTAAATCGCCTGGTTTTTCCATTGATTTTCTTTTTGTTTTGATTATATCTTCTCGATGTATCAAAAAAGCATAAAAAGTATCGAAAATAACCTAGAATTCAATTAATTGTTTACTCAACACCTTTTTAAGATACCCTTTATATTCAAAATAATTCAAATAAAATTTCTCTTAACTTTATTTTGAGTAAAAACACCCTATTTCAGTCCACCCTGGGGTTAAGCTAATTAATTGCATTTTTCTTGGTAACAACACGGCTTTCATCGGTATCGGCACGCTTTCGGCGAGAGTCAGAAGGTGTGTTTATAAATAGCATTCCAGAAGTGCGGGAGTGGCACGATCGTATATATATATATATATATATATATATATATATATATTTACTGGACTAGATGTCGTAATATCTGACCATGATCGAGGCACGCAGCTGCAATGCCGGCAAACAGTGTAATTAGAGAAAACATGAAAACGAGAGCTGGGAAAAAGCGCTGAACACCCACTTTTCCCAGACCCAGCACTCAAAAATAAACACATTAAAAAAAAATTGTATTCTATAATAAAAATTAAATTAAATCGTAAAACTAAAAAGATTAAAGCTTAAAGTTTACTTTGCTTATGTTTTTTTGTAATACCTAAACAAAACCTTTAACCAGAGCCTCGTTTTTTTTAGATGACCTTTTATAGACTCTAAATTTGTTAGAAAATATTTTCATAGAATATTTTTTCACCGTGTAAGCAGAGCTATGGAGAAGCCTGAACTGAGGATGCCAAAAAGGTCACTCGACATGGCGATAAGCTCCACACACACGCACATCCCAAATGATGTGATGTGATGGCTCTGGTCATGCAAGAGTTGGACTTGCCGGATTGGGCCAGACCCAGACTCACATTCCGCTCCACTTCACTCCAGTTTGGTTTTATTGTTTTTATAATAATGATGCTTGGATCAAGGGTCAAAACTAGCATCAGCACGCACTTTCCACAAAAAGAGCCCACAAAACAAATATATACATATATGGTTTTCCATATAGAAATATGATTTTTATACAAAAAAAAAAAAAAGGAAAAATATGAAAAACCCAGAGGTATTAGAATTAGCAATATATTTTTATATTTTATATACTCTATTAGTTCTAAAATACAAATTATACCTACAAAATATTTATTAATATTAAATATATATATTATTAAATATTAAATAATATTTTTGAGGTATTATTTATATTTTAAAGGTAATGTAGTATATTAAATAAAATAAAATATAGGTTATTCTAGTACCTCTTTTAATTTTTAATATTTAAAAATATTTTAAATTCTAATATAATATTTAATATTTGTTTTCTGGTTGCTTAGCTTTGTTGTTGATCTAATTTGAAAAAATATATATATATATAATCTACATACTATATAAAATGTAACAAGTTGAAGAAATGTTGCAATTATCCTAAACAAGGGATTACCTCAAGGGGTCAATCAGTTTAAAGGTGATTCAGGTAATGGCAGTTGAAGCACTTCAAGTTCTACACATGTACTTACTAAATAAATATAAACTTATATATGTATGTATGTATATAGTATCACCCATCAGCTTAATTAACACACTTAGCCAAATGGTTTAGCCCGGGTTCAATGTCACAGTCTCCACATAAAAAGTTAAGTGAAAAAAAAGATGAATTACCATTTGCATTAAATGCACATCTAATTTAGTTATATAGTTATTTACGCTTAAAGTAACTCAATGTTTTCTTAAATCATTCAAAATTGTCCTTAAATCTAAGGTGACTCTCCTTTGGCTTTATTTTTAAATAAGAATTTCCAAAAATACAGGCAACAAGAAAGAAAACTAACTTTGGCCAGCCAAAGTTTGTATACCCTTGCAGGTTAAAATTAAAATATATCATAAATAAGCCAAAAATGCATTAAATTCGATTCGGAAAGCGGTTTTGTGTTAGTTTTTATAAGCCTAAAAAAATTGCATACCAAATTTAAAATTTTAAGAAATCAAAATTTTTGGCCATTTTTGCTAATTTTAATGAAAAAATTTTGCAAAAATGGCCAAAAAATCGATTTCTTCCGGACATATCTAGAAAGATTCCCCTGTTGATGCTGATCAAGAATATATATGGTTTATGGGGTCGAAAATGATTCCTTCACTTCGAAAAATATTATTTTGTATTATAAAATGATTTTATTAAAATCTGATTTTTTATATTAAAAAACTTCTTGATTATTTTAAAATTAACAAGAAAGGAAGCTAACTTCGGTATGCCGTTGCAGATGGTTTTGATGTTTATATTATAGATTATAATACTGACAACACTCAAAAAAACAGAGTTTCATTACATTTAACCTATACTTATTATGCTTACAGTTGACAGTTACAGTTTTACATTCCCAGCTTTACATATTTTATACATTTACCGATCGCTTCTATGGCAGCTATATGATATAGTTGTCCGATTTTTATAAAATATTTACCAAAACTCTGAAATAATATAAAATGGCCATATCTGAAAAATGGTGCAAAAATGTTGATAAACAGCCAAGTTAAAATTTTGTTTCTAAAAATTTATCGATCATTTGTATGGGAGCTATATGATATAGTCGTCCGATCCGGCATATATAGCAGTGAGAGCATATAGAAGACTATATGCAAAGTTTCATTCAGATAGCTTTAAAACTGAGGGACTAGTTTGCGTAGAAACGGACAGACGGACAGACGGACATGGCTAGATCGACTCGGCTGTTGATGCTAATCAAGAATATATATACTTTATAGGGTCGGAAAGGTCTCCTTCACTGCGTTGCAAACTTCTGACTGAAATTATAATACCCTGCAAGGGTATAAAAATAGGCTTTCTTTAGGACCCATGTATTTTAAAGTACACATTTTTTCGAGTGTATGGTACTTTCAATTTTCTATCAAAAAAGAGTTATATATAAAATGTATCAATATTTTGTAAAATATTATTCTCTCTCAATTTCCAGTGCTGGCAACAGCAGCAGCAACAACAATGGCAACAGCACAGACATCTACAACATCGTCCTCCTGGTCGTGGACATTGTAATGCTGATCGTCAAATTCTGGATTGCCATTGTCGAGGCTATAGTCAACCTGTTCAGGCCTGCTCCCCTGGAGAATGTCGGCGGCAAGGTGGTCCTAATCACCGGCACTGGCCATGGCATGGGCAAGCATATGGCCCAGCAGTACGCCAAGCTGGGGGCCACCGTCATCTGCTGGGATGTGAATGAGCAGACCAACAACCAGACGGTGAAGGAGATCCAGAAGAGCGGCGGCAAGGCTTACGGCTATACCTGCAATGTGACCAAGCGGGAGGAACTCGTAGAGCTGGCCCAGAAGGTGCGCAAGGAGCATGGATTCGTTCATGTGGTGGTCAACAATGCCGGCATTATGCCCTGCCATCCCCTGCTGGAGCATACCGAGAACGAGATTCGTCTGATGTATGACATCAATGTGCTGTCGCATTTCTGGATGATCCAGTCCTTCTTGCCCGACATGGTGGAGCGCAACGAGGGCAGCATTGTGGCTTTGTCCTCGTGCGCTGGACTCTTTGGACTAATCAACCTGGTGCCCTATTGCGGCACCAAGTTTGCCGTTCGCGGCTACATGGCTGCCCTGGCCGAGGAGCTGCGTCACAAGAATCCACAAAATAATGTGAGTTGAAGTTTAATTCTAGATAAAATCGATATATCAATAATGTATTAGTTTTTTGACGAAAAGGGATGGTGTCGATGAATAAATCGATATTTTCGATATCAATATTCTAATACCGTTAACTCTCTTTTCTCCAGGTCAAGCTGACCACCATCTTCCCCTACATGATTGACACGGGTCTGTGCAAGAACCCCCGCTACCGCTTCCCCAAACTGTTCAAACTGATCTCTGCCGATACGGCCGCCGCCTCCATTATCGAGGCCCAGCGCCAGGGCCTGGAGGAGGCCGCCATTCCCCGTCATTTTGTGGGTGTGGAAAAGATCGGCCGCCTGATCCCACGCAAGGCGATGCGTCTGGTGAACGACTTTCTAGACACGGGCGTCGACACCGACAAGCTCTAGAGAGGAGCACTGAGGATTCCTGGGTTTTAGTGCTGCTTCCGCTGTAGGTCATAAAGCTTTAACATTGTTTTTTTTTTATAATAACTACAAGAACAACAACAACGACTACTACTACTACTACTACTTTTGTGTAATTATTATCTCCTTTTAATTGCTGCAGCTAATTGCCGTATGGAAAGTGAGTTTAGCAAGGTAATTTAGCTGTTAAAAAGGTTGTTACTTAATTAAAGGCGAGCGTTGACGGGCTAATTGTTTATATTTTTTGTTTTTTTTTTTTCGTCTTAATAAAAGACTCCAAAGAGTACTCCCTAGAGTGATAAAATGTGGTTTTGTGTTATGATTTCACTTAAATGGGTGAGTATTTGTGGGTTCTTTTACGATTTTGAAGAAGTTTTGGTAATAAAAGAGAGTTTTCGATTTAAAAATTAAAAATAAGATCGATTTTTCGATTATTCTCACACATTTGCACTTATAATTCCCAACTGGCTCTAACATCCCTGGGATCAAGTGACGCCTGCCGGTCCTAGGTTTATACAGTGTGTTATTAAATATGATTTATTGCATAGTAAAATAAATCGATTTAATTATTAAGTGCGATGGGCAACTCGATAGGTGGTAGGCAATGTAATTACTTATTAAATTTTGCTCAATTTTTAATTAATTTTCAAAGTAAATAAGAGAGAGACTTTTAAAGACTACTGTCTTCTTTTTAAGTTTGTTAATTGGAGATAATCGATTTTCTTTGATCCACTGATTGCCTGCTCTTATTATCCTGACTTCGAATTGGAACCTGCTGCCTTGGGAAGAACATGGACTCTCTGTCCTCGTTCAGTTCTGGTGCCTCGAAGACAGTGCGCTCCATGATGACAGTGCGCTTGGATCGCTTTCGCTCCACGCTGATCAGCTCGTCCTGGAAATCCTTGATGGCCTTGCGGAACTCCTGATCGCTCTCGATCATCATGAGAAACTGATCGGGATTGTCGGGATCGAGGTCAAGATCAGGAACACCGTCCTGGCCCTGACGCGCTGCCTCGGCCTGAAGCATTGTGCGACGCTTTAGTTTCATCTCCTCGACGCGAGCTTCCAGGATTTTGCTGCGCGAGATCTCACGCTCGAACATCTAAGGGAATTAATTAATTAGTAAAGGATAATTAATTAACAAGTGAGAGAACCTACAGCTGCAATTAAAGCCTTCTCCTTGCCAGTGGCCGTGCGCATGGCCTCGTCCAGTGTTAGGATCTGCGTGTCTCCTTTCTCCAAAGCAACGGCCAGCAGATCCCCATCCGGACGAAAGACCACACTCTTGATGGGCACCCTAAAGTCTATGGAGAGTATAGGCTTTCGCTGGTGCAGCAGCAGATCCCAGAAATCCAAGACACCCTTGATATCCCCGGTCACAAACAGGGAACACCTTCCCGTGCTCCAGGCTCCGCACATAATTTGATTCCTTTTCCGAAAATACATGGTACTCGGGCCATCCTTAGCCTCCTCCGACCAGATGCGAGCTCGCCAATCCCCAATGACCAGGAAGTTCTTGACAAAAAACGGATTCCGATTGATGCTCCTTATGGGGCCGGCAAACAAAGGATAGTGGTTAATGAGAGCCTCCTGGGGAGTCATCCCCTTGCGATTGCCCACAAAGACATAGCCCATGTCGCTGCAGATGATAAACCGCACCGGAATGGTGTACTCAAATTCCAGCACCGTTACCCCATGTGCATTCATCCTGGACTGCGGCTCCTGCGGTTCCGGTTCAAGCAGCAGCTCCTGCAGTGGCATCTTCAGATCCCTGGTATCCCAGTACTTGATGGAACCATCCAGCGAACCCGAATAGAACTCCGTGTTAGACTTGGAGTGGACCCAGCAGAGGGCAGAGGTCTCCTCCCGGTGGGACACCTCCAAGGGGCATGAGCGCACCGGCTGCCCACCCCTGAAGGTATTCCACAGGCAGACCTGCCCCAAATGGGTGCCACCCACCATGTATGCCTCGTCCTTGGGACAGATCTTGGCCAGCTGGACGGGCTCGTGGCAGTCGTAGGTAATGCGCGGCCTCAGCGGATTCTTAACGTCCCAAATATAAAAACCATTCTCATTGCCAATTGGCTCTTCAGCTAGGAGACGGACTCGCTGCTTGATCTTGCTTTGGTGTTCGGCGTCTCCGCCGCTGGAAGACGTCATCGGTTGATTGGTAAATTGAGCCATAAACTGTCGATTATTGTTGGGCATCCATTCAATGGAGGTCATCACCCTCGCAGGCAGCCAAAGATCATGGAACACATTCAAGATGCGCGCCTTGAAGGGCAACTTGAGGTCATAGCCCAGTTCGGGCGGCAAGTCGGCAAAGAAATTCTGATAGATATTGAGGGCATTATTCTGCTCAACCACGCCCATCATCTTCTTGATCATCTCGAGGACCTGCTCGCCCCAGCTATCGTCGCGCTCCACCTTCTTGCGATGGCGCTGCGTCTGCTCCTCATCCAGGGGGTTCACCTCCTTGGGCCACCCGCCCTCGTAGTGATACAATCCGCGCTCATCGTACGTCACATTCTCCGTTTCCATCACGCTCAGCGCCGTCTGGTTGCTCAGCTGGGTGGACATGGCTATGGGATTGCGCAGGATGTACTTGAGGCGCTGCTTGCCGCTGGGATGGATGCTGACCATCAGCTCGTTGCGGTCCTGGAAGAGACATTGCTGTCCAAAGCGACGACGCTCGCGGGTGTAGGCAAATTGGTTGGAGTACATGGTCCTCAGGGGGTCTCTCTCTTTTATTACCTTTATTTTTTTTGTATTTATATTTATTTTTATTTTTTTTATTTTTAAGGTTTGTGTCTGTGTTGGGGTTTAGTTTAAGTTTAGTGGATTGGATTTGTGTGACATTTTCACATTTATTAATATTTTTCTGTTTGTTTTAAGTTTTACATTTAAATTTCTGTCAAACGGAAAAGTAACGGTTCAGTTTCAAATCGCAGCGGAGCAAGCATGGCGCTGCTATCGATAGTTAGGTGACAGTTAGTGGTGTGGCAATTGTTGACACTTATCGATTATGTTGACATTTTTTTATAAAAAAAAATTAGGTAAAATATCCAAGTAAAAATTCTATATTTAAATGCTTACTAAATATAATTATTTAATTTTATTCAAAAATAGTTTGCAATTCCGTTTGAATTTCCCCAGAATTTCCATTTTCCGATTAATTGCCGCCTGAACTATCGCTCAAGTTTCGCTCGGTGTGACCGTTTTACCGATAGTCCCCGTGCCCGGCGCTGTGCCATCTCTAAAAGTCAAGGCAGCCGAGCAACAAAACACAGATGAAATCTGATTTCTGGCTGCTGGCAGATTGAATTTCAAAACGGAGCAACCGAGAAGCGTGCGACGAGCAATCGAAACCGATTCGCATCGAATCCGAGCACCGATCCCGCCATGCAAGCTAGCGATTCGACACCCGCGGCTGCTGCCGCCGTCGATGAGCAGTCGCTGGCAGCGAATACCACGACAACAGTCGCTGGCCAAGATGCGGAGAACAACAACCATAACGAAGGAGTAGGAGGAGGAGGAGGAGCTGAGGAATTAGAAGCGGAGGCTGAGGCGGAATCGGAAGCCACCTCGGCCGAGGAGCGCGAGGAACTGCAGCAGTTCATAAGCGAGCTGCGCGACAAGATCGAGAGCAAGCGCCAGTTGCGCCTGGAAAACTCCAACTTTGAGCTGCCCGGCGAGGAGCACTTTGCCCGCCTGGACTCCAACCTGAAGAAGAACACGGCATTTGTGAAGAAACTCAAGGTGTTCACTGCCACCCAGCTGGACGGGCTCCTGCGCGAACTGGCCGCCCTCAATCTAAGCAAATACATCTCGGAAATCTGTGCAGCTCTGGCGGAAGCCAAGCTAAAGATGACCGATGTCCCGGCTGTGGTCACCCTGGCCTCCCGCCTCCATCGCACCTATGCGGATTTTGATGTACAATTTCTGGAGGCCTGGCAGAAGGCGCTGAACATCAAGGCGAATGGCGAGAAGATAGGTAATCCCAGTAAGCTTCGGGTGGACCTGCGCCTCTTCGCCGAGCTGGTTAGCTCAGGAGTGATCCAAATGAAGCCGGGCCTGGCTCAGCTGGGCGTGGTTCTGGTCCATCTGATAGCCCAGGACAAGGATGATCATAGTAACTTCTCCATTATACTCTCCTTTTGCCGGCACTGTGGGGAGGAGTACGCCGGCTTGGTGCCCCAGAAGATGCAGCAACTGGCGAGCAAATATGGCGTGGAGGTGCCCAAGTCGGATTTCCTGACCGCCGACAAGCAGCTCAATCTGAGGACCATGCTCAAGGGCTACTTCAAGGCCCTGTGCAAGCATGTCCTGGCCGAGCAGGCCGAGCTGATGAACATGACCAAGAATATACGGCGGATTATGGAGTGCAAGGGTGAGATATCCACGGAGAAGCGCGAGAAATGCGAACTGATGCAGGCGGGCTTCGATAAGGTCCTGGCCTCGGCCCAATCCCTGTCGGAGCTGCTGGGTGAGCCGCTGCCGGAGCTGGCCAAGGAGTCGGAATGCTGCAATCCGGGCACAGTCATAGACAATATGCTGGACAGTGCTGCCTTTGGTGTGCTGGATCCTTGGGGTGATGAGGAGACGCGAGCCTTTTACACGGATTTGCCGGATTTGCGGCAGTTTTTGCCCAACTTTTCGGCACCAAAAGTGGATTTGGAGACTCTAGAGGAGCCCAGTGAGCTCACAGAGGAGGCCATTGAGGCGAATCTGGATGCAGAAATGGATATAGATGATCCGCCTTCGACCACATCGGATACTGGGTTGGATGTTGTGGCTCCCGAGGAGCTAACAGTGCCCGCAGCACCAGCATCAGCAACTCCCCCCTCCACCGAGGAGGTGAAGCCACAGAAGATGGGCAATGCCCTCATGGAGTTGGGCCGCCAGCAGCAGCAGCAACAGCCCCAGCAGAATCCTAGCCAGAGCACCTCCCAGACCCAGTTGCGTCAGCAGTTTGATGCCTTTCTGCTGAACCTCTTCAACTGCGTCAACAAGGAGCTTATTGACTCGGCGGCCATCGAGTTTTTGCTTAATTTCAACACGAAACATCAGCGGAAGAAGCTCACCCGCACCATCTTCTCGGTGCAGCGCACCCGTTTGGATATACTGCCCTATCTGTCCCGCTTTGTGGCCATCATCCATCTGTGCAACACCGACATGGCCGCCGATCTGGCCGAGCTGCTGCGCAAGGAGTTCAAGTGGCACATTCGCAAAAAAAACCAACTGAATATTGAATCCAAGCTGAAGATTGTCCGGTTCATCGGGGAGCTGGTCAAATTTGGTCTCTTCAAGAAGTTCGATGCCTTGGGCTGCCTAAAGATGCTGCTGCGCGACTTCCAGCATCATCAGATCGAGATGGCCTGCGCCTTTGTGGAGGTCAGCGGTGTCTATTTGTACAATTGCCGGGATGCCCGGCTCCTGATGAATGTCTTTCTGGATCAAATGCTGCGCATGAAGACGGCCACGGCCATGGATTCCCGCCACTCGGCCCAGATTGAGAGTGTTTACTATTTGGTGAAGCCACCGGAGTCATCGAAGCGGGAGGCGACCCCGCGTCCGCCCATGCACGAGTACATCCGTCATTTGATCTTCGAGGAGCTGTGCAAGCAAAATGTGGAGCGCTGCATCAAGATGCTGCGACGCATCGACTGGCAGGATCCGGAGACCAACAGCTATGCCATCAAGTGCCTCAGCAAGGCTTACCTGCTGCGCTTCCCGCTGATCCGCTGCCTGGCGGATCTGGTATCGGGCCTGAGCTCCTATCAGCCGCGTGCCGTGACCGTGGTCATAGACAATGTCTTTGAGGATATACGGGCGGGTTTGGAGATCCATTCACCCAGGATGGCTCAAAGACGCATAGCCATGGCCAAGTATCTGGGCGAGATGTACAACTACAAGCTGGTGGAGTCCACGCACATCCTAAATACCCTGTACTCGATTATATCGCTGGGCGTGTCCATGGACCAGAATGTGGTCTCACCCTTGGATCCGCCGGATAGTCTGTTCCGGCTGAAGCTGGCCTGCATGCTGCTGGACACCTGTGGACCCTATTTCACCAGCCAGGCCACGCGCAAAAAGTGAGTTACCTCTGGCTTCTAGGCTTAGTCTTTGTTTTCTACAGGTTTTTTCTTTTATATTTCACAGACTGGACTACTTCCTGGTCTTCTTCCAGCACTATTACTGGTTCAAGAAATCGCATCCTGTGTTTAGCCGTTCGGAAAACACCTCCGATTTGTTTCCCATCCTGGTGGATCACACCTACCGCGACTGCCTGTCCAGTGTGAGGCCCAAACTGAAGCTGTACAAGAGTCTGGAGCAGGCCAAGGCGGCAATTGATCAGCTGCAGGATAAGCTATATCCCCAGCTGAAGAGCAGCAGCAGCAGTAGCCTCAACTGTGGCGGTAACAGCAGCAACATAGCTAGCCAGGATCCAGCCTTAACAACCATCAGCGAGATCAACGAACTGGAGGACAATGTGAGTTCTTTACAAAATACCTTTTTATACCCTTGCAGGGTCTTAAGGATCCAATTGCAAACTGCAATTGTTTAAAAATATATTTCATATATAAATATTATCGTTAGGTCACCGATGAGGAGGATTCTGCCTCCTCCAATGACCAGCGAGAGCGCCAGGTGGCTGGCAGCCAGGAGGTCGAACCGGAACAGGCCAATGATTGGACGGAGAATGAGACAGAGCCACCGCTGCCACCACCACCGCCCCCTGAGAAATCCAAGGAGGATCTGGAATTTGAGCAGATGTACGAGAAGATGACCACAGACTCATACCAGGAGCGCCTAAAGGAGCCACTAAAAGCCACCGCCAAGGATATACCAGTGCCGATGACGGCCCGCCTGCAAAAGAAGTCCTACGATCAGCTTAATGGCGGCTCCAGTCAAACCTCCTTGCAGATCTCAAAGGGAACCAGCGCCGTGGTGACGCACGAGGGAGCTCCAGGTGCTCCAGGCATCAACAGTGGCCCTGAAGCTCAAGTCGAGGGCAGCAAATCTGGTGGAGGAGGAGGAACCACCGCCGTGCCCTTTGTCCTAATGGTACGCGGCCACAAGGGCGGCAAGCAGCAGTTCAAATCCTTTGTGGCCGCCTCAGACTCCCATTTGGCCATCAATTTGAAGCGCCAGGAGCAGGCCATACGCGAGGAGAAGGAGAAGGTCAAGCGCTTGACTTTGAATATAACAGAGCGGATTGAGGAGGAGGATTACCAGGAGTCACTGCTGCCGCCGCAACAGCGCAATTTTGGCCATCAAAGCTACTACCAGAAGCCGAACAAGCACAAGTTTAAGCACCAAAAGGGCGCCCCAGATGCGGATCTCATCTTTCACTGAGAAAACGGAACAAATGTGGCTGTAAGCTAACAGAGCTAAATTCTCCAGGGACTGCGATTGCGACTGAGGGCGGGGGTTAGGATGGAGGCTCCAAGAGCCTGCATAGAAGCTCCCAACCGACAAGCACACAAACACACCTCAGAAATCGTACTTAAGCCCACTGAAAACTGAAGACAAGAAAAAGGCAGAAAAGCCAGAAAGCCCTCGCAATCGCAGCCAGCTCAAGCCATGGGGGGGTCATGGCACTCGCACTCGTACTCGTCCTCGATATTATCCTGTACATAATATAGAACAGAACAGAATGGAACGGAACAGCCTCTGCATCTAACATACGTAGAGGGAAACCCCAACCCTAACCGTAACCGTAACCATATATCTTAAATATTACATAGTACGTACCATTGCCTAGACTTGTTTCGAAAACAGAACCTAATGTATACAACGATATATACCACACACATACATAAACAGATATTCATATACATATATATATCCATCTATATGCATGTATATATATATATATATATATATATATTCGGTGTACATAAACTGGGCATCCATGTTAAATGTGTTTGCAAATTTAATTGACATTTTTTTGGAATTGGAAAATGGTCTGAAAATGAGTAAGAGAAAGGGAGGTTGGTTTTCTCTTTCTTGCCTTTTAAAAGGATTCAGAATTCTCTTCATAAAATGAAAAATACTTTTTCCACAATAATTTTCTTATTTTTCATCGTATTTAAAAAAAAAAGCTGTTTAAAAAAGTTTGCAAGTGTAAGAGTGAGATAGAGATATATTAGTTGTCTTCTTCTTTTTTAAAGGGTCCTAGAATTCTCTCCATAAGATACACTTTTTTTCTACAATAATTCTCGTATTTGAATGATTTTCTCAGCTTAAAAAAATGATTAAAAATAGGATAGAGAGATTGGATGGGTTTTCTCTCTGTCTCTCTCTCGTCTCTCTCTCTCTCTCTCTCTCTCTCTCTCTCTCTCTCTCTCTCTCTCTCTCTCTCTCTCTCTCTCTCTCTCTCTCTCTCTCTCTCTCTCTCTGAAAGGACCCTCTTCCCAAATCAGAAATTAAACTCCTTTTCTTTATATTTTTTTTTCTCATTTTTATTTCACTAAAAATTAGCATCAAAACAATTGAATTTTTTCGACTTTTTAATTCGTTTTTCGGTTTTTTCCTTTTTTTATTATTAATAAAAATTACTCAAAACACGTTCAAAAACCAACTCGTTTTCTTCTGCTACGCTTTAAATATCTTCTTTTTTTTTTTTTTTTTTTTTGTTAATCAGTAATCAGTACAAATGGCAAAAAAATATATATATGTATATATATTCATATAGTAGTATTAATTTACTATTAATGAACCGAAGAAAATTCAATAATTAAACAAAAAAACACACACAAGAGACTAATTATTACAAAAAATAAATGAAATGTATAAAAACACATTAGGTTCTCCTGTTCTTTCTTATTATTTTCTCTGGTTTTCCTTTTTCGTTTTTCCATTTTGTAAAAAAGAATTATTATAAAAATGATTAAATAAAAAAAGGGCGGCTACAATTAACAATTACAAGCTTAAATGTTAATACGCTTAAATATTAATTTTTTTAAAGTTAGATTTTCTTTTCTTTTCTTTTTTAATATAAAACAAATAGGGGGAAAGAAATTTAAGAGGATAGCTGGGGGATGGTAACAGGCCTTCAATTCTTGAATTTTTTAATTAAAAAACAAAAAATACGCATAAAAAAATAAAAAATAAAATAAAATACTATAAAAAAAGAACACAAAATCATACATCATAATTCAAAATCGTTTGCTGGCGCTTCTTGTGTGTTGTTTGTATCTCGTGTGTAGCTTTGTTGTGCGTTGTCCTCCTGCGGGAAGCTCTTGTATATATATATATATTTGTATATATAAAGTCTAAAATATATATGTTGTTGCAAGGCACAAATCGTTTTGCTCGTTCATGTATATATAGATATTAAATATATATACTAAATGGGGGGGCTGACTTAGTTTAGAAGGCGTTTTCAATGGCAGTTTGACTTTCGTGGTTCTTGCACCCTTCGTCGTTTCGATTTTGGTTATGAACATATATGTTTATATATATATATTGGCTGTTTGTGGGGGTTTCCTGTTAGTTTCTTCAAAAGCACAGACACGACGACGACACACGTAATTTTTCACTAATATTTAGCTTAGAGATGTTCATGTTCCGCCTTGGTTTTTATATTTTTGATTATTTTATTTCATTTATTTGCCCGCGTACATGGGGTTCTTGAAGGTGGAGGTGGCCTGCTTGTAGATGGGATTCTCGCCCTGCAATCAAAAGAAGATAGAGAAATATTCTTAGTTTTGATATATTCATTTATAAATTATTTCCTATATACTTATACTGTGTACATACCGTATCCCACTTGGCGTTCATGCGCTCCTTCTCGAAGCGGGCAAACTCCCGCCGATCGTGGATGGTCGTGAGCAGCTTCCACAGCAGCAGAATGGCCAAACCGACCAGAACGATGGCTGCTATAACGCCCAGAACTATGCCCAGCATAAAGACCTTGGGCGGGCACTCCTTCTCCTCCTGGGCATGAACAATGAGATCGCCCTGCTCGCTGTACTTGAACATAAACTTGCAGTCGTCCTCGTCAAAGAAGGTGCACATCTGCTCGTCCTTGTGCTCATCGATCACCACCTTGTCCACTCCCACAGGCGTAAATGTCGTGCAGTTGCGCAGACAATCGTCATTGTTCTTGAGGACGCCGGTATGATACATTTGGCACTGGACGCAGTCTTTTAACTCCTGACACCGCCCCGAACAGGTGGGGCACTTTTCACAATGCCGCCCGGAGTAGCGACCCTGATCATTAACCGTGCACTTGCAGACGCCACACTCGCAGGTGCCGTGACCCGAGCATATCTCACCGCCGCCCGGCGGCATGCAGGTATCATTGGAGGCCTTGCAGGCGCAACTGGTGCCCGTCCATCCAGGCTTGCAGATGCAACGTCCGCAGTCACAGATGCCATTATCCGGGCCAGAGCACAATTGGTTCTTGTTTCGCTCGCAGCTAAAGTTATCGCATTCGCAGAGCTTACCGGACACAACCTCCTCGGGATTGGTGCGCTTGAAGCATTCGCAGGAGCCGCAAACGCAATTGCCTCGGCCAGAGCAGTCCGTGGTGGTGGTATTATCCGCCCGACAGCTGGCATCGTTATTGATGGTGGAATTCATATCCGAGACGGAACACTCGCAGCTATTGCCGAAATGATGCTCATCGCAGTCACAGATGCCGCACATAAAGGTGCCAAAATTGTTGCAATGCCGCGAATGCTTCTCATAGCCTGTGGAGCCGGGCTGCTCGCAGGGACACGCGCACAGCATCTCCAAATGGATGAGCATGCTCTCGTTAATGCCCACGGGATAGATATTAATGTATTGATTCCAATCGCGCGGATCCTCCGGGCACTTGAGCACCTGAATCTGGGCAGTGAAGCTAACCTGTTGGCCCACCGTCAGGTTGTCACACTTGGAGGTCTGCAGCTCGGGACCGCCGCCCAAGCAGGATGAGAAATAGGTGATTTTCACATCTCCAGTTGCATTGTCCTTCATCTCCACCGATGAGGAGATTTTCTATTAACAAACATTTTTAAATTAGATTTGTTTCCATTTTGGTTTCCTTTCCATACTCACCGCATATTCCTCCTTGACCAGATCCACCACATTGGATGAATCGTTCGATAGCACCGCCGCCGAAGAGCCCTGGATGTGTCCCCTTAGCTTCTCGTAGACAGAAATCTGATTGCTGGTCACCGCAAAGATTATGTTGATGGCATTCTCCTTGACCTTCTGATTGATCTGCGAAATGCTGGGATAATCCTGTACCGTCGAGTGCGTATACAAGCCCTGGGTATTCAGATGGCATTCACCATCGTTGGGTGCAATCACGCCGCCCAGCTTGCCATCGCCGGCATAATGGAAGCCAGCGTCCGTTGAGAACACAAGCAGTCGGCGGGCCTGTTCACGCCAACCCACCTGCTGGCGGCAAGCAATAGCCTGCATAATGGCATCGAAGCCACCCTCCGGTGCATCCAGATTACCAGACACGGCTGCCTCCTTTACCTCGGTCTGTCAGGGATATTTTGGAGTTTAAGAGGATTAGGAGGAGTCTTAAACACAAGTAGGGGTGGTGGTAGTTAGTTAGTTATGGTGATTGTGTTGGTTTAGGCAAGCGGGTTGAGGTTAAGGCAGGCAAGCAGCTCCTTTTGCTGGCACACATCCTGATTTTCCCGCAAGTTCTTTATGATTAATTGATCATTTATTTGGTTAGCAAACAAAGCTAATTGAAATCTTGAACCACCCCTTCATAAAAAGAAGTAACTTAGTACACAAAAAAAGTGTCTCAAGGCACATTTGCGGCCTATCAATATCTCAATATATCAATATTTTTTCAATATTACATTTAAGACAAATTTGTTTAATTGTTGTGTTATTATATGGTATTTAATTCATTAAGCTAACTTAAGCCATTTCGCCACAACAAATTTTTCAAAAGTGGCTCGTTTTGCACTGAATAAAACTATGGCAAAGCTAATTTTTACAGAGACTACCAATGAATACCTGGATACATATATATGTATATGTACCCTATGATCTATATAAATAGAAAATTGAGTGATCATCCAATTTTTCGAATTTTACCCAGTTTTCTTTACCTATCCAAGAGTGTGCCAGCTTATAAACAATAATAACCAAACGACATATAAAATCTTAAGTTAACATTTATATATCGACGCATTTTCGCGAAAGTATCGTATGTCGTAAAATCCAATTTTACAGGAGAAGCATTTTTGTGCTTTAATCTCTTAGGAAGCACTATAGAAAAGACAAAATTGAAACTTAATTTTTATCGGAACTATAGGGGTTTTAGTTATAATATTTCACAGGGTAGTGAGACATTAGGTGCCCAACAATTTTGCATTAAAATCTCAATTTCGAAAAAAAGCGACAAACGATACTTTCGCGAAAATGCGTCGATATATTAATATATTATTATTATATATTAATATACTCATAATATTAGGCATGCCAGTAATTAATTACTTACATCATTCAGTAGGTTTACATAACACCATTAACAATGCAATACCAAAACCAAAATGCAAATCAAAGAAATAATTGAATTGAAATAATGTTAGAAAAATGTTGGAATAATAATGTGGATAATGGTCCCCAGCTGAGAGTTAAGTGCAAGGCAATCAGGCGATGAGGACGATGACCACTTACAGCGAATCTATATGTGTCCGTGCTCAAGCCCATGATGTTTCGATAGCCATAGGGAGCATCGCAGTTGGGGCAGGGCTCCAGCAGGCTAGTATTTTAGTTTTAAATTTCGGATATCGGATTATCGAATTCGGGCAATTGTTCGAATACAATACAAATACATATATATAGATGGATGAGTGAAAATAAAAAGAGATAGAGAGAGAGAGAGAAGCAAACGAAAAAAAAAGAAAGGATAAATACGGTTTTTGTTGACAACATCGATTGGTGCAAATAATTACGATATAGTTACGATATATATATATACGATATATAGTAGGAGTGTCGAGAGAGATGTGCTGAGATCCTGCTCACCAGCAAACACATACACAGTACACACAGAGACACAAACTTAGGGCTAAGGCTTAATGCATAATGGATATATCTGAGAGATTGCAATAATAATAATAATAATAATAATGATAATAATAATAATTAATTATAATAATAATAATGAATAATAATAGCTATAATAATAATACGAAATACCCATAATAGAGACACAAGCACAAGGGGTACAGTGAGTGGAGTGAGGGAAGGACACATGCACAGTGTGACTTGGAATGGGGTTCTACGGGTGGAGAGGGGGGTGGCAGGCAGGCACCGGATATGTGTGGTATGTTGCATGTATGCAATGGGTTAAAGCAAGTATTATTCGTCGTCTCTTACAGAAAAGCTTTCGGTGTTATTGTTGAGTGGCATGTGATTGCGGTAACCATAGGGAGCCTTGCAGTTGTCGCAGGGATGCTCGAGTCTATCGATTCGTCGCGTTGTTGTTGTTGTTGTTGATGTTGTTGAGTTTGTTGTTGATTGGTGTTCATGGTTGTGGTTGTAAGTACATAAATATTTCAACAAGTTAGATAGAAATTAGCTTGAATTTAGTCATTAATCAAGAGAGAGAGAGAGTTAATTTTGTAAACTTTCAATCAAACCCATGAGGGCACTCATGAATCACGGTCAAGGAGTCACCCAGTCTCTCCAACAAGTCATCGCAGTTTCCAGCTAAGCGCTGACTAATCTCTAATATCAGCTCAGGGGTATGACTACCACAGAACTTTTCTTAGGAGCTAATCTTTAAACAAAAAAATTCACTTTAAAAAGCTAAAATTAAGGGGTTTTTGGAATGATACAATACATTTTCATATCAGGTCAAGTCAAAACAAACCTAGATCTGTTTCTTAACAATTAAAAATTTGCAATTAATATTCCCCCTACTTATTCCCCCTGTTACTTCAAACCATACTCACTTCTTGGGTATCGTTGAGACATAGGGCATCAGCACCTTGTCCACAAAGGAGCCAAAGCCCAGACGGAAGTTCGAGGTAATGCTCTTCATAGTCTCCGACAGCTTATCACCCAGCGCCGACAGCTTCTCCTTGTCATCCTCCATCGACTTGGACAGGTCCATAAGATAGTACAGATCCACAGGATACCCCTCCGCTTGGGTGTAGCTCACCTTCAGGTCATGCTTTTGGTCTGCAAAAAAAATCGGCATAAGGAATCAATGAGAAATTACTAGGGGGATGCCATCTCTACTTACTTATGCGCAGCTTCAGCTTCACCGACTGCGGCTTGATCTGGACAATTTCGCTGGAAGACCAGCCCGCAGAGTATTCCGAGCCAAAAGAACTGGACATGGACGAGGAGGAGGAGGAGGAGCTGTGATAGGAGCTCGAACTGCTGCCAGAGATGCTATAACCAGCGCCGGATTGGCCACCATAGCCGGCGCCATGACCAGCACCGCCAGCTCCATAGCCACCGCCGCCGCCCATTCCTATGCCTGCCCCCGATGCTACGCCGGCCAGCGTTAGGTTCTTGTTAAGGAGAATCTGCTCGGAGGTGTCCGGATTCCAGACAAACTCCTCGGGGCAAACGTTGCTTGTGTGCTGGAAGCAGCGCGACTGTCCCTTGAAGTCCGGCTGCATGCACCAGGCGCAGCTTTCGGTCTGGATGCACGTGTGGCACTTGTCCTTGGCCCCGCACGGGTTCTGTGTCAGTTTGCCCGCTTTCTGGGCTTCCGCGGCCAGCGTCATGGCGGCCAGCAGGCAAAATGCGAGGAGCAGGGCTCCCCGGCTAATCCTCGTGCTCTCGAGGATCATCTTTCTTCCTTTTGTGCCTGTGTGTGTGTGTGATTTAGAAGGATGGTGCTGGAGGAGGAATATCCGTGCGTCTCGCTCGCTCTCTCGGCGTTTACTGTCGCTGGAATAAGGAGAAAGCAATTGAAGCGATTAGTTTCCCAATCAGAATTACAAGAACTACAGTGGCGGGCATAAAAGTATACGCAACACTTTCAATAATTCTCCAAAAATATTTGCCAATAAAGGAGATTTTACTGGATTTAGTTAACAACTTAACAACTATTAAAACAAGATTAAGGCAGCTGGCCTATTTTTTCCACCGCGAGTGTAACTGAAGTTCAGCTGATGCTGTTGTTGTTTTTAATCGCTGTGCATTGCTTTCTACGCCCCCTCTTTCTCCCCCCACTTTTTGCTTGCTTTTACGGCTGCCCGCAACATCTGCCCCCTTTTCGTTTTCTACTTCTTCCTTCTTTATTCGTTTTGTTGTTTTTGCTGCTCTACCTTAATGTTTAATTTTATTTTCTCATCAACTTGGCCAGGGAGATGACTCATCTCTCACACTCAGACAGTCAAACAAGGGCGCTGCGTTGGATAAATGAATTTATAAAGGTGTATGGGTGGGGTGTGCGTGTTTTTTGTTTTTAGATGGCGTCGAAAAACCACACAAAAACAGGCACATCGAAAGAAGAAGCAGGAAGGAAGGAAGAGAGGCAGAAGCAAGCTGTCAATGCCTGCAGCGCACGTTCCGTTAGCACGCTCTCTCTCCCTTACTCTCTCTGCTTTGCCTCCTGGCGGAATGTAAACAAAGGCTGGAGGGAGCGGGACAATGAATGAGTAGTCATTATGAACGACGATTGCAGTCGATTTCCGCTTAAATGAATCAGAATCGAATCACTCATACCCGCAGTAATGCTCAAAATTCAATATGTTTAAGGGGGGATATACATGTAAACCACAAATTTTTCGGGCAAATTTTTTTTTTGTTTAAAAAATAGTTTATTATTTAAAGAATATAGTGTGTAAGTTTCATTGTCGAATTCCAATTCTAAGTGCCTCAAATCAAGTATGCACGCAAGGTTCACAAGTGTTAACGTGGGCGCATCAAAAACTTTAAACGTCTTTTTCTCAGCTTCTAATTTTTGCATTTCTACCTATGCTCTGGACACGATTCACAAAAAACTATGTAACATATCGGAGTGAATCAAAAATTATTATGATCAGCATGAAATTATCTTCTATTTGAACCTACATGGTTGTTAAAAAACTGAGTATTACTATTTTTTAAGAGGGTGGGAAGTGAAAACTGATCACCTGAAAATGGCATTTTTTCCTTCAAATCAAAATTAATTTTTTTTGTCTTGATTTCTTTTTGGTTTTTTAGGTTCAAATAGAAGATAAAGGTGTAATGAATACAAAAAAATTTAGTTTACGGATTTTGGACAGGAATTACGAGCTCTATCGTGTCCATAGCACGGCAACTCAAAGCTCGAGGCGCTACGGCATATGTTCCATAAGTCCGCCATTTTGTAAAATATTGTTTATAACTAATTTTTTTTATCATCTCTGATTCTACTTTTAACTATATCCAAAGTTTCACGACGATTGCTTGACTATTTCTTATAAAAAAAAAATTCACGAAAAATGGCAAAATTTTGACCGCTTACATGTATATCCCCCCTTAATAACCGAAAGGGCTGCAGCTTGTTTTGTATGTTCGAATGTCTGTTGCTCCACATGTGTACATACACTCACACATATCTATATTTAGACGCCCACGCATACACATCCGAACGCAATTTGCATGAAAGATCGTGTGCCGCCAAAACAACAACAATAAAAAAGAGCAACTATAATGAAAAAAATACAATAAATTTAAGAAAATTGAGCAATAGCATCACCCTGAAGGTATAAAAACTTTATAGAAGAACTGCAAAAAGCTGCCCTACTTGTGTGAGGTAACTTCGAAACCAAACTAGCCAAACTTATGATACTACAGCCCAAAATAGACGTGCGATCAGTCTGATTTTTTGCATATTATAAGCTTCATAATAAAAACAGACAATTGGCCAAGTTTCATATTGATGGCATGCAAGTCGAACGAGAGAATCGTCAAAGTAAACAGAAAATATGATATTGTAATGGGATCATACACACACAGCGAAAACAGTTGTTACTCCGAAGCATGCATGGTGGGGTAGAAGGGATGACTTTGCCCCCTATGAATAATACCCTCTATAAAAAAAAAGGCATCTGCAGCGGCGCACAGTTTTTTTGTGTTATTTTTTGCCATTAATGATGGACGCCCACCAACACATGGACACATAGACATGTGGGCGTACTGGTTGAGGTCCCCTCTTCACCCTCTCGATCTGTTTCTTCTCTGGTCTCCGTCTCTGCCTACGTACTCCGTTCGCTAGATCGTGCGAGTGGGTGGGGGAAGTTGCATGGCATGGCCAGGCAGGGCGATAAAGACAGAGCCCGAGGCGTAATCAGCAAGGCGTCGCCGATCTGCAGCTTTTAAATCAAATATAAAAAAAAAACCTTTAATACAGGCAAAAGTGTCGTGCAGAGGATTCGGATTCATGCCTCTTTTAGCTCAACAAACAACACACACACACGCACACAAACGCTCGTTATCGCTGTGTTCGTGCGTGTGTCGTCACTGCGAATGAAATCATCAGGAGAAAAAAAAAAAAAAAGAGCGCTCAGTGTTTTTGGCCAAATGCAGCCGGAATCCATTGATTTCTTACGTAATCCCCACTTATTTCACTCAACCCCCGACCAATGCCAGTACTTTGGTCTAACTTTCGATGCGTTTTTGCCGATAATTCGCGAAATTAGTTTCCATCAGGGGCAGTTGGCCGCTGGTTCTTCGTTTTCTTATTTTGATTTGCTCTCGCACACTTGTGGAGTTTACTCGCACACACACACACACACACACGCAGTGGATCTGAGTCAGTTACGGCTATTCCAGAGCTCTTTGTACTAGCTTTCCGTACTTTCGTTGTTTTCGTTAACTTGGTCACGATAGCGATTAAATGCTCTTGGCCAGCGGAAAACTTAATTGAACGACTGGCGCAAGACCGCCGATTGGAAGCAAGAAATTGGAATTGGAGAATTGGTAATTATATTGCTGGTGGTGTGACCAGATGGATGAATACAATAACGCCTCTTTCAAGAAGAGTGTCGTTTTATTTCGCTCCAGCTGGTCACACTTAAATTAACGAATTTTTGTGTGTTGGAAAACTTGGTTAAATAATAATCGACTCATCGATATCTGATATCGATATCATCGCTGCTAACTGCCCACTTCTAGCGCCCATCACTATCGACGTGTGTTCAGTTAAGGCAATTTTCACGGTAAAAATAACAATATTGCTTGAGAACCCCGGCCGCCGGCCATGAAACACTCCCACACAGCCCCCCAGCGGCAGCGGGAGCCATTGCAACCGAAAGCAGACGTTCGCGGGCCAGGGAGCCGCACCGAAATCGCCGGACCGCATTCCGCGCTCTATGCGCCATTTTGTTTCGCTTGTTACGTTTATTTTTTTTTGTCTCTCGCTCTTCTTACACGTTGAAAACGAAATATGAAAACTCACCACCAGTGGTTCTCTTCGCTCTCTCGCTCGGTTCTCTTCACCACCGTCACACCACTACGCAGGCAGGCACACACATGCCGCTCGCTATCTGTCGCACTCGCACATGCCGGTGTGTCGCCATTGGTTAGAGCGGCACAGCTGTATGGTGCAGGCGCGTGCGCCTCGTGCCCCGTCCGTCGTGCATGTGTGCGTGTGTATTCGCATTTTCAGTAATTTCGAAAAATTTTTGTATATTTGATGGCGACAGCGACGGCTCGAAACGCGCGTTTGTCGAAAAATCGTAGCGCGTACGTATATCGGTGTGTAGAAATTACTAAAAAATTGTGGTAAAAATCACCAAAAATTATATAAATTTGTAATCAGTGTGAAGTGCTAATTACGGGCCACCTGATGCGTATGGAAATTGTTGGAATATTTCGCGATTTTAGCGCCAAAAAACACATTTAAAAAATGTGAGACTTCAATGGACATGACAAAATTTTTTTTCTTTACTTTTTTTTTGGTGGTGGAACAAAAGCGAACGAAGAGGAAGAAGAAGAAACTGCTCTGACGTGTGTGTGTGTGCGAGCGTGCAGTTGTGTGTGTGAGAAGAGGGCATGAGTGTGTAGTAGTCACCAAGTGAATAATATTAACTAAAAAAAAAAAAAAGAAAAAACGGAAAAGAAGCAAAGAAAAGAGGAATACACACGCGCGCGCCAAATCCGAAAAGAAATTTCACTAATAAAAAGCAAGTGTGATCGTTTTGTAAAGAAATAAAACAAATCAAGGAATATAAAACTACAAAAAAAAAAAAAGCATGGAAAAATCTATATTCTATGGATTTTTCTGGTTATTGTTGTATCATTTAATATTTTGCGGTTTGGCGGCGCCGTCCATAACGTAAGCGAATTGCTCGCGTTCCGTTGCGTCGCGTCGCGTGATGACTGTAGCGTATGCCGATGCTTACGTTGTGGGTTACGTTGTCGCTGGGGATTCATCACACTCGCTCTCTCTCTCTCTCTTTCGCTCTCCCTCGCGCGCGCAAATGGATATCGGGGAAAAAGTGCTGATTTTTTTTATGTTTGTTTTTATTTCTACAGTTTGCACTTCTTTTAACAGTCGTGTGCAATTTTACATGTTGTATATGTTCGATTTAAACACAACTGATTCGAAATAACAGAAGCAACAAAGAATTATTTGGTTTTATAATAATAAATGACAACAACAACAGCAGCAGCAGCACACAGCTACATCAACAACAACACAGCAAGCAAGCAACAAAAAGCCATTCGGATTTCGGATTATTAAGCAAATGAAAAGCTAAAACATTTAAAGCGGCCGAAGGAAATGTAAGTCAGAAAAGTGCAACGCACGTGGCTACACGTCCCCCACCCACTCGGCCCACCATAGGTTGAACTTCTTTTAGTTTCCGTCTTCCAAATTAAATTTTTACTATTTTGTTGGCGAGTTCTCTTCAATAAACAAACATTTTTTGGAGGGATAATATTCTCCTAAGGGACAGCAGCTGCATTTCACCGGTTTTTCCAACCCTTTTTCTACCTTCTCGTTTTGAGTTTGAGATTTCTTCTGTAAAGAAGTTACAGATTTCAATAGTAATATACACAATTATTTGCTTACTTAATAGTATTTATAGCCAGTGTCAGGGTTTGTTTTAATTGATAAAATTTATTAAAAAGATAAAAATCCTTTAACTTTGTTATAAAAGTCTTCTTTAGCTTGAAAAAAATATTTAATTCACTAAAATAAAAAGCCTTGGAGTTGGAGTACATTTAAAAATTTAAAATATTTACCAAGTACTGAGTTTTCAGCATAATTACAGTTTGTTATTCTTTTAAATGGATTGCAAACTTAAACAGCATTCGCTATAAGTTTCTTGCCCAAAAATATCATAAACATACATTTTTAGTAAGAAATATCTACAATACTGTTAAAATGTGTAATTATCGATATTATTTAGGCATTCTACACTCTCCTGTTATTCCCCATCATGTACTCTTTCTACCGGCTTTGTGACTTTTTAAATTTATTTAGTTTTGTTGTCGCTCTCTTTTTTATTGCAATCGTCGTCGTCGTTGGTGTTGCATTTGGGCATTTGGCGCGTAAATAATAGGTAGACGCAAACGCAATCTGTTTGTTTACTTGTCGCCGCGGCTGCTTTGCGAAAATTGAAGATATGTTTATCGTAAATAAGCGGAAATTTTGTGGCTCTCTCTCGGAATCGAATTCATTGATGCTTTTTGGGGCGATGCTTCCTCTTCTGCTGGTGCTGTTTCATCTTCTTCGCATGCTGCTGCCGCTGCATGCTGCCATGTAAACCGGCTTTAAATTCGTGCCACTATTAGCACGATTTATTAACCTAGAGGCAGCAGCTAGCTCCCTCTCCCGCTCCTCCTAACCCATCGACTCCGCGCTCTCTCATTCTCGCTCTTTCGCTGGCTCGTAGTCGGCGGCGGCATACTTGCAGATACACAGAAGAAGCACAGCACATTCGCTTGCTCTCTCCGTTCGAATCGAATGCCACCACCTCTCTCTCTCTCTCTCTCTGGTTTCGAAATGCCGCCATATTTGCATTACGTAGGCCCCTATTGTTGTCTCGCTCTGCCGCACGTCCCAGCAGCTGCAACTTTCAGTGGTCTAGCGTAAGTGTGTGTGTGTGTGTGTTTCACTTGAGTATTTTATTTATTTAAATAAAATTGATATATTTGGCCGTAGTTCAAGTGCAAACAAAAATGAAACAATATTTAAATTAGGCACGTTTCTTAATGTTTCCTTAAATGAAGTTTGCTCTATTATGGCGTTTAGTTTGTAATTGCTTTTTAGCCAAACTATTGACCTTTGTTTATACGGGATTGAGATAATAAATTATTGATAAATGTACGGAGGAAAATGATGGCCCAGGAATATCAATTGGATTTTTGTGTAATAAAAGCTGCTTAAAGTGAATCCCTCTCCTCCAGTCCCCACCTTACTTCCTTTTCCTTTTCCTGGTGGAATCACCAATGCATGCCGTTGCTGTATATTCTCTGCTGCTTCTTCTCCTTGTGCCTCCTTGCTCATATTTTCCCTCGCCTCTACGTCACCGTCATCGTGTTTGCCTTCGTGCTATCACTCGTGCTGGTGTTGGTGTGTTTGCCTTGAATATCTCTCGGTTCACTTTGGCTCGCAATCGTTCTACGTAAAATTCTGTTCAAACTCAAAGTCTACTGTACTACATAATTACAACCGCACGTTCGCGCTCTCTCGCTCTCTTCCGTTCTAGCTGTTCGTGCTTGTGTATGTGTGCGTGCCAGTTAATGTTTTGTTTTGTTGTGAGAGCAACAGAGAGGGAGCGAGAGAGCGCCGCCCGCTATTGCATTCTGGACGTATCTCGTACACTCCCTCTAGCTCTATCCCCACCCTCTCCTTCCTCGGGTATTTAATATTTGTTATTCCTAAATATTCCCATTTTATTTGCGTGCTACGGCGAGAATAGAATGTGGAATACGTCATGATTTTCGCCTGGCCTTCGTGCGTTGTTTCCGTTTAATTTTGCGTCACACTCGCACTCGGACTCACACTCACGCACACACAAGCGCATACGAACACTTGGCAACTAACAAAAATACAGTGGGCCAAAACTATAAACTCAAAGCCCGCAATTGAAAACGCAGCCTGGATCCGGAACTTGAACTGGAACTCCTCCCAAAGTGAAAGCGGTACAGCTGAAAAGAAAAGAGCGGTGAAAATAACATGGGTCGCCGGCCGGCGAGACACACACACACACATATGTAGACTACATGTATAGTGTAAATAAATTCGCAACATCAACAATAAACAAAACGGAGCAAGTGTTTGTATTCTTTCTGCGTAAACAATTGAGGGTTAAATCAAAACGAATGCAATTGTGTGAATCAAAACTGTACGAGAGGGGGTTGTAAACATGTACCATATTTGTGGTCGCTGTGAATGCAATTTGTACCACTGTCAATTTGGAATATCAGACTGTGCATCTGTGTGCGTGCTTAGTGCTTGCCCTCGCCCTCCTTCCCCAACTTCCTCGACTCCTCACCACACGGCACGTACTTGTAGTTGAGGGTGTTAAATAAAAAATAAAACGTTGGAATTACGTGCATATTATTGCCTTTGCATTGGCGTTGCAGTAACAACAACAAACAAAGCGAATGAATCATGCTTGCTTGTTGACCAAGAATATTCAACTTAAAAAGGCGGCGTGGTGAATTTCTCTCAGTTTTCAAACACAACACACGCCGCAAGCGGTGTAGGTGCGTGCGTGCTTGTGTACGTACGTATTGCATTAATGGATATTTATTGTGTTTATTAATTTTTTTTTTTACATTCGATTTATTTTTTTTTATTTTTGCGAGCGCATTTTGTCTGGTTTTTGCTGTCCCTTGATAAAGCCGCTTGATAAGTGCAAGTGGGATGGCTATATGGTTAGAATGGGCTACATGTGTGCGTGTGGAATGTCTCTCTTTCTCTCCCGATGTCGAACATTTTCGAAGTGAAGTTCGAAAAGCGAATTAGGCTCTCCCCGCTGCTCTCTCGCTCTCCGGCGCTCTTCTCTATTTGTGCGACGGCCCGTGTGTGTGTTGCCGTTGCCTCTTCTTTATTTTCGCTGTTGCTGTGAGTGCCAAAACGGCGGCAAAGTAACTACACACGACCGAACGGTGGAAACGTTGGAAAAACGGAAAAAACAGCAGAAATAGCTGAAATAATAAAGTGCTCGCATCAAATAATCAAGAATAAATCAGATATATTGCGAATATTGTTGTGAAAAAGTGTAGGGAATTGATTGTTTTGCACTTGGGGCACTGTGTGAGTTTTATGAGTAGTTTCATTCTCGTTCCCGTTACCATTCTCGGTTCTCGTTCTCCGTCGTTGTCTCTCTGCTTCTTGCCGTTTGCTCTGTTTTCATTCCACGCAGTTTCGTTGTCGTCGCGCATTTTGTTTATGCGATTTGTAAATTTGTTATTTTGGTTGCCTGCTGCCCCCACCGCCCCCCTTGACCCTATTCTATTCTATTTTATTTTACGCTGTATTTATGTATTTCTGGTTGTTTATGTAACCCGCCTCGAGGTGGAAGTGTTGTGAAATGCAAATCTCGACCAGAGTTGCAAAATAATATGCCGGCATAAAACAAAAATTGATGGAGCCGAAGCCGAAGGATTGACTTCTAATTTGATTTGTGTTCGTTCCTTTGCTACAGATAATAATCGCATCGCCTCGCCTCGCCTTAGCTGGAAAAGATTTGACGGATTATTAGCAGCAATAATGCCTACCGTTGCCTTACACCACGTATCGGACTTGGCCGCAGGTCTTGCCATCCAATGAGAGGAGCCTGGGCGCTGAGAATCTGGAGCAGGGGTGGTGAGTAGCAGCAGACAAGGTCTCCTAGCATCTCCACTTACTAATTCTTCGGTCTCTTCCCAAATTCCCACAGTGCACAGACATTGCTGAGCATGAAGCAACAGCACAATCCCTCGACTAAGAACCGTTTTGCATCAATCACAGCGACGAAGAGTAAAGCGGGAGAGGAGCAAGCAATACGAGAAGGATACGGACCGGGAGCCGCTGTCAGGAGGTGTCAGGAGCCAGCAGGAGCTGCTGCGTCCAGGAGACGGAGGAGGAGGTGGTCGCCGTCAACGACGGCCACACAATCGATCTAGCGATCAACGCAAAAGTGAAAATACACACCCATACACACGCCGGAAAATCAAGAAAAATCAAGAGCAGTAGCAGGACGCCACAAGGAGGAGCAGCAGCAAGGGAGGCCACAACGGCGGACGGCGAGGAGACGGAGACGGCCCAGGCGTGTGTGTTTGTGAAAGCTCGTAAAAGTGAGCGCGTGTGTGGTGTGCTGCCCCCCAAAGTGTGTGCGTGAGTGTGCGTGTGTCGGCCGTCTCAGTCGAGAACGAAAAGGATACCGAGGATTCACAAGTCCAGCAAAAGAAGCACCACCAATTTATCAGCTAATTAAATCCCTAATTCACGCCACAAACTTCACACAACTAACAACGCCACCACTACACAACTACAACCACCATGTCGTCCAGTGAGCCACCTCCCCGGTATGAGCCGCCCGTGGAGCCAGTCAATGGCATTGTACAGCCACCGGTAATGCCACCAGCGGAGCGACCCGGCCGCAATACCAATCAACTGCAATATCTGATCAAGACGGTGATGAAGGTGATATGGAAGCACCACTTCTCGTGGCCTTTCCAGCAGCCCGTCGACGCCAAGAAGCTCAACCTGCCCGACTACCACAAGATCATCAAGCAGCCAATGGACATGGGTACGATCAAGAAGCGGCTGGAGAACAACTACTACTGGTCGGCCAAGGAGGCCATCCACGACTTCAACACCATGTTCAATAACTGCTACGTCTACAACAAGCCCGGCGAGGATGTTGTTGTCATGGCCCAAACGCTCGAGAAGGTCTTTCTGCAGAAGGTCGAATCGATGCCTAAGGAGGAGCTCGAACTGGAGCCGGTGACGGCCAAGGGTGGCAAGAAGAAACAACGTGTGCCCACCACGCCCAAGGCAACGGGCGGTGCTTCATCGGCGTCCGGTGGTGCCTCCTCAACGCCAGCTGTCAGCAGTGGCGCCGGCAAAGTGCCCACTGCTGCTGCTGGAGCCGCTTCATCCGCGCAACAGTTGCCCGGCCATGCGGGCGCAACGGGAGCGAGTGGCGGAGCTGCGACACCTGGCACCGGTACGGGTTCGGGTACGCAAGCCGCCCGACCCGTTTCAGCCATGGGTGGCACGGTTTCATCGACGGCCGGCGGTGCACCGTCCATACCACCGATTAGCACAATGCCACCGCATACGGTGCCCGGCAGCACCAATACGACGACGACAGCGATGGCTGGCAGCGCCGGGGGAGCTGGAGCGGCAGGAAATCCCAATGCCGTTGCCCTAATGGCCAGCCTCCTGAATACGGGCCAGGCTGGAGCATATCCCGGCGCGCCCGGCCAGACGGCGGTCAATAGCTCATCCCTACTCGATGGCAACTCTGGCGCCGCAGCGGCAGCAGCAGTGGCAGCAGCAGCAGCGGCGGCAGCAGCAGCGGCGGCGGCGACAGGAGCAGCAGGCGGTGGAGCTCCGCCAGGAGCGGGAGGAGGCGGCGGAGGAGGAGTGACAATACCAGCGGCTGCCGTGAATGCCGCCAACGCGGTGCAGGCCTATGTGAATAGTACGGCGGGAGTGGGCGTCGGTGTGGACACCGTGATACCGCCGCAGCAGCCCGCCAAGATTAAGAAGGGTGTCAAACGGAAGGCGGACACCACAACGCCGACGGCCAATGCCTTTGAGTCTCCGTATGCGCAAATGGACTCGAAATCGGCCAAAATAGCGACGCGGCGGGAGTCGAATCGTCAGGTAATTGGCAAGAAGGTAAGAGTAAGACGTGAGCCGAGTCGTATGAGTATGAGTATGATCATGATCCCCCCCTCGTTCCTGTCAAGTTTTTGTTATCTTAAATATTGTTTCAAGCTTCCATGTCAAGTTTATATTGTAAATATAGCTGCATTGTGATTTTTGTCAAAAAATTCCTGATAAATTATAAATTGTAAAAGCAAAAGACATTTTTTTTCTTGCATTGTCTATAAAAAAAGTAAGAAAAATCATTTTTTAATCGGATTGAAACACTTAAACTTCCTTTTTTTTTGTAAAGTTTAAAATTTAAAATCAAGGAAATTGTATATTTGCTTGTTTTAAATGTCTAAACATGTATCATTTAGTACATCAAAAAGCTTGAGTTTTTTAATATCATAAATATATATGGATGCTCCTCCAATCTTAGTGTACAAAAATTTCATTACCTTATAGTTGTATTTGTTGGAATCATTGATTAGCCTAAGCTATAAAACCCGAATCAAAATTGGTTAATAACTCAAAACCTAATTGAATAAATCATACACAATACGCTGCCTTGCCTCTTACTCGATGACCATTATTCATGTTATTGTAAATAAACACACGTTACTTACTACTGATTACTGGTTACTGTTTTTTGATTACTATTTACTGACCACTGTTTACTAATAACTGCTCACTTTTTACTGGCTTACTGATACTGACATAGATACTGATACTGATTCGCAGTGCTTCCTGATCAAGTTCGCAGTACTTGCTCTTGTTTTACTTTATTTTAAATTGAAAGATTCATTCTATTTCCTTCATATCAGCTTATAAGTTCAATTTAGTAGCGAACAAGAGAGTATTTACTTTACATTTTAAGTTTCTTTCCATTTATTCATAGGAGCTTACGGGAAAGAGTATTTTGCCATTGAATAATGTTGATCTTAATGATTACTGTTACTGACACTGATTACTGTTACTCACACTGATTACTGTTACTGATTACTGTTACTGATTACTGTTACTCTGAATAATCATAATTCATTATCCTTTTTGATTTAAATTCAATGCTAACACCATGCCGCTTTTGCTCCTTTATTTCGTTCTTTTCTTTTTCTTCCATTACGTTGATTTCGTTTGCACTCGATCAATCAATCAATCAATCGAACACCAATCACCAATCAATCAACCAAACCAACCACGAATGGGATCTTCTGAACCAACAGGATCTTACATTCCAGGGCTCGGGCTACACACTGTCGCCATTGGGCGCCGGTCTTCCCGGGATTGGCGGCCTTGTGGGCGTCGGCGTTGCCGGCGGCCCCGGTGTGGTCAAGTCCAAGGAGAAGCTATCGGATGCCCTCAAGTCGTGTAACGAGATCCTGAAGGAGCTCTTTTCGAAGAAGCACTCCGGCTATGCCTGGCCCTTCTACAAGCCGGTCGATGCCGAAATGCTGGGCCTGCACGATTACCACGACATCATAAAGAAACCGATGGATCTGGGCACCGTGAAGCGGAAAATGGACAATCGCGAGTACAAGAGCGCGCCGGAATTTGCTGCCGACGTGCGATTAATATTCACCAATTGCTACAAGTACAATCCGCCAGACCACGATGTCGTTGCCATGGGCCGCAAGCTGCAGGATGTCTTTGAGATGCGCTACGCCAACATACCCGACGAACCGGTGGCCAATGCTGCCCACCATCATCACAGCAGTCACGGCCATGGGCATGGTCATGGTCACGGTCATGGTGGACACGGTCATGGCGGTCACGGGGGTCATGGTGGCTATGGTGGCTCCGCTTCAAACAAGCATGATGCCAGCGATTCGTCCAGCGAGGACTCAAGCGATACGGAAAATGAATCCAACTCGGATGAGGAGCGCAGTGCCAAGCTGAAAATGCTTGAGTCCAAGCTGCTCGGCCTCCAGGAGGAGATACGCAAGCTATCGGAAGAGGCGTCCGCCAAGAAGAAGGCCAAGAAGAAACTCAAGGAGAAGAAGAAGCACATCGGCGGTGGCTCCGGTTCCGGTTCAGCCTCACACCATGGCCATGCCTCTGGTCCAGGCGGTGCCGGCGGTCTAGGAGCCGGCACTGGCAGCGGACCCGGCCTGGTATCCGGCGTACCCGGCGCCGGTGGTGTGGGTGCCTTGGGCGCTGGTGGAGCGGCTGGCGCCAATCTATCCGCTCTGTTAAGTGGCTCCCTAGTCGGCGGTGCCGGCGGTTCATCGCTAACTGGTGGCAGCGGTCTACCCAATGTATCGGGCCTGCATAGTCAGGCGCACGATGTCATGGGCTTTGGCGGTGCCGGCGGTGTCGGTGGACCAGGCTTTGCCAACGTAGCGGCTGCTGTGGCAGCTGCGGGCGGCAAGGCGGGTACATTGGCCGGAGCCTTGGCAGCGGGTGCTGCAGCGGGCGCTGGAGGAACGTCAACCGGCGGCGGCGCCAGTAATAGTAAAGGTGCTAAGAGCAAGGGCCAACGTGGAGCAAAGGGTGGAGCAGTTAATGCTGGTGGCGTTGGTAATTCCGGAGCTGGTGGAGCGGGCGCTGCAGCGGCGGGCACGGCAACTGGGGCAGGAGCTGTGGGCGCACCAGGCGGTGGCAATGCCTCCAAGCGAGCCAAGGGTAGTAATTCGGCGGGCGCTGGCGGTGGAGCGGGTGCCGCTGCTGCCGCTGGCGGTGGTGGCAATGCCAATGCCAATGCTGGTGCCGGTGCCCGCGGCAGCAGCAAGAAAAAGCCCAGCCAGGTGATGAACTTTGACTCCGAGGAGGAGGACACGGCCAAGCCAATGTCATACGATGAGAAGCGTCAGCTGTCGCTGGACATCAACAAGCTACCAGGTGAGAATTGAAGAGAACATTTTAGAAATATTTAAGAAACTGCACTACATAATATAGTAAATATTTAATATAAATATTTAAATATATATATTTAATAAATATTTAATATAAATGTAATAAATTATATATTTAATAAAATATATTATAAATACCTATATCTATTAAATATCCCCCCTCTTTTTCCAGGCGACAAACTGGGCCGCGTTGTTCACATCATCCAAAATCGTGAGCCATCGCTGCGAGACTCCAATCCCGACGAAATCGAGATTGACTTTGAGACCCTGAAGCCGTCGACGCTGCGCGAGCTAGAAAGCTATGTGGCGTCGTGTTTGCGCAAAAAAACACGTAAGCCATATTGTAAGTTTGTAACTAAACCGAGACCACCATTAAAAAAAAAAAACAAAAAAACAAAACCAAAACAAAGCCTAAGCAAAAGCAGCAATAAACAGCAACAGCAGCAAATTCAAAAACAGCCCCTGTTCCTCCAGACCAAGCTAGAAAAAGTTCCTATTATTTCCTTTATCTCCCCCCAGAGGAATCCCAAAGCCCTACCAAACAACCAAGAAGAATCAATCTACTATATATCTGAAGAGAAATCTCCATTTTGGCTTTGCTGACTGCGCTCCAAATTTGATTTTGATTTCGAACTAAAATATAAACCGTAGTGGTCATGTTTAGTTAGTTAAACTCGAATAAAAAAAAAAAACAACAAAACAAAAAACTAAGAAAAAAAGATAATAATATATATAATAAATATGCAAAAATCCGTATATTTAAGTCTCTCTCTTGAGCTATCTGTCCTACCCAATCTTCTGTCTGTAGTTATATATATATATTAAATAATATAATATATATATTATTTAGTGCCAGTGCATGCAATTCCCTTCCCAAAATCTCCTCCCTCCAAAGTATGTAGCCTGTGAATGCTGTAGATGTGTCGCAAAACTCTCTCTCTGAGATTTCTGCGGCATTTCGCTGATATATCTTTTATATAGAGACTTGATATTTGCCGCTTTATCTTTCCTTCGTCGAGCATGAACCCAGCCTTTTTCCATCTCTCTATCAATCTATACATCTTTATATCTATACAAATATATATATGTTTTTGTTCTTTATTTTCTAATGCAGATAAAAAGCCTTCCGGCAAGTCAAAGGACGAGCAGATGGCCGAGAAAAAGCAGGAGCTGGAGAAGCGACTGCAGGATGTCACCGGCCAGCTGGGGGCAAGCAAGAAAACCGCCAAGAAAGGTATGTTAAACCTTAATATAACAGTTTATAACAGAATACAGATATGTTCTTAAAGTTGTTTCTTTTATATTAATTAATTATCTTTCATAACATTACTCTCCTCGCTCTCTGCAGACGAATCGAACAAGGTGGAGGCCATTCAGCCAGCGAATCCTGTGTCGTCGAGCTCCAGTTCCAGCGATTCATCGTCGTCAAGTTCGAGTGATAGCAGTTCGAGTGACTCGAGCGACAGTGAAGCAGGTTAGGACGCGTTTTGTTTGTTTGTTTTATTTTATAAAGTCTATTTTTTTTTAATAATAAGATACCTAGAGATAGGGCAAATACATATACATATATAAATATATACATATATATTTAGTTATGAATAAATATATATATATGTATATGTAGATATATAAGTATGTTGTTTAAGAATCAAACAACATAACTCACTAAACAAAAAGAAAAAACGGATACGGATACCGATTCCGATACAGAAACACACACACACACACGACACCTATACAACGTTTTACAACTTTTAACGGAAACAGAAACGGAAACACACCTAAAAACCTTCACTAATAAAGAAAAACAGTCGCCGCATAATCATTTTTTTAAATTCTATTATAACGTGTTAACACTGGAAGACCGTACATATTAAGGACATCATGAAGACTCTAACGAGTAGCGAGTAGAAAAGCCGTTGAATTGTGTAAAAAGAGAAAGAGAGAGAGAGAGAGAGAGAGAGAGCTAGAGCTAGAGCTAGCTAACTTTGCTGCAGATCAGTTTCAGGAGATTTTGGATTAATTCGATTGGATATAGGTTTATCTAGTTATAAATGTAGCTTAACCATACCCCCATACCCTAACCTTAATCCAATTTAGCGAGTATCTCTAGGGTTTTATCCTGCGATTGATTGTGTTTCTAAAAGTTCAGTATCAAGACCACCACGAAAATCCAACTTCATATCGAATTAGAGCGAGATGGACGTATATTGAAAGAGAGAGAGAGAGGAAGGGGTATGATGGCCAATTGTACTATTGTTAATAAACCATATACACACACACACACCCACACACGCACCCTTATTAATTTATTGAACTTAGCGCATTTTGTTTATGTTTTTGTGTGCTAAAATATATACCAACGGAAAAGATAAATTTCCAGCAAAGGAATATATGCGATATTATGTTTACACCCGTCTGATTCGGCAATAGAAATGACCAACTCTGGTGAATATTACTTTTTATCTAATTTTTTTTTTTTTTTTTTTTTTGTATTTGTTTAGAATTTTCAAGAACCAAGTTCATGACAAAGTGCAATATGCATTTACTCTAAGAAAACAAATGCAGCGAAAGAGTGAAAGATTTATAGAATTTCGAATCATGAGAGAAATCGGGACAATTATGGTAAAATATATTCAGAAGAGATTGTAGAAAAAATTCAATAAATAAAAGATTGTGAAGATTGTTCAACAAATTTGCAGAAAGATGAATCTATATAGTTTGGAGAGATCCAGAGTTGGTGGTAAAGGCAGGATCAGGCGGGTGTAGAGACTAAAGGAGCGACCATATATAAAGAACACCCATAGTACCCATAAAACCCCCCTCATTAAACACCGTTTTTACTGACGACGACGACATAGACGAGACAACATGAACATGAACATGAACACACATCGGCAAAACTTTATATAATCGATTTATATATATATAAATTTTAGGTATAGTATATACTTAATTATATATACACAAACACACATATATATATATATATATATATATATATATATATCATATATCTATAGACATATACATATACATTATGTATATATATATGGCGTATATAGATATTGTATTTAAGCATTTGTAGGTATTAAACAAATTGTATTTGTAAATGAAAAACTATCTAAAAATTAGAATAATAAGAGAACACACAACTCTTTACTAATTTTAAGTCATTTTTGAAAAAAAAAGAAAGAAAAACAAATCTTGAAAAAAAAAGAACAAGCAAAAACCAGCTTATTATTACCAATAATATGATTATTATTATTATTATTATTATGATTATGATTATTATGAGAATATGCTGAAAAAAATCGTGAAGCAATTGTGTATTGGGGGCAGCCAATCTGAAAAAGAAAGTAATGAATATATATTCCAACTCCAACCAACCAACCAATCAATCAATCTATCAACCAATCAATCAATCAATCAACCAACCAACCAAACCAAAACCAACCAATCAAGTCAATCAATCAATCGATCAACCAAAACTCTCCATCAAATCAAATCAATAACAAACAGAGCAACAATTGCATGATTGACAAAACAAAAATGATCAACGAATAAATCGATTATAAAAAATCTATCATTCACGCCCACACACAAACAAACACACACACGTCCACACATCATGATATATAAACCCCATAACCATAAAAAAAGAAAGCAAATGAATAGAGGCAGCTCAGGATCATGTTTATGATCACGTTCACACGTACTCCTCACCTCATCTCAAGGCAACTAGTCCCCTCCTAATCTATATCATCCATGCACTGCCCGGTGGAATCAGTTCTTAAAACAAACCCCCCTCTAGGTTACCTTCTGTGCCAATTCCATAATGTTTCTAGTCCAATCTCCCGATGTTTCCCTCACACAAACATCTTCTATCGGTCTTCATAACTTGATTTTTTTTTGTAATATTTTTGAAACCCACACACTCACACAACCACAAAAAATAACCTCAAAGAACTATGTGTAAAATATAATAATAATAATGAAAATGAAACAATGAATAATAACCCCCAAAAATAATAATATGAAAAACTGATTGAACCAAAAATGCAAGCAAAATTACCACATATATATATGTATATATATATTTATATATATTTATATGTATCTATATATATCTATATATGTATATATGTCTAAAGAGTATATAGAAAAAGCCAATATGCAAAATATATATTTGAAAATTCTCGATACACTTGCAGACAATGTGTAAAAACCAAGAAAGTATGAAAAGCTTCAAAAAACAAAAAAACGAAATCGAAATCGAAAAAGAAAAGAAATGAGAGAAAAATAAGAAAGAAATCAAACAAACACCAAAACCACAAAAGCGTAACTAAACAAAAAACTACGTAAGGATCGAATACGTAAGGAGAAAGAGAGAGTAAACGTAAGGAGAGAGAGAGAGAGAGAGAGAGAGAGAGAGAGAGAGAGTAAACGTAAGGAGAAAAAAGTAAACGTAATGGGGGATAGAGAGAACAAGTAAAGTGTGGCAATGAATGAAGATACAAGACAGAGAGAGACCAAAAAGGAGAGAGAGAGAGAGAACAGTCAGGGGGATAGAACATTTAAAAAACACCCATATTAAGACTTAAAATGACTCCGTTATTTATTGTTTAGACCGTTTGTTACATAACCTAAACCCATCCCGCGTTTCCTGCTGGCACAAAATGGAACTGGAACACACGACAACTAGCTCAATTCGTGAACTCTAGTTCGCCTCCGTTATCCTTCTTATCCTTCTCACACACTCATATATATATGAGTATATATACATATATATATATATATCGCTTATAATCGTTGTTGTCATTTAATTTATGTGTAAAAACAAAGAAATATGAAAGAAATGCTTCCAAGTAACTTCCATCAACTTGATATCCTTCCTCCGATTAGCTAAGGGAAAAGGTTAGATGTGCTAATAAGAATGTATAGAAGGGAAAATGGGAACAGTCGAAATCCATATAGAGTAATAGAAATAATCAGGATTCCATCCCTTTTCAAATCTCTTTCTCTCCCACTTCCTATGTGTGGCTCGAACTCTCTCTCCCACACTCTGTCGCTCTTTCCTTCTGTCGCACTTGTCCTTGTTTTCGTCTCTGTCTGTTAGTAGTCACGTTATAATAACGGTAAACGAGAGAAGCGTAACGGAACGTAACGACAGGAAGAGCTCTCTCCAAGCGTACGTAATACGTAGAGTTCTTTTGGCCTATATCCAAACTCCAACTAGTTCTACATACAAAGCTATATAGTAGGGTGTACATATTTACATAGATGTATCCAGCAGCTAAACATTGATCAAAATCAGAGAGAGGTATAAAAAAAAAAAAAAAAAAAACTAAAAAGAAAAAATAGAAAACAAATAATTAAATGTAATTTGAAAGCATTTTATTATTTATTTTTCGGCTGTCGGCTTTCCCCTTTACACATTGTTTGCACGTTTTTTTCAAAATATAATAAAAAAAAGAAAAGAAAAAATATATTATATATATACAAAAATATACAAAAAAAAAAAAAAAAAAAAACAAGAAATGCATAGAAGAGGAGGAGGATTGATTAATGATAAACGATGATAATGCAATGGAAATAAATAAGAAATGAATGCATAAAATCAATTTAAATATAAATTTGTACTATTTAATTAAATCAAATGAAAACGCAAGGAGGAAAAATGGAAGCGAACGAGAAACCAACAAGAGCAACAAACTGATAATAAACGACGACAAACAAGAGAAACAGCCACACACAATGTAATCAATATTACTTTAAAAAAATCAAGTTGAAGATAAATCTGAGAAAGAGAGCAAGTAGAGAAAGCAAGCAGTGTCAGAAGAAGTTTGAGAACAGGCAGAAGAATTCGAGCAATTCTACATTTAGGTTTTACTTGAGACCACTTGCGCGTTTTCTTTACTTTTGTTTCTTTTCAATTTTTTATTTATCGACCGATTAGCTCTTGTATATTTTCCTTGCTTCAGTCAAGTCACCCTTCGGTTAAAATTCCAATTCCAACTCGAAGTCTATATCGAAAACCCCTTCTCCCCCATTGCATTGTGAGATTGTTTTGTTGTAAGCTTAATACTTGTGTTTATTTTTTTTGTTTAGCTTTTAGTTAAGGACTAGCGAAGAAAATGGCAGTAAACACGCTCAAAAAATAAAAAACGAGTCTTGTAAGAACAATTTCGTAAGGAACGTTGTGAAAAAAAAAACAAAAAAAAGAAAGAAGAAAAAAAAAACATTAAAATCAAAACAAAAAAATAAAACAAACAGTGCATTTTTGGTTTCAATTTCAGTATATATATTTATATATATATATAAGATAAAGGAAAAGTATGGGGGGAGGCAAGCCGATACATAATAAAATATAAAATAAAATAAACGCAGAGATAAATAGTAAAAATCTTAGGGAAAGCAAGAAGAAAGGGAGACACACATAGACGAGACATAACAGGAACACAACAAACACAAACACACATTTAGCATTATAAAAAACTTACATAAACAAGCATACATTTAAATATTTATAGTAAAATAAAAAACACAAACAATAATAATATTTATTATTACAAAATGGCAACAACAAACAACAACTAAAAACTAAACTAAAAAAAACGCAATGAATACAACAACAAACAAACAAAAAAGAAGAAAAAAAAAAACACGAAAAATGAGAAGAAAAATGAAAAGAAAATGTTTATTAAAAAAGTAAAAAAAAAAAAAACAACGTGTGTTTCCTCATTATCCCCGCCCCACCCCAAAACTACCCATTTCTATTCACAGGAAGAAAAAAATATTTAACTGAATTAAAAACATATAATTAAGTGAAAAAACCGATAAAAAATCGATTGGAGCTTGGTTTGGTTGCAATTCCATTTTCCCGATTATATCGATATCGATTATACATTTTGGCGCCTTTTCTGCTGGTGTGGAGTGAGACAGGACGAGCTTTTCGGGGGTCTTGCTGTTCTTTTTTTCCCCCCTTCTGCAGAAAGCACAGATACAGATAAATATAGAGATACAGAGAAAGAGAGGGAGAGAAAGAAGAGAGTGTGTGGGCGAAAAAGGCAGATAGGAAGAGAAGAGCTCCGATAACCCGATAACCGATATCCCGTCACCAACCCATCACGAAACACAATTGCTTCATCGAAACTCGGCATTGTAAGAGGTATTTTAAAGACACCTATAATCTAAAATCTATAAACATATCTGTAGATCATGTGCTGTTTGTATGCTATATATGTACATACATATATAATCTCTATACCAGCACCAGGATGAATCCCACTATATGAATTAATTAAGAAAATGTTCAGGTTTAGGGATCAAATATGACAATTTCATCCTGAAACCTTGTAAGTCTTCTAGAAAACTGTTTTCAAATAATTTATAATAGTTTAAAATGCAATTTGTATTTAATATTTATAAAAGAACTAAAACTTATTATCATATAGGATTCATCCTGGCGCCTTAGCTCCTTTAGCTTTTCCTGCTTTCCATGATCTCCTTTGCTCCTTTGACATTTGTGCTTATTTGTGTATTCTTCTGCCTTTTTCCTGAAACAGGTGACGGTGATGAGCGACCGCCGCGCAAAAAAAAGTCCCGAGACTCGAATGGCAGCAATGTAAGTAACAAGGACTATATAATAATGATATATATGGGACATATATATAATAAAAAATTAAATAATTGGGGAGGACCGCAGACAGACAGGCAGAAAAAGCACCAATGGAATTTTTGGCAATGGAATATGGATTACAATTTTGTTAATGTTACAGAACCTTTAATTTTTAATGATTTTTTTTTCTTATTACATTAAAAATTTGAGAGAAAATTTAACTCTTTGTTGATTCCTTTCCAAGCTTTGCCTGCAATGTACAAGCAAACAGACTTATTAAGTTCCACTCTCTGGAAGAGCCTTTCTCCTTTTTCTCTCTTGTATTTAAGCTTTGGCTTAAGCTTTGTTTATCGAAAGAAAAAGTCCGTTAAATAGATTTTTTCGTTTTTTATTTTTTTAATCAATCTTTAATATATATATTTCCATTGCCAAATCCAAAGAGAAGAACTAAAAACCAGAATATAAACACACTGTAACTGAGTTTGAATGTTGTAATAACAACTTGAGTCTTGAATGTAACATTTATTCATTACCTAATTCTCTTTCCCTTCGTTGTTCCCTTTTGTTTTGTGTTATCCTTTTGCCGGGATATATCAGGTAAATAATCCTAGTTTGACCACAGTCCTGGGCGGCGCCGGAGGAGGAGCAGCAGGAGGCGGCAGCGTTCCAAGCGGCGGTCTCACGCCAATTTCGTTGATGAACCTGGAGCATGTCCTGAACGCCAATACACCCACATCACACACGTGTAAGTAATGTCCTTGAATCATTTCCTTTGCCGGATTAATCCTTTATTCAAGTTTGTAACTAACTGAGTACCTTCTTCCTCCTTGCTCTCCCCTTCCTCCTTCCCCTTGTCTACAGCCTACATGTTTGGCAATGCCAATCCGCTGACGGCGGCCGCCATGCTCAACAATAACAATAAGACGACGCTGCCCGGCAGCAATTTCAGTGGCGGCGGCGGCGGCAACATGCTGCACGGTGCTGGGCCAGTGCCTGTTGGTCCTGGCTCGGCTGGTGCTGCTGCAGCAGCAAAGAACGGTGCAACCAACGAAGATCTGGGCAAGGTGCCGCCAGTTTCCGTTTCCGTTAATCTGGGCACGCAGCAGCATGGCTATCCCGGCAGCAGTGCTGGAGGCGGAGGTGTCCAGGCTGCCGGTGGCGGTGGCATACGGATAGCTAGCAATCTGCACAAGCCACCCGGCGGCATTGGCGGTGATCTGGGCGAGCATCATACGGCACTGGCGGCTGCTTTGTTGTCCAGCAACCAGAACAATGGGGCTCAGAACACAAACACCAGTCATCCAGTGGGCGTCCATGGGGATGTGATGGCCAATGCCTCGTTGTCTGCGGGTCTCAAGCAGATACCACAGTTCGATGATCCCGTGGAGCAGTCACTGGCCTCGCTGGAGTTCAGTGCCGGCTCCACGGGTAAGTCGTCAGGGTTACCGCTAACGGATAACTTTTTGATGCAGCCGGATGGGGCTCAGCAGCAGCAGCAACAACAACAGCAGCAGCAGCAACAGGCTTTTGCCCACTTGGACTATGTGAATGAGCTACTGATCAAGGGATCAACGGATGCTGTCAGCGGCATGAATGGCAATCATCCGCTGAACTTTGTGCTGGACATGGCGGCGGCAACGGCAAACCTGCAGAAGCATCCCCAGCAGCAGCAGCAACAGCAGCAGCAGCAGCAGGCGCACAATAACGGTTTCAATGTGGCCGACTTTGGCATGCCTGGTTTTGATAGTCTCAACATGACGGCCTCAGCATTCCTAGATCTAGAGCACACGCTGCAGCAGCAGCATCAACAGCAACACCAGCAGCAGCAACAACATCAACAGCAGCAGCAGCAACACCACCAGCAACAACACCAGCAACAACACCACCAGCAGCAGCATCAGCAGCTTACGCAACAGCAACTGCAGCAGCAGCAACAACAGCAGCAACATCTCCAGCAGCAGCAGCAACATCTCCAGCAACAGCAACAGCAGGCCACCAACAAAATGCTGATCATACCCAAGCCCATAGAGTCGATGATGCCCAGTCCGCCGGACAAGCAGCAACAGCAGCAGCAGCAGCAACAGCATCTCCAGCAACAGCAACATCTCCAACAGCAGCAGCAACAACACCAAAAGGGCATGCTCCCGCAACAGTCGCAACTGGACATGATGCTGGCCGCGGCGGCCAATTTCCAGGGCAAGCAGGTGCAGGCCTTCAAGGCCGCGGAACAGAACCTTAAGAATGCCAGCTCTTGGTCCTCTCTGGCCTCGGCCAGCTCTCCCTCGTCGCACACATCAAGCAGCTCGAGCAGCAGCAAGCCCAAGCCGGCCATGGACTCGTTCCAGCAGTTCCGCAACAAAGCCAAAGAACGCGATCGCCTCAAGCTGCTGGAGGCGGCCGAGAAGGAGAAGAAGCATCAAAAGGAGGCTGCCGAAAAGGAGCAGCAGCAGCAGCAACGCAAGCATCACAAGTCCTCCTCATCTTCGTCCTCCTCCTCCTCATCAGCAGCAGCCGCAGCAGCTGCTGCAGCATCGCAAGCAGCCGCAGCAGCGGCGGCAGCGGCAGCAGCAGCATCAGCAGTAACCGCCTCTTCGGCTGCCGCCACGCAGGCAGCGGCTGTGGCTGTTTCGGCGGCTCCACCCACCTCATCCTCAGTGGCCTCCAGTGCCTCGAATGCCTCCGGAGGCAGCAGTAGTGGGGGAGGAGCAGGCGGTGGCCAGGCCAGCGGAGAACGTGAGCGGGAGAGGGGTGAACGTGAGCGGGAAAGGGACAGAGACCGTGAGCGTTCCGGCAGCGGTCAATCTGGAAATGGCAACAATAGCAACAACTCGGCGAATAGCAATGGACCCGGCAGCGCGGGCAGCGGGGGCAGTGGCGGTGGCACCGGCGGCAACAGTGGTCCTACCAGCACAGGTGGACCCAACAGCGGCGGCGGCGGCGGCGGTGGCGGTGGTGGCAATCCTAACAGCAATAGTAATGCTGCTGCCGCCCTGCTTAATGCCGGCAGTAACAGCAACAGTGGCGTTGGCAGCGGCGGTGCCGCAAGCAGTAACAGCAACAGCAGCGTAGGAGCCATGGTAGGCAGCGGCGGACCAGGATCTAATAGCCAGGGTAGCAGCGGTGGCGCTGGAGGAGGCACTGGCACTGTCGGCGGCAGTAATGTCATGGGAGGCGGCGCCCTGGACTATGGCCAGCAGGTGTCTGCAGCTACTCAGATGGCGCAGCATGTGGCCGCCAGTGTCGCTGCCCAGGTCATAATGGCCGCCTCGCCCCTGGGCGCCATGGAAAGCGGAAGGTAAGTGAGAGGCGAAGCAAAAAACTATAGAATTTTAAAATTTAAAATTGAAAAAATTTCTTCTAATTAAAGGAAAAGTGTTCATGATGCACAGCCACAGATATCGCGGGTGGAAGACATTAAGGCATCGCCGGGCGGCCAGGGCCAGAGTTCGCCGGCACAGCAATCGCCGCAGGATCGGGCGGCCGCCAAGCGCGCCGAACAGCGGCGGGCCGAGCAGGAGCGGCGCAGGCGCGAAGCGGTAAGTCACACCCTTAGAGTTACTCTCTGAACTCCAAAAACTCCAAACTTACAAAATTCTAAACTCTTCAAAATCGAAAATCTTTCAAATCTAAACTTTCGAAACTCTAAAATCTTTAAACGCTAACCTCTCCAAACTCTTAACTCTCTAAATTATAATTTCTCCAATCTCCAAACCTCAAAAGCTAAACTCCGAACTCTCCAAAATCTAAACTTCCATATAGAAACTCACCAAAATTTCAAACTCTCCAAACTGTATACTCCCCAAACTCAACCTTGCAAGCTTTTAACTCTCCAAAATCTCAAAAAAATTGTATTTCTCCAAAACCTAAACTCTCCAAACTCTCTTGTCTTGCAGTTGGCTGGCCAAATCGATATGAACATGCAGAGCGATCTCATGGCTGCCTTTGAAGAGACGCTGTAGGCCAAGGCCAGCAAAGGCAACGGCGGCAACACCTTCTCAACCAGCAGCAGCAGCAGCGCCTCCATAGAGACCACAAAGCGGCGAGGGCCAAGGCGACAGCAACGGACAACGTTGGACAACAGCAACAAAAAGAGGAGCTAGGACAGAAGCAGCCTCCCAAATAAAAACAAAAGAAAAACAAAAGCATCTATTTAAGAAGCATGGTTTTAAGGCGTAACTAAGCATACGTATATTTAGTGAGTATCTCTAATATATGCATAAAACATATACGAAAGGAGAGAGAGCGGAGAGAGAGGAGAGAGAGGCAGAGCAGCAGCCAAGGAGAGAGCGGCCAGAGAGCAGCAGCGGCGGCGGCAGCAGCAGCAGCAGCAGCAAATTTCCTTTTTGAAACACACACACACACACATTTTTTTAACTTACGATTATTATGATTGTGTATTTACCAACTATTAAGCGGATAATAACGATTAATGATTAAATATTAAGAACGAGGATGGTACGAGTACGATTATGTTTATGATGGACATTGCTTGTGGTTCAAAAAAAAAAAAAAAAAAACAAAAACAAAAAAGCAAAAAACAAAAGCTTATTATGTTTAATATTATTAATTCACGTGTATAGGCAAGTTTAGTTGGTAAGATTTTTTCCCCCTTCATTGTATAAACACACCTATGCTTAGAGTTGTTAACTAATTTAAAAACTATACAAAAAACCACAAACAAAACGAAAATTTACAAAATAGAAGAATCCCAAAACAGAAGCGAGAAATCAATATATATATTCTTCTTTTTTTTTTTTGTAAAACTTGCAATTTTAAATCATTGTTTTTTTTTTTTTTTTTTACCCAAACACAACAGTTGTAATTTATAATTTATATCTCACAGACACACACACACGCATGACTAGGATGAGATAGAGAGAGCATGGTTAAAGGAGAGGCTTCGGTAGGAAGCCGAGCTGGATGGATATATATAAAGGCAACAAATGTAGTTCTTAAGTAGAAACGAAATTTTTTGTATGTAACGACGATGCAGTCCCGTAAAAATTATAAAATAAATATAAATTTCAAAACAAAAACTAATTTAAAAAAGAAGAAAAAACCAAACAAGAAACGGAACAAGAAAATAGAAAAGATGTAATAAAAACGGAAGATAACAAACAAACAAAAAAAACAGCAAATAATTTATAATTTCTTTATCCTGAGAGAACCTTTCTCCCAACAACAACAACAACAAATTGCAGTGACAATTCATTCAGTAAGCTATATAATGTGGGAGCCTCCCAGTCCCCCAGTCCCCCAGTCCAGTCTGTCTGTTGCATTGTCTTCCAAAGTCTCAGCCTCACTTTCCATTCCATCTATCCAGCCTCCCAAGTGTGTGTCCTCTGTGTGTGTAAATATAGCTCCATTTGAGGGGAAGGAGTAGTGGGAATTATGCTAGCAACTATCTATGTGAAAGCTAACGACAGGATTCCAATTAATTCTTGTATATAGTAAAGTCTTCCCCTATATATTCTCCCCCTCAGTTGTTATATTGTCGCTGGCAAGGTTCATTTCGTTTTGTGTAAATTAGAGAGAAGAGAGAGAGAGCGTGTGAGGAGAGTAGGAAGGAATTATATATTATAACAAAATAAACCCTAAATATATATAGTATATAAACAGAAGAAGCATACATCAGAAAATACCACATATATATATATATATATATATATATATATATATATATACAAGAAAGAGATACCTTTTTTTTTCTATACTTAATTTTAGCATTTAATTCAGTGAGAGAGAAATGTACGAAAGCGAAATAAAACTTGAGAAAAACTAAATACAAAATACATTAAAAAAAACGATTTAAAAACAAACAAAAAACAAATGAAGTTTTTAATTAAAGAAAACCTAACACAACATTAAATAGAAATATAATATAATATAATATAATAAATATTATATTTTAACGAGCCAGTTCGAGTCCAATTTTTGATCAAAAGTGCCCAAAATCTCGAGCAAAGGATGCGTTTTTCTTTGGCATTAATTAGCAATTAATTGTTGTACTTTTGTTGTACCTATAAAAATAAAAAACAAAACAATGTGTCCCTTTGGGCGTTATGACACAAGTCTGTCACAGTGTCATAAAACCCTTAGGTGTTATGACAGCATGTAACATATAGCAAACAAAAAAAAAACAACTAAAAAAAGCACTTTTTCTATATAAAAAAAATATTAAAAAAAAGTAAACGATCCTTAGCCTTAAGCGCCTACCGCTAATAATAAACAAATAATAATTAATAATTAGTGATTATTAATTATTATTAATTGCAGCCGAGCAGGAGCTGGCGGGACAAACATTTTTGGGATCGCCTAACATTTACACATGACTCTAGCTGTAACTCTCTCCCCCCCCTTCGTAGCGTTCTTAGCCTACAGATACAAATATATAAATATATATACACACATATATATATATATAATAAAAGAACACACTTTTTAGTAAGCCCATAATTAATAATAAAAGGAGGAGGAAGGTGCAGTTATGTAACAGCAAGCAAAAGAGAAAATGGAAAAGCATTGAAAACATTGATAACAAAACATATTTTACCTTTAATGCGTACACATACACAACACACACACACACACACACACACACACACACACACACACACACACACACACACACACACACACACACACACACACACACACACACACACACACACACACACACACACACAGATTTAGTATTAATGAAACAAACAAAAAATTGAATATAAAAACTAAAAAAAAACTCAAGAAAACTGAAAACAACAAAAAACAAGTAAAGAAAAACAAAGAAAATCGGAAAAAAAACAAAAAAATAAACAAAAGTTCATAAAAAATATTTCAGTATTGCGTTTTACTTTTTAGAAATTAAGAGTTAACAAATTTCTTTTTTAATTCTCTAAAAACAATTTAGGTAAGGTTTTTTTTTTCAAAAAAACAAAAACCCATCAATTAATTATCTCCTGTTCTAATTAAATCATATAAAATATTTATTATAATAATTATATATTTTAAATTATATAAATGAAATATAAAATTATTATATATTTATATAATTTAATTGGAACAGGAGATGAACAATTGATGTTTGTTTTTTTCTTTTTAACTAAAACTTAACTATAAACTTAATTAATATATATGTATATATATACATTTTATATAATTTTATTTATATATATATGTATACATATATGTATGTATATCCATGAAATTTCGTGAAAAATGTAAAAATATACCCCTTACAGGGTATTATTATTTTAGTTTGAAGCTTGAAACACATTGAAGGAGTCTTGATCAGCATCAACAGCTGAATCGTTTTAGCCATGTTTGAAGAAAAAAAAATTTTTGAAATTTTTTTTTTAAATTTAACAAGGTGTTATACATCATTAAATTTCCCGAAAATTGGTAAAAATTTTTATTTTGTTTTAATATTAAATTTAGTATGCATATTTGTTAACATATTAAAAACTAACACAAAACTGTCTTCCAAATTGAATTTAATGCATTTTTGGCTGAGTTATGATCGATCTTCGTGCTAGGCTATAGATACTTACTTTTTGAATTAATTAAAATATTTATTCGCTACTTATCTATATAAATATTCACAATAAATATATAAATAAGGCCGCTCCTGTGATGCTCAAGTGGTCTTTATCTTGGTCGTCGACTCCTGGGTGGTGGTACTTGCTCCAAGGGTAACCGCCTCAAGGTCTGCCACTGTGCTTTGCTTCTCCATCGACGCTTGGGTGCTTGGCAGCAAGGGCTCCACAGTGGTGGCCATGGGTTCCACCATGATCAGCACCCGACGTTTGGTGGTGGTCATCAGTGGTTTCGGTGTGGTGGTAGTAGTAGTCGTGGTGCTTTTAATACTTGGTGAAAGAGTGGTTCCCAGAGTGATTCCCCACGTGGTGGTGCTACTGCTCCTGCTGGTGGTATACGCCTCTGTGACCCGACCCACTCCCGGCAGGTAGAGCGACAGCGAGGAGTCCGTGATCTCACCATAATCCTGACCCACATCGGGTATGTTGTACACATTGTAGGCATCGACAGCCCGGGAAACGGAGACCATGGGATTAGCCAGACCTCTTAGTTGCTGGAACTGCATGGGCGAGGGACTGGTGCTGGTCAACCTAGTGGGCATCGACCTGGGAGTTGTGGTAATCCTGGGTGGCCTGCCAAGCAAACGCCTATTGTTGTTGATCAGTCTTGGTGATGTGGTGATGGCAGTGTGACGAGGAGCTGGAGGAGGAGGAGGAGTAGGAGGAGTAGGAGTAGGAGGAGTGCCCATCAGGTAGTAGACCTTCCTGGGCTGACTGCTTAGCTTCGAGGAGGATTTCAAGGACTTTTTCTTGCTCCTACGCTGCTTCTTTTTACGCAGACTTTTGGTGGGCGGATGGCAGGGACCCTGGTGAAGGATTCGCAGGACTAGAAGGGAGAAGGATTAGGATTAATAATATAAATAAATTAAATTTTAATTAAATTTGTAAACAAACCCTGCTTTGTGTGACACTCGCTTTGACGCATCTCGCACTCATTGGCAAAGGTCTGCGGCACTGCACCCCCGATCTCGGCCAGCGCACAAACTGGCCGCTCTACTGGAGTACACTTCATGGTCTGGCAGCTGGGCAGGCAGCGCTCCATCTCCGTGGGCTCCAGTTCTGCAAAAAGAGAGAAAGATCAGATAAAGCTTCTCGGAGAGAGACTCCCCCTCCTTCTCCTCCTGACTCACCTGTGCCATACTGAAACAACATCTTCATGTTGTGCGCCTCCAGACGACAATCGTTCTCGAAATAGAAGCTATCAGTGCCATTGGTGGCACAGACGGCCACTCCCCCAGCCTGACACTGCGGCTGATAGTCCACATACTGAATCTGCAGGTGTTCCGGATTCAGATTAATACCCACATTCATCTTATCCTTGTCATCGGGATCATGTCCCAGGCCAGATTCGCCCAGGATCTTGGCATACTGATTGCTGGTGTAGTGCGGATCACTGAAACGCCAATTGGCCAGCGGCGAGGACTTGCTGATAGCCGCTTCTCCTGCTCCCAGCCAGAGGATCAAAAGCAGTGGTAGGAGAATGATGATGACTCTTGACTGCATCTTGGTGGGTTTGTGCTGGCCTCCATGGTGGTATTCCATGTCTTTATAGTGGCTCAGAGTGAGAAGTGTTTGTGTCTTATCGCTGGCACTCGCTGGCTGCATTTTTCCACCTACATCGCAGCCACTATCTTCCACTGAGAAAGCATAAATAATAAATAATAAATAAATGTATAGAAAGCAACGATAAGTTACAGGTGTGTGGGGGCTTCATGGCGCTCACCTTGCGTTGACCATTCATTGATTCTTTTTCTTGTATCCACGAGTCGCTGGGCTTATCTCACAGATACTACTGGTGTAAAAAACACCTGTAAAAGATAGGCTTTTGGGCAAAAAAATATCTGGCGAGATTAGTACCTCATATAAATATTTTCCTAGATTTTAGAAAATTCGCCATAAAACTAGAAATTATCTAGAAATTATGTAAAATAAAGAAACAAAATATTTTAAGACAAGGCACGCCAGAATCAAGGTAAGAAACCGTAATTATTATTTCTTAAGGTTAATTTTTTGAATTTATTTAGGAAATTACTACACTACTTACTAATTAAGAAAAAAAAATTAGGCCAAGACACGTTAAAACCAAAGCAAATATTAATAAATATATTTTTTTAGAGTCTTTTTTTTTATTTTTTAAATTTAGGGCGATTACTTAAAGATCCTTTCTTAATTGTAGGGCGAATTGACCTTTTTTTGTTGTTAAAATTTTCATAAAAATCTTGGCGAATTCGCTCTAAATTTTTTTTGCCAAAAATCTTACACGTGTGCACTTATATGTAATTCCCAACTGGTTTTAACATCTCCAGTATGAAGTGACGGCCGCCGGCCGGCATGGATAAGTGTTTGTGCATATGTATGTGTGCTATATATATATATGCTATATATGTGTTATATATATTTTTTATAGTTCAAAAAATTAAAAGAAAATCTTTCTAATTAGTGCTGTTTTTAAATTTAACGCTTTTCGTTGTGGATAATCTGGCAGCACTGGTGGAAAATCGATAGCTGGCGCTGCCATGAGGGTCTCGGCGTTTTAGTGTGCCCAGAAGCCGCGAAAGCGTAGATTTTACAGGAAGGTTTTTTTTTAGGGGTAAAGCCAAATTCGTTATCTGGCAACACTGTATCCAAACATCTGAATGTCGCTAACGCCGTGAACTAATTGTTATTTTTTTTCTACGAGCCAATCAGTAATATTAAGTAGTGCAGCGCGAATGTATTTCTCCGTTATCCCCTAACGCAATCGAGGATATAGCGCCGTGGATCAAAGGAAACAAAGTTGATTTGTTTATTTCTGCAAGGGCTCGGACGGCGGCAGGGCTGTGTGTGTCTGTGTGCTGTGTGTGTGCGTGCGCTTCATTCATTTTTATATCTCGAAGTGCCCGCTCCGAATTAAACAAAATATACACACGGGTCTCCAAACAATAGCAGTGGCGGCGAATCCGAATCCCCCCCTCTTCCGCCGGCGATAATAAATAACATTAAGAGAGAAAGCAAGAAGAACGTACATACGATATATTTTCTGGCTTGTTAAATGCAAAAAAAAAAAAACACTACCGATACAGCGAAGTAAAAATCAATAATTAGAGCTCGTTCCCAAAGCAAAAGCAAACGCAAAAAAAGGTATGCAGTAGCAAAAAGAACAAAACCATTGGCACAACCAAAAACCAACACACACACACACTCACACTAGAGTATGCATGTGTGTGCACATACATACGAAGCCAAAGTGTATCTATGTATTTTATCTTTGTATTTTGGGCATTAATGCAAATAAAAGGGCGAACGAGATGCAAATACGCGGGACAAACAGCAGGAGGATGAGGAGCAGTTGATAAATATTGCGATAATTCGAAAGAATAACTTGACATGCGACGGACATACTCTCTTTATTTACATTACATGACATCCCTCGCATGTAAACTAATGCTGACCACTAAGGAAAAGCTGGGGGGAGTGGACCATTCGAAAATCCCACCTTTTGGTGCAGTTTTCCGGCCCCCTGCCTGTGTATATGTGTGTGTGTGTGTGTGTGGAAAAGTGCGACGTAACCCATTACGAGGTACCGTCCCCCGTACCACACACATGGAAGAGGAAAAGGTTTTCCTTCACTTTGCATCGCCTGCATTGCAGTGAGTGGTGCTTTTCCGATTCGCTTTCTTGGCCAGCATACGCATGCATACTCTCTCTCTCTCTCACTCTTCTCTGCTCTGGCTTTGTAACCCACTCAATAGGGTCGTACCCAGAGCACACATACACATACCTACATACGTACATATGTATCTTTGTCGAAAATGTGCAATTGCGGTAAATAAAAAACAAAAAGGTGACACCGAGTCTGATTTTACATTTTGCCAAAAGGCGTGAATTTTGACAATTTACATATGTATGTATGTACATACATACATACGTGTATGTAATGTCTAATTACCTAATTGTGCTGACAAAGTATTTGGCTAACTATAGCTATAGTATATGCTATAGGCCATAATACCCGAGAGTGAGTGTACGAAAATCGATTAAATCATGTAACTAAAAACATGCAAGACAACATACAATACATACATGTGTATTTTTTGTGTGGGAACATACAACAATGTTTGTTGTTAAAAAAAACACAAAATAATAAATGTAACACGATTCCGGCTAGTCGGAGTGATGCCAAATTGAAAAGTCAAGGCAGCTTTATCGAAACTATACATTTTGCGTGTAAAATAAACGTTTTTGTTTTGGTTTTCCCGTTTTGACTTGTGTAAAATCTAATTATTACATGAAATGAAAATATGCTCTTGACTTATGCATACTTGTAAGCTATAGTTAGCGTTTCTTTAATCAAACAATTCTAGACAAGAATATTTTCGCAGTTAGGCTTTCCCCTCTTCAAACCAGAAATTGTCTCGTATATTGTATATTGTATATTTAATTGATTAATAACTAGTAATTAGCATTTATTTTGTTCTTGAAACTGCTTAAGTTTGATATATATATATATATTTTTTTTTTAATTTTAAATCGGAGTTTTGGAGTTTACAATTAATAAAATAAATTGGTGTTATCTCATCGACATAATTTAAAATCACAATCAAAAATTAGCACAACAGATTTGAGCAAAAGACATTATATAAAGTACATAAAAGTGAAATTCGTATCCAAAGTCATGTTAAACAGCGCAAATAACAATTCTCTCCAGCATGTAAGTAGACGAAAAACGTCATTAAATAGTCAATTTTTCCTTGCCTTGTTTATATATTTTTGCATGTGCATTTTTGTGAATTTTCTGCATTTTTGCATATTTGAATTTTCTATCTTCTATCGCATCATATAAGCGCACTGCATGTCTCCTCTCCAGTCAAGCTTGGGTTAAGGTTTGATTTATTAAAAAAATCATGTTGCTTTCTTAATTGTTTATGTACTATAATTAAGTCTGTACATTGATCAGGGGTGTCTAAGCTAAGGAGTTTTCTTATTTTAATAAAGCAAAATCAAGTTCAGTAAAACTGAAACTGAAATATTTAAGAATTATTAAGATATTCATTTATTTTACATACATTTTTTATAAAACCAGACTTGTATAGATTGATTTTATAGACCATATAACACCTCAGGACCTGTATTTTATATTATGTTTGTGAAAGAACTAAATGTTGTTCCTTATTCTTAAACTTTTACAAGTCTATTTTTTATGATTTTTTTCAAATCCTGCAATTATTCTGGCTTATGCGTAGACTAAATAGAAATTAATGAATTCAGTATTATAATCATTAGATTATTCTAATTAATAACCATGCATTTTCTAGTTTGTATTAATGCACAAATACTGATCTTGATTATATTAAACTTTTCGAATTTGTGCCCTCAAATGTCCGTCCGACACGAATGACACTCGAAACACAGGTGTGTTGTTATATAAAAATATGTTGCAATGAATTCAAAATGCCAAAAAAAAAAAAAGTAAGACAAAAACAAAACAATTTTAAGAGGAAGTCTCGAGCCTAACAAGTTTTGATTTGCTTTAAAGAAAAAATCGATTTTACAATCGTTTACAAATCGATTCACATTGATAATGCTAGCACATGCATTTCCTGAATTTTTAAATATATAAAAAATTATTCCCATTCACATTTAACTTTAGTCTCAATGTTGGCATGCCTAAATTTTAATTTTAATATTTTTGCTTGTAAATAAGTTACAAATATTCTTAAGTTGTTCACACGGGGTTTTTTTTTTTTTTTAGGAAACTAATATCTTGGTATGGCAAGAGCCTCACATATACCAAAGCTCATTCCATTTGAAATAAAGTTGGGACCAAAAATATATTTTCTTCAGATAGAGATATTTGAAAATGTATACCCCGAAGTATAGAATTTACACATATACACACAGTTGTATTTATTTAAAAATGCTGTGTCGTTGATTACTGCAAATTTTGATACGCAAATGCAATTCATGCATCTCTGAGTTTGTGGTGCTGCAGCTGCTGCAGCAATTACCGCTCCACCGGCATCCAAATTTTGATGTAATTTCGTTTCGACCTTTCATTAATTCTACAAATCTCCGATCTGCCTTCTTTAGCGGCGGCAATTCTAGCAAAAGTTGTGCTTTTATCAGCACCAAAGCATCAGCATCAGCTTGGCCTCAGAAAAATTGCACGACACGAGCGCGCGCACACTGTAACAATAATAATCAAATTATAAATTGCAGCATTTTCTTTGGGTTGGATTATTATCCTTTACAGCTGAGAAAAATCCATAAAATATCAGTTAATTAAATTATTTCATTCATGAGGATTTAATTTAGATTTTAACACACATTTTGTTTAGTATTTATAAGGATTTTAAAGCCATAATATTCCTTCCTTTAAAGGGGTATATAAATATCGAGCTTCTTGAAATGCACAGGGCTAGTCGTGCAAATTATCTATACACGTACCAGCATGTGTGTTATACACATGTATCTCTTTTTTTTTTTTTTTTTTTTCTTCATAATTTCAGTTCCTTCTATAAAATTAGCCGCAGATTGCTTTTGTCGTTGTCAGTTAAATGTCAGTGCTTAGCCGGGAAACTCGAAAATCATCATCAGTCGTCGCTAAGTTGAACACGATATTCGGTCGTCGGTTCTCGGTCCTTGTTTTATCTCGACTATAGGGAATATATTGAATAGAATAGGCCAAAATGTATCCTGTATCATCCTACAAGCCAAGGCAGAGAGGGTGGCATAAATCCTTTCACTTCCAACATCATTACCATCAGCATGGCATGCGTGTAGCCAAGACCTCCATTTATTATCAACGACAGCAACAGCAATTTTCAAGCTTTGCTAGCTATAGGTCACGCTTTTATTTTAAACCTCGTATTATGCGTTCCTCATATATGGCTTACGATGTAAGTAACATGAAATAATGGTGACAAACTGATGAAAAGCAGGGAAAAAAAGCCAAGTAGACACGTTTCCAACTCAGCCCAAAATAGGAGTTATATATATAAACAGATACAGAACATAAAACATATACTTTGTAAAGTGAAAATATAGGCCTTAGAAACAGGATATAGTAATTTTCTCTTACAGTTACAGTTTTTTTTTTTATGTTACGCTAATAGTAAAATCGTCTTGTAATAACTGTCTATATAATATACATATAGTATCGATGTTGTTGTGCCGTAATCGTGACTAAAAACTAATATTGTGTGTTTGTATGTATGTAGAAATAATTGACAATACATTAAAATACAACAATTTTAATATTATTAAAAAAAATAATTAAATAAATTAAGTAAGAAGTATTATTAAGTCTGCTTTTTAACTAAAATAATACAAATTGAATAAAAAAAAACACTTTTCGATATCTTTTCTATGCAAAAATCGATAAAAATCGATGTTTTTTCATCTAGTATATAAATAATCGAAATAAGAAAATATTCCAAAATTTGTATACGTTTACCATTGATTTTCTTCCTTAATAAATAAGAAAATATAAATTATCAATATACTTTTGTATAAAAAAAAATTGATTTGAAACCGATTAACTTTCAATCTCTAAAAAAACATACATACATCCACATAAAGAAACAGGTCCTTAAAAGGAAAGTTGTGAATGCTTTGTTGTTGTACTGTACATGTCCTTTGATTGTCTCAAAATTCAAAATCCTGGAAATAAATTTAATAAATTTAAATTCAAAATGTAATATTATTATTATTAATATATACAATATCCATATAGCCGGTAACAGCACCATCTGAAATCAACATGAATGGCTATAACCGAAAATCGCCACAAAAACGGCGTTATGATATGCCAAAATATGCTGGTAAGTCCCGAATCTCCCAGGTTATATATATACTACATTTATAATTCTGATTACTACGTATATTTCTGAACTTTCCACAGTTCCGCCAAAAAAGAAAACAAGCAAGGAACGCATACCACAGCCGAAGAATACAGTAGCAATGCTAAATGAGTTAAGACATGGACTGATTTACAAATTGGAGTCACAGACTGGTCCGGTGCACGCACCCTTATTTACGATATCCGTTGAGGTGAGTTAAAAACATATATTTAATATATTTGAATTGATTTAATGGGGAGGATGGTACCATTCCACTAAAAGTATGTTTAAAAAATAATGGTTGTCCCACTAAAATCAATCAGGGAATCAAAAGATCCTCTCAATCGGCACCCCTTTCTCTTGCGGTTTCGCACTAAAATTCCCAACAGGTTCTAGCCCTTAATAGGTGACTTTTTATATCCAATCGATATCATTTACATATGTTTGCTGTTTATTTATGCATTATTTATGAAAATCACTTGATATTCAAAACTATTTCGTTTATGGCATCATTACGGAATGCATATATTATATATATATATGTATATATATTCCACGCGAGCCCATCCAAATGACATATCAATAGATCGATAAGTAGGGGGTGAGTGGGCAATAAAAAAGTGCATGACAGCTAGACGTTAAGATGGCATATCAAGCAACTAGTACACTTTAGACCGAAAAAGACAATCGTTTAGGTTGTTTTATATTTGCATCTGTTTAGCATGGGTCACAAATCGATATGTGAAACCCTAAATGTAACCTCAAAAAGCCCATATGAGGGATACTTAAATACTGTTTATATTGTTTTGTACATATTTTGTTATCTATTCACAGGTCGATGGACAGAAATATTTGGGCCAGGGACGCAGTAAAAAAGTGGCACGCATCGAAGCAGCTGCTACCGCACTACGAAGCTTTATACAGTTCAAGGATGGAGCTGTACTGTCGCCATTAAAGCCATCGGGCAACCTGGACTTTACCAGCGATGAACATCTTGAGAATGGTATTGAAAATTTATCCAATCAAAAATTGGTCGAACACATTGAGACGTTGATGTTGACTGAAAAGAAATCCAACCTTACCTCGCTTGAACAACCCACGTTGCGTCTACAAATGTTTTGCATGAGTCAGAGCAAGTATTAGTGAAATTTTTCGTTTTCCTTACTTTCCTTTTTGTTTTTGAATATCTTTTAATTTTATTAGTTAATCATAATTTTTAATAAGGGATTTCAATAATTGACAACAATCTTTACATTTACTTCAAGAAGTCTGTCTTAATAATGTTAGCAGAGGGTTTGCTTTCTTTTTTAATTATAAATTTATTTTATTTATTTTGGTTTTTTTTTGGGAAAATTAAAGTTATTGTGGTTTGTGTTTAGAGGGATTTTAAAGTAGATATCTTTTAAAATTAAGCCAGAGCCTTATATATAATTTTTAAAGACTATATTTAATAACGTAATTTACTGTCCGAAATATATTTAAAATTTCTATTTAAAATGTTAACAAATTTTTCTATATGATAATAAGTGGTATATTATAAGCACATTTCCTCTTGATTGTCTGGGTATTGTATGTTTTTTAATTTTAGTATTTTTGTCTACCAAAATATTAGAATATTTTTTAACAAAAAACAGTTTTCAAGTTTTTATTTTAAAACTTCGATTTTTTGTTTAATTTTTTCTTTTTTTTGTTGCTTTTGCAATTAATAAAGTCTGACAGTTTTGCCTAATTTTTGGTATTTCCCCCCTTGTAATCCTGTAATGTGTAAGTTTTATCCATCCAAAAAATATATAACAGTTTTACTACCTATTTTATATTAAATATATTTCTTTAAAACATTTCATTAGATAATGCTCTTATTTTCCAAATTTTTTTTATTGTTAATATTAATTTATTCGCTATTTGCATTATTTAATTCCACATGTTTTTCCTTGCATTTATCTTCCAATAAAAAAACAATGATAATCATAATAATAATAATGCTATATGGTTGAAGAGAACATAATTATAGATGGTTAAGAGCCGCATCTCAGCAATAACGAAACAGTCAACCATAATTCTCTTCTGATTTTGTGTGTTTTTGCCAGATGTGAGCAAGAGTGCCATTGCTGTGGACGGCCAGAAGAAGGTGCCAGACAAGGGACCGGTCATGCTGCTCTACGAGCTCTTCAATGACGTTAATTTCGAATGCAATAATATCGACGGTGCTCAGAATAATTGTCGTTTCAAGATGACTGTGACCATAAATGAAAAGAAATTCGATGGAACAGGTAAGTCTATTAATTATGCGGGTATGACACTGCATTTAAAAATTTCATTAATTAGAGTTCTTATTGGAGGAGGTTTTAGGGCAAAAAATAGTGAATAAAAAACAAATCAAATAAAATAATAAAAAAAAATAATAATAAAAAAAAATATATTAAAAATAAAAATATAAATATAAACAAAAATATATAACTGCGTAGAATTTCGACCGTTGTTATAGCAATTTTTTATATTTTATTTTTATTTTGTATTTTCTATTTATTTTTTAAATTAATTTTTATTATATTTTATTATTTATTTTTTTAATTAATTTTTATTATATTTTATTATTTATTTTTATTTTATTATTAATTTTTATGTTATTATTTATTTGTATTTTATTATTTATTTTTATTTTATTATTTATTTTTATGTTATTATTTATTTTTATTATATTATTTATTTTTATTTTATTATTTATTTTTATTTTATTATTTTATTTATTTTTATACTTATTTTTCTTGATTTATTTTGTTATTTATTTTCTATTTTTAGCATTAACATTTAGTTAATAAACAAATTTTTTAGACAGTGTCATAACCGCATTATTTGTCTTCTTGAAGGCCCTTCAAAGAAACTGGCCAAGAATGCCGCGGCCAAGGCTGCTTTGGCTTCGCTGTGCAACATCTCGTACAGCCCCATGGTTGTGCCGCAGAAGAACGTGCCCCTGCCCATCGACGACAAGTCCTCGTCTATGGAGCTGCCACAGATCCATGCCGATACGATCGGGCGGCTGGTTTTGGAGAAATTCATGGAGGTAATCAAGGGCCAGGAGGCATACTCGCGGCGAAAGGTATTAGCGGGCATTGTAATGACTGAAAACATGAATTTTTGTGAAGCCAAAGTAAGTACAAGTTAATTGCTTATCATTACATTACATACTATTATATGCTCTTCTCTAGGTTATCTCAGTTTCAACGGGCACCAAGTGCGTCAGCGGGGAGCATATGAGTGTGAACGGTGCTGTCCTAAATGATTCTCATGCCGAAATAGTCTCCAGACGTTGTCTTCTCAAGTACTTATATGCCCAGTTGGATCTTCAGTGCAATCAGGGTATAGTTGTTTGTTGCTAATGCTAAGTTATGGCTATAAATAAAAACTAAGTATGGTAAAATATATTTAATTTAATTTAGTAATTTAGAAACATAAATATTAGAACCTTGCGGAGTTATTCATTGAGCTACCAAGTAACATTATTTTGTTTTATTTATTATTTTTCCTTGCTAAAATATAGGGTTGTCCGTTTTAATAATCAAATTAAGGGTAGGCTATCCCTTGTTACGGAGGCTTTTACTCTATGATTACTATTTTCATATATATATATATTTTTTAATTTTTAGCCACGTGAAGGCTTTGAAATTATGTGAAACTTTATTTTTTGGCTGTTCCATAGCAAATATTTAAACGTAGAAAGGACTTTTATTATTTTGGAAATGTGAAGATTTTTCTTTCTTTCCCCTAAATAAGTGAATCTACAGGGTTTGATATATTATAGAAAATATTAAAAATATTTCTATTTATTGAAATATATACAGAAAAACTGATTCAATTTGTAACCTTTCCCATATATTGGTCCGATATTTCTAACATAAAATGGATTTTAAACCAAATAATACTTGATTGATATATCGATATTATTACTTTTAGGATACAATTTTAATGTATTTTAATTATGTATTTTTTTGTTTATCAAATATTGGCTTTTTGCTTTCCGCCCCTCGCCCGTCCGCTTTGTATTTGTATTTGCTTTGTGGTCGTACTTCTTTTCATATATACTTGTGTATTAGTGAAAAGAAAGAATGCAAAAAAAAAAAAAACCAAAAAAAAAAAAAAAAAAACACAAATCTATATAATTTTACTTTAATTTAAAATTTGATTACTCTTATTCAATTTTCTCTTAAATTTAGCCACAGCATATCAGTCGATTTTCGTGAGGAATACTGATGGGCAATACCCTTATAAACTAAAATCCGGGGTACATTTCCATTTGTATATAAATACAGCACCTTGTGGGGATGCACGGATATTTAGTCCTCACGAAAACGACACAGGTGTTGATAAACATCCAAATAGGTTGGTACTACCGATATTTTATAAATACTTGCTACTTTATTATTACAACAACAACAACTACAACAAGAACAACAACAAATGAATAACATCAACAACAATAGTTTTATATTATGTTAATTATTTACACTCTCCCGGAAAAGAAAAGTTCAGACAAATTTAGAGAAAAAAAAAATACAAATTGTTTATATGTTTTTGGTACCTTTTATAGTTATCGTATGTTTTTTTTATATTATATAAATATTTATATATATTTATACATATATATGTTTTCCAATATATATGTATCTATATATATATATATACATACAGTTGCGTGCCTATATAATTTGTAGGCTTCATGAGTCGTTTTTGGCAAAAATCGTCTGGCGTTAAGCATCTTGAAGATTTTTTGTTTTTATATAATTAAATTCTTAATAAGAAATAAATTCTTATATATTATAGTATTAGTTATAAACCTATATCAGCTTTTATAGAACTTATAGGCAGCTTGGCTTCTACATTGCAGGCAAAAGCGTTGAAGAGAAAGCGGGTTTTTTATTGTTTATATAAAATATATACATAAATAAGATATAAAATAATATAAATATATATATATATATATATATATATATTGGAAGCTCCTTAAACCATTTAAAAATCTGTTTATAAATTTTAATTTTAAGTTCGGAAAAGATATATAAGCTTTTACCTTCAGCCAGATCAGTTAGCAGCGTTGTTTCTTTATTTATCATTTTTATTATTTATTTTTTGTGCATTTTTTCCAGATGACTTTTGCCTTTGCAAAGTATATGCTGGCTCCACTGTATGTTTAGCATTTAAGGTCAATAGCAATCTTTTAACGAGCTTAAATATATAGCTCACAAATATATTTAACAGGCTTTAAAATAATTTTAAGCCTTGTCTTTATTTTTTTTTTTAACCCAGGGCTTAAATGTACTTTTTTTTAAAGCGAAAATTAAATTTTAAAATTTAAAAATTAAATTTAAATTTTAAATGTAATTTGTTTTAGCGAAAATTAAATTTTAAAATGTTAAAATTAATTTTAAATTTTAAATGTTATTTTTTTTTTTTAGAGAAAATTACATTACCATACTTTTGTCTTAAAGCTGGAAAAACATTGATGTTAATCGATTTTAAATCGATTTTTGATGAAAACTGTCGGTATTTTTTCGGCAATATTCGATTATTTGAAAAAATATTAAGAAGAGATTTAAATGGTTTTTCTTCACAAAAAAAATATATTATTTTTCAAAAGCAATACACACTTTTCGCTAAACAATAGTCAAAAGTAAATAGAATATAGATATTAAAGACATATAGAAGCTTTCCCAAGTCTTTCCCAAATGTCTGTCTGCATTAAAAAAAAAACATAAATAATACATAGACTCCCCAAATCGAATAACCTTTGACAATACACAAATAATATATATATAAAGAAGTTGTACGAATTTCAGTCAAGTCTGGATTTATAAAATATATAGAAAAGAAAATCATTTTCAGGACAACAACAGATTTAAATTTAATTTGAAAAATGAATAAGAAATGATTTAATTGAAAATATAATATATATACCATATATATATATATATATATATAATATATATTTCATTTAGAGAGGAAGAGAGAACAAAAAAGAAACCAGTCAAGTTGAAAGGATCAAATTTTGTTTCTCCCCTCTTGGCATGTACCCGAAACTCTACCGTCTCGATCAGGCAAATAATTATGATATATATTTTCTCATGTCCATATATTTTCTTGCAAATGCCGCGCGATTTCCGATTAAACACACACAATAAAAACAAAACAGAAAAGCCCGTGGCCAATTGCGCACCAAAATAGAATCCGGAGAGGGCACAATTCCAGTGAAAAGCAGCGATGGCATACAGACCTGGGATGGGGTATTGCAGGTAAGATAATTATTATTTATAAACCCTATGAATTTTAAGTTATAAAATCTGTTTCTCCAGGGACAACGCCTGCTAACCATGTCCTGTTCGGACAAAATCGCTCGCTGGAACATCGTGGGCATACAAGGTTCCTTGCTGTCTTCCATTATTGAGCCCGTATACCTGCACTCGATCGTCCTGGGCAGCCTGTTGCATCCGGAGCACATGTACCGTGCCGTTTGCGGTCGGATTGAGAAGTCCATTCAGGGTCTGCCGCCGCCGTATCATTTAAATAAGCCACGCCTGGCTTTGGTCACCTCGGCGGAGCCGCGAAATCAGGCCAAGGCTCCAAATTTCGGCATTAATTGGACCATCGGGGACACCGAACTGGAGGTGGTCAACTCTCTGACGGGCCGCACCATTGGTGGCCAAGTTTCGCGGATCACCAAGCAGGCATTCTTTGTGAAATATGGATTTCTCATGAAGAATCTACCGGGTATACCGATACGCAAGGTGACCACGGATTATGGTCAGACCAAGGCGAATGTTAAGGACTATCAGGTGAGGGGGAGGGTCCCTGCAAAATATCCATTAGAAATATTTATTTATATTTAATTATTAATTCTTTTTTTTTTTTGCAGACGGCGAAACTAGAATTATTTTCGGCCTTTAAGCGCGAGGACCTTGGCAGCTGGCTAAAGAAACCAATCGAACAAGACGAGTTCGGGCTTGTCGAATGACTGCATTCAGCGATACTACTATATAATATTTATTATTATTATATAAAAAAAGACAAAAGTAACGGCAAGCAATTAATAGAGTTAGAAGACATAGATTTTAGACATAAAAAGAACAATTCTTTTTCGCAAAAACAGCGAGTTAAATGTAATAATATTTATTATAATCACCTGCCAACCTTGTTTTCCCAACAACAACAACAATGCAACAGTAAGAACAACAACAACAAGAACAACAGCAACAAGCACAAAGATGCTAATGCTCGAACCATTAAAAACGGCTCTAGAATATTTATAGAATAGAATGTAGTCTTTATGCTGGAACTGAGTAAAGGAGTATTATGGCGTTTTTTGTTGATATCAAAACGGATTCTTCCATATCCCCTCAACCTTGGTTACTTTTTCCCCTCGATTCGTTCTTTAAACAAATTCGTTACAAAAAACTAATAATAAATAAAAAGAAAAGAAAAATAAATATATTTAATATATATATATATACGCCTTAGCTACACTGCTTAGATTTAACAAGAAAATAAATATGAAGGTGGGCTTTCATTAGATTTCTTCTGTTTGTGCCTATTTAACGAGATTAACGAGATTAACGAGAAGGAGAGGAATGTGGTAATTACAAATTCAAACAAAAAACGAAAACAATTTTGGAACGTATGTATGGAAAATCTTTAAAGTAAAAACCGAGAAATAACAATAACAATTAAGCAATTGTATGTCGTTAAGTAATGCTATTTGCAAGGACATAAAAATAACAATAATAATAATAACAACAACTAATAACACAACCTTACAAAGTCACGCTTTATAATAATAAATAATATCAAAAGTAGACTTTAGGGTGAATCTGCATACGTACTTTCAACTTTCTTCAAAATCATATAGACATACATATAATATATAACAACCTAGGCTTTTCAAACCGTTTTCAAGGTATTTCATCAATTAACGATTTATGTAGATTTCTTTATGATAATTAGAAGGCAACCGAATAGATTAGTTACAGTCTGCAGCTTGTAGTGTCATCTTTATCTAATAACTAACTATCCTTTTTCGTAAATTAGCAGCATCATCCTATCCTAGTTTTTGTCTCAGTATCGATAGAACTCGATATACTCCATAGAACCTTTCCCGCTTGATTTTTAAACGTATGAATAAAAAAAAAACCTATATATTTACAAATTATTTGACGCGTATGTAGAAATTTTAATGTTTAAATCGGTATTCTTTTTCATATTTTGGAGGAATAAAAAAAGAGAGAACATCAAATGGATCATTTTCCATTATATCGATATATGAAAGTTAAATTCCCAAGTTTTCGATATATAAAAATTCGATATATCAAAGTTTTTTATATATTTAGGTCGATATATCATATCGGACTTTTTCTTTCTCGAATTCTTTAAAGAATTGCTAGAGTAAGAGTAGATCTTGCCACAGAAAATGTATTTGACATTATAAGAAATTTGTCTAGATTTTTTTTGTTTCAACTTACTCACTGTAAGTATTTCCCCTTCGAAGACTTCGCTTGAGTTCCATGTATTACTTATGGTTTTTTTTTTTTTTTCAACAACCAACCCCCCTGCATTACTTGGTTTTTATTTTTGAAATAATAACAAATGGAATGAAGAAACGAATAATGTGACGACATAAATGACTTGAGTAATACCGCATATATAATGGATAAAGAAAAGTTGATCTTATATAAAATACTGTGATACTAAATTTTACTAGTACTTCCAGCATAGCTGCATTTTATCCATTCTTAAATATTCTATGTTATAGAAGAAGCAGCATCAGATAATAATCATACAAATAATAACCGTTATATAGGAAGAAAACGAACAACAAATTATTACAAGAAAAAAAAAAAGAAAAACGAGATAAATATTAAAACAATGCTTATCTAAATTAGAAATTCAAATAAGAAAAGGGAGAATTTTACACAGAAAATATAGGGTTAAAAGGGGTTTTTCTGAAAGGTCTTTAGTTTTTATTTTTAATTGCAGAACAAACATCTTTTAAATATATATACATATATATGGGAAAATATATAGAACTTTGGTTCGGCTAATTCTTGTTCAATATTTATTAGATTTACTCCTCTCTAAGACAATTAATTACTATTACAAAAAGGAGACTCCTCTTTACCATTTAAATAAGTTAAAACGAAAAGCTAGTCATTAAACGAGTTTACTTGTTTCTTGTTATATCAAATGGTTGAAATTCTAACAATTTTTTCAGTTGTTTAGCCTGATTATTTTCATAAAATAATAGCTAAAAAAAAATACATCAAAATATATATAAAAATAACAGAATTTTAAAACGAAAAAGAATAATATAGATATATATATATATCTATATATAGTAAGCGAAATACAAAAGATTGCTCAAGCCGCAAACACTTTTGGTAGTTATTCATTATTTTCCCGGGACTTCCCCTACTGACAGGACAAACAAAAACAAGAAAAATTTATGGAAAAATCCATTTGCAAACACAGTGATAAGACGAGATTGTATTTCTTACCAGGGAAATACAACAAAACACACACGTAGCTATTAAAAAATGACAATGTTTGAATTGGTCCGAAGAGAAACACCCGAAATACAGGCCAATGTTTATTCCATTTGTAACCCCCATAAAAACTACACACAAATAAGACAACAAAAACTTGGGTTAACTCCGGTATTTATTAGAAATTATGCAAAAAAGAAAAACAAAACAAGAAATAACAAAAGAACACGAGCCACATCGAAGGTGAACACTTACTATTACTTACTATTTATTTTGTAGTTTCTAGAGTGTTATAAGACTATATCCAACTAAGCAGATAACGAAGACATAGTGCCGACTTCATACTTGATACAATTATATATAGAAATCTGCTATTATTTCTCCCAAAACACACACACACAAACACACACACACGGACACTCACACACGGATACATCTTTTAAATCTTAGAGATACATAAATAGTAATCTTACTCCATTACTAAAACTTTTATTACGACTCTGAATAATACGACGACACCAAGAACATATAATCTCCAAAATAAACAGAACAAGAATATATAAATTATTAATTAGGTTACACTTATACTTCGCTTAACCAAAAAGAAAACAAAAAAGAAATCAAGAAAAACCAAAACTAATGAGCAATTTAGTCAGCAAAAAGGCTTTTCATACTGTAGTTTTCCTTTTATTTTATTTATTTCTGGTCTTTAATATTATTATTTTTTTTACTACTCAATAAACTTGAAGAATAGTTGTGCTTTGGAGACCTGCACTCGCTTCGACGATACAAAAGATACCTTTGACGTAATCATGTATGTGATTCCGAGTAATCGGCATAGAAGAAACTTTTCAAAAAAAAAGAATTATTGAAGAATTGTCTTGTAGAATGCAGTAGCTAATCTCATCTTAATAGCCTTCCCATACATATGTAAAGAATCTCCTTTTTTTCTTATTTAATTTATTGCTTTTAGGGGAATCGTACATACTAATAGTTCACCTTATTTCATACTAGTGCAGGTCTCTAGTCTCTAAACACTCTGCAAATGTGCACCAATCTTTCCTTCAGTTTGAGCCAGAGCTCATCAGAATGGTTCTCTTAACACTAAAAGTTCCAATTGAGAAAAGAATTAAAAGAATCTCTTTCCGATGGGAGAGTCATTTTTCTCCCTCTCCCGGTTTCTCTTCCACGCTTTGCCTGCAATGTGCACTCTTAGAGAACTTAGCAGAGAGAGCCATATCAGAACATTTTTTGCTTTATGAGAGACTGCTCTTGAGATCTCTGGCTAAATCATAAAATCCTACCAAAATATAAACTAATATATACACACACTCACACTCTCACACAACACCCAAACTTATACGTAAAACCTTGTTCTTGGTCAACCAATTAGTGCAAGTACATATAAACGAGTATAATGCAGAAATAAAATAGCTAATGAAACACTCTGTTAACAGCTTTGTTAACCCTTAACAACAAATGAAAACAGCTAAGAGAATGTATCAATCACTTACAATTTTAATATAGATTTTACGATGGCTTTTGTTACAATTAAAACAACCGAAAAACAAAAACAAAAAAAAAAAAAAAAAAATTGTATTTTGCGATTTTATAATCGAATGTCAGCCAATAATAAATATAATCTCGAGGTCAGAGAGCCGAAATTTAAACCTTATAAACGTATGAATATTTACATAAAAATCGTTCGGTCTCCAAATACTGTAAATGACGATTTAATAAATTACCAAACAATATATATATACATATATATATATATATATATATATAGAGTACACAGAAACTGGGTTTTCTGGGTTCCTGGGGAGAGGTTGAAGAACAAGTGGGATTATTTAATTTAATGGTGAATTCCACTGAGTTTGCTGTTAATGCTTTAATAAAAATCTTGGTGATGTCCCACACGTGTGCACTTATAATTCCCAACTAGTTCTAACATCCCCGGCATGAAATGACTGCTTTTCTCGGGTATAGACAGTGGCGAGCACATGTGAATAAGTGTTTGTATTGCAAAGTTAGCTACCTTTTTTATTTTTTTATTTAAATAACTTTTATTATGATTTATTTTTTATAATTATGCAATTAAAAAATCTATTTATAAATAAGAAATTCATAATAATTAATAGTTAGGGTTGTGTGCTCCAGATGTTCCTGCTACAGATCGCTCTTACAGTGTTTATGTGGATTATCCTGGGGGATTCCTTGTTCCTTCGACCCTACTGGTCGCCTTTCATTGGGCTCCTGTGCTTTTGCAGATCCCACTTTCAGTGTAGTTTCTTGCTTTCAGTGCTATTCTGACTGTATCCTGTGGGTGTTACGTCCCAAAGCAACTCCTCCTCAGCTGCCTCTTCGTGATGTACCAGGATGACCCCCATGTATGCCTGCGAAGTGAAAGTAAAGATTAATATTGGTAAGCTGAAATTTGTATATCCTTAAAGTTTAAAGATAAAGTCAACGGAATTTTTATAAAGAAAGGCCTGATTTTTGAAGGTATATATATATAGCCATATAATTCTTATAAAATAAAATCTTCTATTCTTTATTTCTTTATTTATTGATTCATTAATTTGTTTATCTATTTGTTTATTTGTTTATTTATCTATTTGTCTAATTCTCTAATTTTTCACAAATTTTGAACGTTGTTTTTCCACACAGCATGCAGGTTTCGTCGACAACGAACTTGTTAAAATTATAGACCGCTGTTAACGAAACCCGACTTCAGTGAGGATTTTCTAAGACATTTAGCCATGAAAAGCAATTGGAAAACACTAGAAAAACTCTTGAAAAACACTTGAAAATAGTCACTTAAGTAAATTAGCGGTCCTCCTTGGCCTTGGCGATTGATTTTCCTTGTCTGTAAAGAAAGTACATAATTTAATTCAAAGTTTTCTAGGTTTGTATAAATGATTTTAAATAATTACCACATCATTTATTGTTAAATATTTAAATATAAATCAAAGTTCTTAGAGAAATGTTTAAGCTAAACATAAGTAGACTTTGCCACAATGTCGACTTGAATATTAGTTCTGTGCATCGAACTTGTACAAAATTTCTATCAAAATTTCCTGATACCTCTCTCTTCCGGCATCATGTGGATGCAACTGTAAGCTGGCCACAACTAATAAATAAATAAATAAATAAATAAATAATAACAAGAAAATACTCTAAAAAACAGAGCTAATCGTGCTTTTTTAAGTGGTGCCAGTGCCCACAAAGGATTGCCGGATAATGAGAGCCAAGGTATGGTTCCGGAGCCACTTGTTGCCCTGCCCACAGATGATGCCTATGACGGGATGGATGATGCCTCTGAGAGCGTCCACTTGATCAATCCATCAATGAACGAGCTGTTTCTAGCCATTCACACGGCCAACGAGAGACCGATAATAGTGACCCAGCCCAGGATCCAGGCGAGTCTCCAGAGAGGCGGTCGAGGCAACGAGGAGCCCTCATCCGATCGACTGACCTTTGCCCGCATGATGGGCGGTTCGGTGAGTGAAAGGAAGGAGGAGGTTTTAGGTCTTAAGTCCCAACCAACTTCCACAGCAAGATCGAATCAATTACTATCCAAACTTTGTCCGGGACATCTGCTCGAATGTCGTGGCCCCAGATTATATGCATCGAGCTCTGTCCTTTGACGACTTGCACTTTGTGGGCGGTGACAATGAGGATAATGATGTCGATGATGGAGATGACAATGGATCCGACGACTCCTCTTCCTCCAGTAAGACGGTGCTGTGGCGGGTTCACTCCGAGGGAGCACTGATCACCATGCCAGGTAATGGAAATTTGGCCCAGCAAATGGCTATACTAAATCAAGGGGGTCCCAAGCGAAAGTATCCTTTGCATCCACGTAAAAGACGCGAAGAGGGCCTGGATCTGGTGACCAATCATAGTACTTGGAGTCCGGGCTATTGGATCACCATGGGTCACATCCTGATGGTGATTGCCTGCCACCGTTGGGGTCTTTAAGAAGGGGTACTATTATGTGTTTTTTGTTTTTATTTTGTGGGAAAAGGAAAACAACAACAAACAAGATAATTTTTTGTTATTAATTATTTAACTTGTTCGATTTGAGGGATTTTTAAACGCACACAAATGTTGTGCAAATTGAAATAAACTTTTTTGTTGCATATCCTGATTCCGCTCTCTCTTGGAGCAGAACAAGTTCTCTCTCTCGTTCGCTACTGAGAGAATATGTTAGCTCGCTTATACATTGCAGGCAAAGCGTGACAGAGTGCGTAATGAGAAAAAATAGAGCGACATTATGCGGTTCTTCTCTAATTGGGTCTTTGGTCAACTGGTTTTTTGTGCATTTGTGGGTATACATTACATTAAAAATTTCTTAAATATTAAAGCTTAGTTTTTAAATTTTTTAAAAATAATTATTATATAATTAGAATATTTTAGATAATTATTAAATAAATAATAGCACATTTAAACAATGAAATCCCTTTAATCCCAAAAAAAAAAAAACAATTTAAAAACCTAACAACAACAAATTTATTTAGGTAAGTGTATTTAATTTAAGCACATATATATTTATATATACAGGTATACAGGTATATCGGGGTATGGGAGATATTGGTACTCAGCCGCAATAATAAAGTTTGCTGGCAGCCACTTTGGATCTAATGCACTCAGAGTGCCATAAAAGGGGTGGCGTCCCTGACCGGGTGATATATACCGTTTGCCTTTGTCTTTTCTCTCTCACGGTAAAAACTGTATAAATCGAATTATTGGACACAAAGTCAGCTACATCAGAATGTCGGCATGTTTTTGTTGTTGTTTTCAATACAATAACAAAACATAATCGAATTTTCAGTGTATAATTATATTAAAAAGCAACAAAAGGCGAACCAGGGGGTTGTCTTTCAATACAAAAGTAAAGCATGTCTAATGTTATTTACTAGAATTGAAAATTAATTGAAGTGGAAATAGAGTAAATTAATAAAATAGCTATTAATAAAATAGTTAATTAATATTATTAAATATTTTATATCTATTTTATTCAGAAGCTTAAAAAAAACTTCTTATATTCGTTTAAAATCTGAAGTAATGTTGTAATTATTTGACAGCTGGGCGGCCCACTTGTTACGATCGATTTGACAAATGGTTTAAGGTTGCCACATGGTTTGATATAGGGCTAGAGGTAAATTTTGCACACCTTCTATGTTTACAAACTTATTAATTATGTATGAATTTAAGTTCTAAGAAGGTTATTATATTATTTAGAAATTCAAATTTCAATTTTTGCGGAAAATGTAACAATTTTTTGAAAGACCTTTAATAAGTGGAGCTTGATGTGATTAATGGATTTATGTAAAAACAACTATGGATAATTTTAATTTTAATATTATGTATTAAAATATATAATATAAATATAATATTTAATATTTATATACATTAAAATATATGTCTATATATATTTACTATTATTTATTTTTATTTTAAAATCCCTGCCAGGGACTGTAGGCTGTGGTCCTTTGTCCAAGCTATACCTCCTGTACCCTATACATATATGTCACAAGTAATTCTGACGTAACTGAAACTTTTAGGATGTGTGACAGGAAGACAGAGAGACAGGAAGACAGGAGTACAATGCATTATTCGATATATATACACACACACAGAGAGACAAGTGTACCGGCACTCCAAGGCGAATAAAACTACGCAAAGTTTATTCTGCTTCATTTGATAAAATGAGACTGGTGAGTGCCTTTACAGGGTACAGGGTACAGGGTAGTGGGTACTGGGTACTGGGAATAGCAGTCAGTAGTCAGAAGTCGCAACGGATGTGGAGGCGGATGTTGTGAAACCTCTTTGTTGCGGCAAACACTTACGCACACCAACAAGTGGAGCGGAAGTTGACAAACGTGTACCGTAACGTGTACACTGTCACAGTCACAGTCACAACAAAAACAACACCAGCAGTCACAGTTTGTGAGGGAGTGTGTGTGTGTGTGTGTAACACGCACATTTCCGGTGTCTACCCTCCATCTATGTATTTCAAAATTTATCACTAGCTTTTGTTTCGAAACATTCAGGGTGGCCTGACTGACGACTGACTGGCTTTCAATGTTGACAGTTCCTAAAATAAGTTTTCTTTACACTTTCGCCGCAAAAACACTATATATTCCCATCTTGAGTTTTATGGGGTTTCAACAGATAATCTCTGCCTTAGCCTGCTCTCATGGTTTTTAAAAAAACTTTGTTAATCGGATGGTTATCGATGTTTTTCGATTATAATTTGAATTTTGTTTGCACAAACTATAAAACAATTTTTTTTGTTTATTTATTAATAAATAGTTTCAGTTTATATTTATTTAAAGCTTTGAACCTAGCTATATTTTTAAAACTCGAAACATATAGCTTTTTATCTATTTTAAATCGATTTTCCTTTATAAAAATATCGGAAATTTGCCTTTTTAGGTCTGGAACTTGTTCTTATAATTAAAAAAAATTAAGTTTAAAGTGGATTTCTTAGCTTTAAGTTAGGTAAACTTGATTAAACTCGAAAAACATAATTTTTGATCGATTTTTTTTGAAAACTTTAGGCCTGTGAAACCCTCCACATATTTTAAAATTTGATTCTTGTTGTGTGTTCAAGTCCAAGTCCAAGGCAATAGACCATGACCGTGGACAAAGTGGACAAAGATGTAGTTCGATGGCCGGATGGCGGCTGGCTGGTCTGTTTGTTTGACTCACTGACTGGCTGACTGACTGCTGGTTGGATGGATGGATGGTTGGTTGGTTGGTTGGTTGGTTGGTTGGCGACCGAGCACGGTGTAATTGTGCTTCAATGGCAACGAGTACGAGCCCATAAGGGCCAAGAGCGGTGTGCCTGTGCCTCAGTGCTTGACCAACTATTTCGCTTTTGCTCTGGCAAAGGGTATGTCCCAAACTGGGAAATATTTATCTCATTATTTTTGTTGTACAAAATAGCTTGATTATTTTATAACACAATAAAGGCCTAGGGTAATCAAGCAGGTTATTATACTTTTGTTCATAGGTTCTCACCCCATTTCACAATTTTAAAATATCCATTCCGACCCCACAAAGTATATATAGAGGCACTGCTAGAGGTATCAATTTAGACATCAAAAAAATATTCTTATAAAAAAAGAATAGCTTAGCATTATTAAGCAAATAAATAACAATACATCTTTATTTTACTTAAATGTTATCTCTTTTTAAATATGTAAGTAAAATAATTTAATTAATTTTATTAAGAATCCAATTCTTACGATATACATCTAGGGTTTACCAATATACCGTATCACATATCTACCATCTTGGCCAAGAAATCTTTAAAATAATAATAATCCATGAACATTATCCTTAATCGAAAGAAAGATATTGACAGTAAGACATGGGCTTGCCGAGGCTACTCCTTTTTTTTAATGTTACAAATTAATTTTTAAAATATGAAATTTAAAGTTTCTCTTAAACAAACAAAATAATAATAATAAACATAAATATACAAATTAAAGCCGAAAATAAAGTATTGCAAAAATAAACAAAAATTATAGAGTAACCAGTAAAAGTTTATTTTACTTATGTATATATTTAAGATCAGAAATCAGTTAATTCAGTTAATTAAAATGTTATTTTAATTATAAAAAAAGGTAAAAATAATATAAACTTTAATTATTTGTTACAAAATCCTCAATTGGAATTTATAATATTTTTGTATATATTTTTTTTGTATATTTTAAATTATATTTTTATAATATTTTTATGATATTTTCAAAAATTCTCATTTTATATATATACTATTTTTAAAAATCCTCAATTGGAGTTTATAATAGTATTGTTTTCTTATTTTATATTTAAGATTACATTCATTAAAAAAAAACACTATTCATTTAAAATTTTGCTTTAAAAGATAATAATAATAGTTTTCAGAAAAGGTTATTTGTTTATTTTTTCTAGGATTTGGGTTATAATATTGTAAATAATAGAACAATACAAAAATGCTAAATTATTGGACCCAAATTTTTTATGTAATATATATTTGTTAAATTTGAATAAATTTAAATTTGAAGCCTTTTTTTGGGAAAATACTTTTCGTACTTATTTCTTTCACATGCCTTTGCAATATTTTAATAAACTAAGAAATAAAGAAATACGCAAATAGATGAATCAACTAAAAATAAAATTAATTGAAAATTAAAATAGTACATTTGAATTGCTTCAGCCTTTTGACAGCCCAAAAACTCAGCATTTGTCACCTGTGGCCACCTGTTAACATCCTCCCCAACAACTCCTAGGCGGCTGCCGCAGCAATCAATTCAAAAGGTAAGACTTTCTAACAAATATGGGGTGTTTAAATGTTTTTAAATATACAATCTATAATATTTTCATATTTTTTTTAAATATATTCCTGTCAGTTGGGTAGACGTTGAACTTACTCGTGAGCCTCCTCCTCCTTGCTCTCTGGGTATTCGCGGTAGACCAGGTGTAGGATGTGAGTGTGTGTATGGTGTGTATTTTGTTGTTCCAAACAGCTGTGCGGCTTGAAATATATATTTTTTTTGTTGGTTCTTTAGGCACATATGCCTTACATTTTTGGTAACACCAAGGCATATATATCACTTGGAAAAAAATACATTTTTATTTATAATTTTAAACACAGATTTTTTTCTTTATATTTTTTTACGCGTTGTAAACAAATACATTTTATTGTTTTTTTTTTCCTCTTTTCTGTGGGCCAAAATATATATTGAGAGCGTGTGTTTTTGGCACAAACTTCCGCCTCGAACGTCCCGGAATCGAATGAACCAACAACTGTTTCTCCGTTAATAATGAAAACTTTTTGCTGGGCCAAAAACCAGAGCTGCGATGCCTTTTCAACCCCCAATGTGCCACAAGGGCTTGTTGTGTACACCCATACACACACACAGATGGTATATGTACACGCGTATACAGACACGTGTACATGTGTCAGAGGTGTGTGTGTGAGTGAGTGGACCCGAGTGGCTACGGAATCCAGAGGATGGGTTTTACCGAGCAACACGACACGAGGCGAGGCAAGG